CAGCAAATGTTCTCTCGTAATGTTCTTGTCGAAGCTTTGTGTTCAATTTGCCTACATACTACTCCTATGATCTTCTTTGGTAGATTAATTGTTCAGAACGGTTACGAGTAGAACTTTATATCATATTTAATTTAATAATTTTCTTTAAGACAAGAACTATTCACTCAGGTTGAGCAATTCACCCAATAATCAAATTTTGACACTATTCTCTCCTATCTTTATATAAAATTGGGCTAATGTGATTTTTTATTACTACTTATAATCAAAAGTTAAAGTTAGAATAACATTACCAATTTGTAGAACTCAGTAACCGTATCTTCTCTAATACTTTATCATCTTATAATGAATGCTATAAAGCTATTTTTATCTCCTCATCAAAGTCTGAGACTATCATTTTAATTGCAATCTCTTCCTTCAATCTCTTTCATTAGCTAGAATATTCTATTTATGGATTCTGTCCCCTACAAACACTTGTGCTCAATTATTAAACATCTCAATTTTTATGCATTAATCTTATCTAATTCATTATTATTTGCTAACGTAAGATTATCATTTTTATTTTCCACAGAAATAGACTTTTCCTGTTAAATAGGCTGAAATCTTAAGCATTCTTTTCATCTTACAAACTTTAATTATAAAGCAAAATTTAAGAGGTTCACTTAATTTACTTATTTCTTTTAAATTACTAAAAGTATTAATTACTATTTAAAATAATGAATTAAGACTTAGATCAGAAGTCAATAGTATGAAAAGATTATCATAATAATAGGATTAAATAATAGACAAAAAGTTAGCTATTATGGAGGCTGAATATGAGCTGTTTAAGAAATACGACAATCCAAATTACAAAGGAGCTGACTATCCAATTGATTAAATTAATAATTAAAGCAATGATAATCAATAAAAAGAAAATGATGATGAAGAACAAGATCAAGGTAAAGATAAGGATGAAAACATGAATTTAGACGAAGATGATGAATTTTAAGAATATCAAGGCTATGAAAAAATGGAAGAGAATTCTGATAAAGAAGAAGAAGATGATATAAATTATGATCAAGTAGAGCATGTCGATCCATTTGCTAAACCTTTAGATGTAGATTTAATTAAGAAATGCATGGCAGAAATCCATATGCCCACTCCTGCATGGGCTTAAAATTTATAAGGATGGGAATAAAGATTGAGTTAAATGAAATAGTTATGATAAGTTTTTAGAAAAACAAAAAAATCAGTAACCAATAGTTGCTAATGTTACTAGCAATGTAGCACATGTTTCAGCCTTATTTTCATCCAAATCAAGATTATCCAAAATAGCCATTTTTATATGCTACTTTCCCAAATCTTCTTAATGAGAACACAGTTTTGCTAGTTTATATAATTATTCAAAATGTTATCCTAATTTTATTTCTAGTTTATCTCTCAAAATTCTAGAACCACTCTGGTTTCCTCGTTGAGGTTCTGGTTAGGATTTTGAAGTATTCACAATTTAGATTTATTCTGAGTTGCCTTACATCCAAGTATTTACTTGCTTTTTGGGATGTAAGGTATCGGTATTTTCTCTAAAATCTTCGCTTGAATCTTCTGAGTATATTCTAGATCCTTCAGAATCGTTATCTCCTTATGTTGGAGGCTCCTCTATTTTTTTAGGTTGTTCTGACTAAATATAATAGAATCTATATAATTACAAGCACATTCTTCAATTCATTTATCATCTCTTTCATATCCTCTTCACTGTTTCTTTTTTTAATTACTTATGGTTTTTTTTAGAACGGATCCTTATATATGATTTTATAGATTTTTTTTTTATTTTTTTCTTCATCTGTTTTTGAAGTAGATGTCTTACTTGGTTGTTTGGTAGGTTTTTTCTAAGTAACATCAAATACTTAAAGCTAATTTTAGAAGTCAAATGCAGCAGTATCAACAGTTTGTTTGTTATTTTAAATTTATTATTATTCTTCTGAAGTTTAAAAGTCACTAATGGTAGTTTTGTCTAATAATTTCTATTCTGGAGTTTCTGATATTTTTTCCAATTATTGTTATTATTAAAATACTAATTAATGCTATTAAGTTGTAATTATTTCTTCAGATATCTTCCTCTCTCTCTGTTTCTTAATAAATTATTCCAATAATTTAGGCTTGGCGTGAACTCTATATATCGGTTTGATAACTTCTTCTTCAGATTTTTATCCTAATTTTATTTTTTAGATTTAATCCAATTTAGATAATCCCTTAATATTTTTAATGTGAGGCTTATCTAAGACATTTTAAAAAAACTTAGGACTTCCTTATTCGCTATTTTTGGTCCCTTCTTCCAATATCTGATCAGAACCTTAAAAAGAATCAGGACTTTCTTTAGTTACAAATCTAGAGTTTTTTTATTTATGTGCAATTCCCAAATCTGGTGTTGATGGTTGAATTCGCTAACTAGGTAGCTAATATAATTATTATCGACTCGTTTGTTGTCTTGAAATTGGAGGTCTTTCAGGCTTTGATAGTTTAATTTCTGGTAATTTCCTAAGGTCAGTGTTTTTTCTTTATTTTTATTAACAGATAGGAGGACTTTTGATGCCAGGTAATTATTATTATTATTATTATTGTTATTGTTATTGTTATTGTTATTATGTTTAGTTTCTACTTTTTGGAGTCTATTCCGTTTGATCTACTTTAAGATCTTAATCATCTATTAATGGTATAGTGGTATCCGTTAATTGAATCTATTGATTATGTAAAATGGTATGATCAAATTCGCTTCTCTTCATGGTTTCAGATAGAAAGTTCTTTATTCTATTTGTGATGATTGGCATTTTTAATATCTAATGGACATCTGGTCTTTTCTCAGGATTCACTGTCAGAAGTTAATTCACAAGGCTACCTTTGATTAATAATGAGTGTTGATTTACGTTCTCAATTATGACGAATAGTTATTTGAGATAGCTTAATACTGCCCACGAACTATTTTTAATGCTAGTGATGCTAACGAGTCTGCATTGAACGGAGGAGTTTTAGCACACATCTAAGATATAATTCTCTTGAATACTTCGTATAATATGACTCCCAAAGACCAAACATCACCTTTAAAACTATAAGGTTTGTTTTCTAGCAATTCTGGAGCCAAATAATATGGAGTACCGACCATTGTATGTGCTTTGTCACGAGTGTTATCTAGCAATCTTGCAATTCCAAAATCTCCCAACCTTATCCTCATATCCTTTGTAAGGAACATGTTTTATGTTTTAATATCTCGGTGAATGACTTTACGATCATGACAATGTTTGATTGCTAAACACATTTAAGTAAACCAATCTAAAATTCTGGATTCTGGGATAGAACCTTCATAATTTTTAATCAATTGTGCCAGATCTCCTCCTATTTTGAATCAATTAATTATTATTTATACCCTCAGCATAATCCATTACAATACATAATTTCCCTTTGACAGTTTTGTAAACCTCTCTAAAGTTGATGATGTTGGGATGCTTTAGTTGAGCCATGATTCTAAACTCTTAATAGGTTTCCTAATCGTTTTAAATTCTCTTTACTTTTTTTTCCTCCTCACTTAAATACCTCATATCCATCTGCTTAATTACGCAAAGAGAATGATCTTTCAAGGACTCACACAAGTAGGCTTTCCCAAACGATCCTTATCCCAGCAAGCGAATTCTCTTGTAAACATCTGATTCTTTAGGTCTCATTTAATAAATTAACTTAATATTTGATCGATAAGTTACACGACAATAATATGTAGCGAACAAAAAAATACATATACATCTATTATACTATACAAAGCGATTGGTTTATAATTGCAAATTATTAATATTAAGAATTCATTATTTTTTATGTCTGGATCTATTACAAATTTTAGTTCGAATATACATTAAGTGCCTATTAAGGATTTGTTTAGCAACTATCCAGACAATCAAAGTGAAGAATAGGAATAGAAAATCATTGAATAATTAACCTCTTAGCCTATTTATGTTAATTAGTAATTTGTAAAGGATTGGATAGTTTTCACAAAAGATTTACTCAGAAAGTAACAGGAGGCACAGTAGGCAGAGACAAATTTATAAAATTTACAGATATTGTATCTGTAGGCTAAGGGTGAGCTAAAGGTAATTAATATATAAAATAATCAAGAGAAAAGAAATGTTTGGCAGTGCGACAACAGCCGAATTGTTAATGAGTTAAAATTTCAAGGAAAAATTAATCACAGATAAACTCAAAAGCATATAGGAGTAGCTCTAAAAGAAAAAAGACGATGTTCCTAATTTGATATATGTAGATATTTTCGCCGCTAAAATTGAGAGTTAAGACATCTTAATATAAGCTAAAGAATTACTGGAATAATTAGAATAGTACAATACGGATTTATTAAATCGATCATAAGATCAAGAACTAAGTTTTCAATTATTATCAACCGGTTCCTAAAACTTTTCAGATGAATAAACTTGGAGAATGAATTAGCAACAGCAGTAAAATTAAAGAGAAAACACAAACCCTGATTTGGGATCATAGAATGATTATACTATACAATCATGAATTTAATTATTTATCTAATATATAAGATTATCTCACACACCTCCTTTATTTTAGATAGCTCCATGCAATTCACAAAGATAGTCAGCATATGATTTTTCAAGTTGCTATTCGTCCTCAACCAATTTTGATTGTACTAAAGAAGCCTATGGAGAACTACCCATATGTTATTATAAAATACTTCTAGCGAACAACTCTTACAGGAACATAAGTGCCACCTCTGATCTACTGTAATGATTCGATGATATTTTAGACTTTGGTGCTGTAATCAGTCTCAATTTTTGTAAATAATTCTATCGAGTTTAGTTCTGCAAAAGAGTTCACTCCAAATAGCTAATATTTGATGATTAAATTACATTCTATAATAATTATTAATCTGCATTCTATCCGACATAAATATATATGAATTAGCTTGTATCTAAGAGGTAAATTCCGTCTGATTTTATTTTATCGATTGTGGTGGCAATATTGTGTGGCAATGCTGTCTTTTCTTCGTCAGTCATAGTACCCACATAATATTTGTCAGCCACAAGTTAATTATTAATGTCATGAATTGGGAACAGTTTAGGATAAAAGAAATTATTTAGAAAATGCATTGATTGAGTCAAAACTAAATGAATTTCAAAGATTCTATTATCTATTCTCACATTTCCGTATTTCAGTAGATCACGCTTTGATAGAGTTTATAAATAAAGAGGTAAGATTTTAATGGCTTCTGGTAAAATCAGCTATCCTGAAGGACTATTGCTCGAGCACTAAATTAAATATGAATAATACATATTTTCGATAAGCATGTAAGATATTGACAACTGACTCGAATAGAGTTTGTCTAATTTGTTTAATCGGTTGAACCATGATGTTTGGTAGATTCTTCCTGCTTAGTAAGGTAGCAATGCAATCGACATCTCCAGTTTTGAAAATGTTGTGCCATGCATTGTTTCCACTGTTTTTATTAACAACTTACAATTGTAAATTGAACACTCGAATCACTCTCTGTCCTTATTAATTAGTGAATAATAATGCATATTAGATATAGGCTTCAGGATCCAATATCTTTTCCTCTTACTTCAACATAATAGCAATGGATTGATCTGAATTTAGAGTAGACAATTCCAAATCTCTAACAGATATTTTTCCACCTCCAGTATAATAATCAAACAATATAATTCCTGGAGAAGTTCTGACAGTCATGATGAGATCATAAGCATAAGACCTTGTAAGGTTCCTATATAATGCATAATGTAATTCTGTTCCATTAATTTATTAGTTGTAATGAGGGTAAAAATAAATGCTGCCCCCAGTTAAATTTGAAACTGGAGAGACAGTAGCTAATTCAAAATTTTCATCGTTCGCTACAAATAAGTCAACTGAGATGTGATTCCTGAGACATGTTTGTCCTAACTTCACATAAGCTTGATCGTTAGGTTAATAAAACAACTTCTCTTAATCAGTACCGAATAATTTAGTGTCAGTTGGTTTTTATGGTAGTTTGCCTATTCCATATCTCGGTGCTGAACATCCAAAATACAATATACGTCCACTTCTGGGTTACATCAATTAGACTGCATTTGATAACACTGTTCCAACAGAAACAAGTTAATTTGCCTATTGAGTAATGGTTTCCCCAAACTTACTGAGCTTCTCTAACATATAATCAATTTTATCTCTGTCATTCTCTATGTTTAAGAATAGCTTCTCTGGTGGAAGTGGCACATTAGCTTCATCAATTTCACTAACTACTATTATTTAAGGTTCTCCAGTTAAGGTTTTAGGAATGTTATAAAATTAAATTTTTGAATCAAATGTTATAAATGCAACGTCTGTTTTATCTGGATATGGAATGGTATCCAAAATTGATTGAAGAGAGGAAATCACTTAGGAGTACAAACCCTTAGCCACTGATATTTGAGTCAACTCTATACAGAACAATATCAAAGTGTTCTTAATCTCCTTTTTTATATAACTAGTAGGGGCTATAGATTTCATAACAACCTTTATTTAACTCATCTCTTTAAAATTTATCACCTCTTTAGTTTCCCTAACCCAACACACAATAATAATCAGGTGGCACCTAATTCTTCATTTTACAAATGTTGCACACATAGATATTACCTCCTTAACCAAATTAAAAGTAAGGACTAACATATGCTTTACATCTCTAGCAACGCAATGGTTCACTCGTAAATTCTACTTAAGGCAATTCTGATTCAAAAAGAGATGGTTCCATTAGTGGCTAAACAACGATACCAAATGGAATCTCTGTTTATTGTAGAATAGAGGGCTCATTTCCTATTGCATATACTGAACTTCTCATATATCTAGGACCGCAATTTCCTTCATCAAAAGTCTAATAAAATTGATGCACAGAAGGAGGGTGATATAAAGGGGCAGGAGCTGTTGAGAACCTCTTATAAATATTAATAAATACTATTAATACAGGATAGATTCCTCTGACTTTACATATGGTCTAGGAATCTAATCAACATCTATTTTTGATGGTTTTCGCTACTACTCTACCTATTATTGGGGAAATATTTATTAAGGTTAATGTGGTTGTTATTGTTGGTATTATTATTGACCTGCATGTTATTATTATTATGCATTGTATTATTATTAATGATTATCTTGTTATGGCTATTAGTATGCATTTGCTTATCTTTATTGCACAGGAGGCTATTATATAGGTTATTCAGGTTCTCGATTGATTGGCTATTACTATTGAGTTCTTCTTAAATGAGGTGGCAGATCTACGTTCTTCCATTATTGAACACGTAAAATTATTAATTAAATTTAATTATTTCATAAGTTATTTATAAGCTCATTCTTTGAATTCTTCTGATTTCTACTTTGAAACTTTAGCAGAATTAATAGCTAAAACAATTACAATATATATATACATAATGTCTTTTAGCCTTACTTATCATAGTCTCGATGTTATTTTGGATCATATGGCCATTTCTCTATAAGTTCTAATGGATTTTCTAGATAACTTCCTTAACCAAAATTGACTTTCAATCCATAAATTTTACCCTAAATGATAAAATCTATATAATACCCAAAATGAAGGATGACCAATGTCATTGATGATATGTAAATAGAATTCATTAGGTATGATATGTTGTACAGAAAGCTCTTTTTTCTTGAGGTCCTTCTGGCAATAAAACGTATGCCCCCTTGCATGACCTTTTTCGTATCCAAAGTAAACAAATGTCCATTGGTTTTTTATTAATTCAAATGAATGGGAAACTGGTTCAAATAAAGGATCCTTTATAGTGTATGTACTGGCCAACAATTCATCAGTTTTTGTAAAAACAGCAAGTGTGCGATCTCCTATGAATTTTTCATCCCCTGCTATATCTTGACTATTAGTAGTTAATCTCACTAATCCTCTAAAATCATTTTCCATTTCAGGTAATAAAACAGCTGTTTGATACCAAAAACCAAAGCTATATGAATGAACCTAAGACCTATCAGCGAATTCATAATTGAGTTTATCCTTTTTAGTATCCATATCCTCCCAATTGGTTGTATCCATCATAGAAACAGGCCATACAAAATCATCAGCTTGTTGTGGAAAAACAGGTAGTGAGCGATGTAATTTATGTATCATCTCAACTACTTTTTGTGAGTCATTGATGAAGCTACCAGAACCTAAGAAAATCCTTGGATCAAAATACCAGCCATGAAATGCTTTGTAACCGAATTCACTTGCTCCCAATACAAAATGTGCATATCCAGTCAACACCTAATGGGTGACATCTAAAGTGAGATGAGCTGCCTTCTATTGTTCTTTAAACAATATCATTCCATAGAACTATTTATTTTTATATGCAGCATAAACATAGGTCCATTCTCCTTCAATGTTCTCATATGGCAATTAACCATCAACAGCATTTGCTGGTTTAGATGCATCATAAGTACTGAACTCATAATTTCCATAAGTAAGAAATGCTGATAAAACTCTATTTCCTAATTCACTCTTATCTTAGTATTATCTTTTATTTGAGAACCTAAATATTGTATGCACATCCGATCTGTCAATTAATGTGGTAGGGAATGCAATCAGCCATCTTGTCCAGACACCTACAGCATATTCATCAACAGATTCTGTCTCTTCTGTAAAGGTTACTTCTAATTTTTCAGGGGTTTGGATAATGTGACTCTCTTTTTCAGACCATAGATGTTTTTGATTGATCTGAATGTGTCTAAAGTTAGGTAAATGGTCTTAATATCCTTTCTTTAAAACATCCACAAATGCACCTTATCCATATTAAGCAACCCATTTTTAAAGATCACCTTGGAATTTTCTTGAATGTGGATCCTTCCCAACATAAATACCAATGAAATGAGGCACAAAATGCTAGACTCCATTAAAAATGACTGGTTTGTCTTCTGCAAATAGATGCAACAATGTGTGAATCTGACCTGCATCTTCATTATAAGCCATATAAATATACGACCAAGCCTTTTTTGATTCAATAAGTTCAACCTTTTCCTCCAGGAATTTCGCCTCATTCCAATCTTTAAGTCCTTTAAGAGTGTAGGTACTCAATTTAATTGTATCACCTGCACATATCTAAGCATGTAATGCTCGATCTCCTTATAATTTACGATCATTCAAATGCTCTTTATCATTATTAGTTATTCTAAACAATATTTAACAATTAGAGTTTATCTCTCCTTCTTTTTTTACTTAAGTTTCTGAGATCTTAAACCAACCAGATATAGCATATTCACCCACTCCACTCCAAGTGTCTCCAGTGCTTTCACTACCTTCATTATTGTCCCCTTCTCCAATCAACTATTATTAACCATGTTTCTGTTTGTGAATGTATTCTACTGTCAATTCTTAAGGCAAGGCAAAACTAGAGTCAATTGATTTTAATAGTTCTTCGCCGTCATTTATAAATGATCCAACTCCAAAATGAGCAGCTATTTATGTCAATAAACCTTAGAATGGAGATATTTCATTTTCTCCTCCTAAAATCAAATTTACATAATCTCCAAGTGGTTTATGCAATAATTTCTCATTTGTAGCATACTTAATCTCCTCACCATTGAAAACAAAATAATTCGCTTACTACAACTACCTCTTATAACCAACATAGATGTAGTGCCATTTACCTTCTAGGTTTGAATAGGGTATAGTGCTGATTTCATTTGGAGCATCATCATTTAAATCATACGTACCAAATAAATAATTATCTAGAATAACATAAGCACTCAAAACCCTGTCTCCAATTGCAATTCTACCACTATCTCTTTCATCATTATATGTGAGTCTGAAAATTTACATCTCTGTTGGAGTATGCCACTATCTCTCTGGCCAAGCTTATAAATATCTTGCCCATAAACCAACTGAGTATTCTTAAACGCTCTCTATTTATCTGTCTGGTTCAGCAAATGTAATTTTCTATCCCAATTTATCAGGGTCACTTGATACCAATGTTATTGTATCATCTGCTTCCCAATCAAATTTACTATCAGAACTAAATAATTTTGGTGCTGCCAAATAAACTGAAAGAGTATGAAAATTGTCTTCTCTATAACTGCCATCCCCTATATTTAAAATAACTTAGGCAAGTCTACTATCAAAGGGTTTGATCAAAGCATCCCTTGTTAAAAATAACCAATAGTTAGATGAAACTGCATGCAAAGCAACTTCTAATCCTTAATGCTCTTCTTCATCAGCCTATAAATAATAACTAACTTTCTCATTATGCTTTGAATATCCAAAGTACACAAAAGTCCATACCTCCAATTACTATGATGGAATCTAAGCTTCATATGAATTTGATAAAGAAAATGGGTTTAAACTGTAAGTACTGAACTCTATGCCATCTGTATGAAATAGAGCCAAAGTCCTATCTCCTATTTTTTATGCATCTGCTAAGCTGTCAGGATTGGTGGATGTGAATCTATATATCAATTATTGTGTTTTGACTGACTATTTGAACCATCTAAACCACAATTAGATGCTGTACTCTCTAGCCTCTTCATTTATATGGGTGATATGGTGTTCTTCTTCGATTGTAGCAACATCATGCTTTCCTATCAAAACTTCATAATTCTTTGTTGGTGATAGAGTATCTGGAATAGTGTCCTTATTTTTTATCCTTTGTAACAAACCTTATTTCGAGTCAACATAAGATCCAGGTCCCAAATTGAAACGAATTGTTGTGATTTGACCATTGAATGTTGAATAATATTTTCCTGCATTACCTATAATTAATTACAAATAATCGTTTAATAATGAATGCATAACATCCATCTAAATTCCAGAAGTAATTTATTTAAAATTGGAGAATGCCATTGCATGTCCTTGCGTTTATGAGATACGTTTATAACTGAAATAGAGATAGGTCCATTCACTTTCAGATTCAATTTAATAGGGAATATCTCCTGCAACATTATTTGATTTTGTAATGACATCATATGTTGCAAAATGATATGAGGACTTTCCTAATAAAATTAAAAGCACTCTGTCTCCTGGGGCATCAAAATCTTTGTAATCTCTATTAGTTGTTAATCTGCTCAATCCCATTAATTGTGGTCTGCTGTAAATTGTATTTTTATTTGAGAAGTATTAAAATTTAACCCAATAACCATAACCATATTCACTGACACCATGTAAATGTAATTTATCACTTTGTTCAAATTCAATCTTTAAGGGAACATCTTTATTTTGGGATGAACACTCTAAGATAGTTTCTTCATTATGCGCTTCTTAACCAGCTTATTATAATTTGATGTGATCTGTTCCACTAATGAATCCAAAATGAACTTTGATATTTTCATTTTCATCAAAGCCACCTTCTCTAAAAGCGCCGTCTCCAACGTTAATCACCCATGTCTTAATTTAACCTATAAATTTGGAGAATTATTGTTTCTCTTAAATTAATACTGAAAACACAGCTAAGTAAAAATGATTTACTTCTTCTTATCTGAATTCACTCTCTGTAAATGTGTACTTCAAATACCCATATGTTTTTCTTAATGATTGAGAAAATCCATAATAAATATAAGTCCATTGATCTGCATATTCACCATATTATTCATCATGAGCAGCCAATTTATACTCTTCTTCATTTTGATTGTAAGTAATGAAAGTAAAGGCTTGATCTCCCCTTGTAATTTGTAAAGTTTCCTCATTTTTGCCATCCAAATCATCTATTCTTTTTTAAGCCATAGTAATAAGATGAGCAATTTTTCCGGTTTTTAAAGGCCCATTCCATTTAACCCATCCTGATAATGCATATTCTTCAGCTCCTTGATACTTTTCGAATTCGAATTAGATTGGTTCTTCTTTAATTTATTGAGGAGCGCCAACTAATTACAATGTTTGTCTTGAAATTGGATGGATATAAGCACTTTCTGGAAGAGAATTTTGAGTATATAATTTCAAAATATCAGTTGTTGAAATAAACGACCCTGGTCCAAAGGAGAAAGTAATCCTAGCCATTTCACCATTGAATAATGGAGCAGCAGTTTTGCCAATTACGAATTCTACATATTCAAATAAAAAGTCATGATATGTATCAAAGCTGATTTCCTCTACTTCCCCATCAACTCCATTTTGAACATATCCCTTGGCTAATCCTTTATCTACATGTCTCTTGTATCCAAAGTAAACATAATGCCAGCGACCTTCCAATACTGTGAATGGAAGTTCTTCCTTCTCTTCTAAGGTTTAAAATTCGTAAGAATCGGTTGTTAGTGCTATAGACAAAGTTGTATCCTTCGGCGTAGTTGGTCTGTTAGCATTTAATCTCACAAGTTTTCCATTAACCGAATCAATCACATACCCTTAAGTTCCCAATCTGGCTATATTATGGATTGGAGCTCTTTTATTCAAATATTTGGGCAATGTGCTCAACCATCTAGTCCACATTCCGAATGCATATTCACTTTATCCATTAATCTTCATGCCTTCATCATTGTGAATTATAATCTTATCAACAACATTTTCAGCAGAATCATATTGAACATATCTCGCAGAGGTTATGTCTCCACCAACATATGTCACAGGTTTACCCACTTAATAAACTGCCATTACTCCATCTCCATAGTTGAATGTCATTCCAAAGTCTAGTCCTTCTCTGTATGCTCCAGTTCCCAAATAAATACCAACATATCCAATCTTACCATTAAATGGAGATATCACATCATCGCCACCAAGAGTAACCATTAAATTATTTACTAATTTATGTTAGATCCCTTTAAATTAAATTTCTCCTACTTGTCCTGGCTTGATAAGAGCACCATATGCTCTACCACCATCATTATCATAGCCAAAGTATACGTAAGTCCAAATAAACTCTTAACTTTCAACTGTCTTTGATAAATATGATTATCCTTTTGCTTTACTTCCTTTAATTGTGTAAGTGTTAAAATAAATGGCACATTTTGCTCCTCCTCCGAAAGTATGATGCAATTCTAATGCTCTATCTCCTAAAACTCCTTTTCCTGGAGCTTTATTCTTGTTTGATCTTAAATTAACTATTTAAAATGTATTAGGTTCATCTACTTTAAGATCATCGATCCATCTAAACCATAATCCGACAGCATATTCTTCAATAATTAATTATGATTCTTGTGGATCAAAATGGAATGACTCGCCCTATTCATTTCCATTGAAAGATTTTGGTTTCGTCAATATATTCTCATCAATAACTGCAGGAACATTCTAAGGTGGATTACTCAAAGTCTTAAGCACTTCATCTAATGCATCATCCCCATCAATAAATGCTGGAGCATCAATATCATAAAATATATTAGCAAATTAACCATTTAATCCATAATAATTCATGTGTTTACCTCCAAATATCATTTTTATATAAGAAGGAGGAATGTGAGTTGCATCAATTTCAACTCTGTAAATTCCATTCCCTTCTCCATAGCTAGCAACATATCCTACAGCCTTTCTTAAAGGACTGCTATACGAGAACATCACAAAATACCACATTCCATCCATATTCTCATCTAATACTACAGCCTTATCCTTAGTTTTTACCTTGTCACTTGTATCATAAGTACTGAACACGAATGAATTATCAAATAAAAAAATAGCTAAGGCTCTATCCCCATAAAATGAAAAATCATCAAATTCCTCATTAATAGTCATTCTTGAAAGGAAATAATACTCTCCCTCTTCTCTAGCATGCTCCTTAGTGCCATGCTCGCAATATCTCACCCAATATCCAAAACCATATTCAGATGAATCCTATAATAATGCTCTATCATTAAATTCAAACTATTCCGTAGCTTCTCCATCGAATTAAGAATCCTAATATTTTGTATTTACCGCAACAATTTTTCTTTCTTAAACCCTCCCTATATTAGCTTTATGTTTTGGTGGTTGAAAGGCAGTTGGTTCATTTACATCAATGTCTTCTCTTAATGATTATATTTTGAATGATCTCTCATCCTCAATTTATTATTATCTTAACTTCTTAGGGTCTTCTGGTTCTGTTTCTACTTCTTATTGCTTTTTACTACTTTCAGAAGTTTTCTACACTTTTGTAGATTAAATGGAATCAAACTTTTCTTCAACCTCAGTCTCTCCCTCTTGACTACTGTCAGAGTTTCTCTAAACTTTTGTAGATTAAATTGTATCAACTTTTTCTTCAACTTGAGTTTCTTCTTCTAATGGCTTATCACTACTATCAGATGTTCTCTAGACTTTTGTAGATTATATTGAATTAACGTTTTCTTCAACCTGAATATCTCCATCGTCTGATTGATTTTATAATGGCTTATCACTACTATCAGAGTTTCTCTAGACCTTTGTAGATTAAACTGAGTTAAAATTTTCTTCAACATGAATTTCCTCTTCTTCTGATTGATTTTTTACTTCTAGTGGCTTATTACTATTTTCAAAGGTTCTCTACACTTTTGAGGATTAAATTGAATTAAATTTTTCTTCAACTTAGGTTTCTCCTTCTCCTTAATTATTATTATCATTTGAAATAATGTCATCGGACGAATGATATTCTTAATTATCTAAATCTTCGACTTTGAAAACTTTTACTGCTTATACGACATTTTCAGTTTCAGTTTCGGTTTTTTAAGACTCGGAATTTTAATTTTCATGATTATTCAAGTTATCCTCATCAGAATTCTTAACTTTTCCATCAATCTCATGCCCCAAAGCTATATATCTTTTGTTTCCTTTAGTTTCCTATTTTATATCATTAGACACATCCTTATTTAGTTGATCCTTTTATTTTTCCCGAATCAAATGATATGTTTCATGATCAATGTCATCAATTAATGATTCTAAATCCTCTTCTTCAAAATAATAATATATTGTTTCTCCTGGCATTTCATCATAGTAAATAATGTCCTCTTCCGAATCAGGTTCATCTTCAAAAATTCTTCTTACCTTTTTGATGTCCTATTAGCAGAATCTCCTTAACGTTTTAAGTTATGTAACTTTTTATCTCAAATTTACAGTTCTCTGAACGTATTAACACTGATTCAAATATTGATATATTTGCTCCTAAGTCTATCTCAAATGAGCAATAATTTAATTTGCCAATTATATTTTCTCCTCATTTGCTACTATATATTTTCATTATACTTTATGTAGCATTCAATTAGCCAACATATTCAAGAGCATCTTCAACTCTGCAGGCCGCCCACTTATTTTGAATAAAAATATTCTAAAGAGACTATTCAATTTTTTATTTTATTTCCACCAACATAGTTTAATGAATTACAGACATTGTCCCTTTCGCTTTCTCAACTATATTTATGATTGTATTGATTATCGCTAAATCTTTTATCAATTATTCTCGATTATCAATAATATCTATCCATCTCTCTAATTCAGCAATGATGAAATCGAAATTAGCATGGCAACTCAAGCGAGAAACATCTATATTATATGCTTCATTGTAAGTCAGCCCTATCTAATTGTGCAAAAATACCTCGAGTTCGGAGCTCTGATGCTTCTAATTTCGAAGAAATGGCTACAACGATCAATAGAATGAAAGTTATAAAGGTTTTCTTCATTTTAGAAAAAATATAAAATATATACCGTTTTTATTGGTATTAAATTTCATACTACTCCAACCCTTAAATTCAGTTTCCCTTTCAACTATGAAAATTGCTGATTTTCGATTGAAATCTGATCACTTACTGTTTAATTTTAATAACGTCTTATGAATTACAAACTTTAATTTCAGCATCATCATTAAAACTATAATGCGAAACTTTATCATAACTAATTTCTTAGTTGAAATGAAACAGAATTCTAATCAACAAAATATTTGTATTAGTTATGGTTTAATTATTATACATCTAATAAATATCTTATTTGATTAATCTAGAGGTTAAATTTTCTTGTAGATTTAATGATTAAAATTTATTTTGATTGGGAAAAATGTTAAAAATCAGCTTCTTAATTGCTTTGTTCAACTAAAATGATCTGATTTTACCCTTAAATTCTGTTTATCATCCAAAGATTTATTATAAGAATGTAAACCAAATATTTCTCATTTCTTAATTGCCATTGGCTTTGCATATAATTAATAATTTATTACTTTTAATTATTTATCAAGTAACCCTCTAGTTCTAAAAATAAAGCTAAATACAGCTTTTAGGAAAATATAATCCATTGAATATAATTAGTATTTGAATGAATTACTGTAAATTGATCCTCAAATTGTTGAACAATTTTTGAATAACTGAATATTTTAATATTTTATTTCAGAACATTGAAGGGAGCTTGAGAATAATATACACTCTTTTTTGATGATTAGTTAGATTGATATTTTGATTTATGCTCAACAATTAAGCTTTCTGCCTTAATTAATTTTCATATTAAAAGATAAGAACTCCTAAAAATCTATGAATTTAGTTAGGCTTCTTTATTTTATTTTGATTTATGTTTATAATGAGTAAAATTAAAATAGTAAATAATATTTATAATTCTAATTAATTATGTCATTCAAGAACACGTAGTAGTATAAAGATTAAAAGTTTACTAACCATCTCAACGATTGCGAAGCCATTTCAGAGATAAAGGTGAAGTTAGAGAATGTACCTGAAAATCCAGCTTAATTAGATGATTAAGCAGCTGAACTCATAGAATCACAATCTTAAATAAAATTTTTTCTAGAAGAGCTTGATAATAAGCAATAGGATGAATTCTAATAGGAAATAAAAGATGATGAAGCTGAAGAATATGAGCCAATTCTTAATACTTAAACATAGGTTGATTAGAAATTGATATATTAACAATAACAACAATAAAAATAAAAGCAAATCGAGACATTTCAATAGGTCAAAGAAAAATTATAAAGCAGGCAGACAGAGCCTCTCCCATCTGACAATAAATTAAATCAAGATATAATTTAAGATGATATTGACATTTCTCAGAGTAAATTATGCAAAAGTTTGTTAAAGAACATAAATGACTAAGGAAATAATGAAGATACTGAGCTAATAGCTTAGCTTTATAGTGAACTAAATGAAATGAGACAAAGAAATAAAGAAATGCAGATATAAAAAGACTTCTATTAATCTGAACTGAAAAGAGTGTAAGAGCAATATTAGAAAGATCTGAATAAATAGAAATAGATTTTTGAAAATGAAATAGCATCACTAAAAGCACAAATAAATTTAGCTAAAAAGGTAACAAAACAGGAGACATAAAATTTAACTACAGTAACATTTTAAGAAAGATAAGTAATTTTAAAGGATTTAATGAATAAAATAAAAGATTAATAAGATAAAGTATAAGAAGGGCATTCGAATTTTAATGAAAAGCCTATTAATCACACGAAGCAAAATAATGAACCAATTTTAAATCCATAAACATAAAATTAAAAAGTACTTTAAGTTGTGGATTTAGAACATGAAAAATTAAAAGACGTTGATAAGGCTTTGTAAAAGGAAGAACTATAGTAAGCGGACAAGAAAAAAAAAAATGCAAAATAACAGGAATCACCATAAAAATAAAAAATTGCTGTCGAAAAATAAGTCAACCCACCTCCACCTAAAAAGTCTACAAAACAAGTTAGAAATACTAATCCTGAAATCAAATAAGATCAATAAAAATTAGCCCCATAAATGAAAGCAGAAAAATAAAACGAATCAAATAGAGATGCAATACTTAATAAACAGACCGCTGAAAACCCTGATGATTTTTTCAATCGTTTATCAAATCAAAGTTAATAAATAGGATAAGATTAATAGGTTGTTTTTTAAAATTAAAAAAATCAAATAAATCAAACAAAAGAAGATCACAAAGAAGAAAATTTAAATTAGGCTGAACTTGAAACTTCTGAGAAGTAAAAAAAACAAGAGATTTTATAAAATCCTATCGATGACAATTTATTAAGTAATGAAAAGAACTCCTAATTGGCTCAATAGGATCCATTCTCTCAAAATCATAGCTAAATACAGAATCAAAATTCTGTAAAGGCATAAAAACAGATTCCCAAATAAAGGAGAATAAATCAGGGAGGCAATAGCATATAGAATGTTCCAAGTTCCTTGTTTGATTGAATCGAACATTATGAGTTTAATTATATATTAAAATATGATAAATAAATATAAATCATACAATCAGTAATATTAATTTGAATGAGATTTTTCATAGAGCATCAATTTTCTTAAAACATTAATTAATAGAGTTTTAAGTCTCGACATTGAAATTTTGAAAGAATACATGTCTTATTTTTTCCCAAATTGTCCATAGATAAATTTTAAGAAGAATTGTTTTGGAAACAGTTTTAATTGAAATTCTAATTAGTTGAGTTCAAACGAATTCTAAAGGCAGAATATCAAATATTGATTGATTGATTAATAATAATAAATTTATCAGTATCAATCCCAAATGAAGTTATTTAAAATTTAAAGATTCTTATTTATTGAAATAATGTAGAAATTGATATTAATGTAAAAAATATTAATCACTTTTTTGATTTTTGAGAGTATGATCCCATTTTTTTAAATTATTATGATATAATTTCTTTTTTTTAGGCAGCTAATTAATTGCTTGAATTTTAAATAGAACTTTATGATGCATTTTAACTTTAATTAACCTGAATTATTTAATAATATTTACTGAAGGAACTTCTTATTATCTATTACTCTTTTGAGTGCTTTAGCTAGTGTTTTAACCACTTTTTTTTTTATCATCGCTTTGGTAGGAAAATTTTTGTTAAGCAGCACTAATTATTATTTTTATTTTTACTATTTCTATTAGGGTTAAGGACTAACTACAGTTTTGATGGTTGAGCTACGGGAATTCGATCCCCTAACTAATTATTAAGATTGAGGAAGTGAAGAAATAATAATGGAAGTAGATGGAGCTTATGTAGCTCTAACTGGTTAACCAGATTTGATTTAATTTTAAGATAATTGTTATTGTTCTTTTTATGGAGTACTAGTGAATGAGTTTCTAAAATTGAGTTATTTTGGTAATATTTATGATTGAGATTTAACTAATGTCCTTGATCCTTTTTCGTCAGGACTTAATTCTATAGGCTCAGCTTGTTGACCTTATTCTGGAATATGTTCCATTGCTTGAATTTTATTCTCAGTGAGCATTTAATTATATTTTATGATGTCATCCTCATTGAATTCTATGAAGGTTTTTAGCCTATGTTCATTGAGAGAAGCTAATCCACACCTCGTTCCAAATTTTTTTATTAATCGAATTGCCTTTGAGAATCTCTCATATTATTAACTAGTAAATATATATATTTTTTACTTTATATAGCAAAGTTCATCAAACCCTATTTTAGCATTAACTAAAATCATTTTTTAAAGAAGTCTTTTTATGATTTTAATGCCCACAACGAAGTTAGAACTCATATTGTAATCTTAGTCTGAGAAAGGACTGGATGAACTTCTATTGTTTTTGTCAGAACCAACCCTATTTCGCAGGATATCTTATTGGGATTATTTTTTACTATGATCCTTTCTTTCCAATTACTTTAAAAACATTTTATCTGTTTCAGATATATCAGAAATATTTGTTCTATTAATTATTGCTTGATCATCCATAAATTATTCATGTAATTATTGTTAAGCTTTATTTGTTCCTTGATTTTTATTATATTATTCGTTAACATTCATTAAAGATTTAGATTTAGTTATTTATGTTTACTCTATAGCTTAAATTAGTGATAGTTATGAGGAGCTTGATTTACTTTTCTTAAGATTTGGTTCTTAATATTTTGGGATTTTTAATTAAACATTTGGGTTATCATTTGATTATATTATTTTTACATAATTTCCTTCTCTATTTTTACTAAAATCACAATTTTTATAAAATGCCAAAGATCGATTAGAGACTTTAATTCTACGAACTAAAGTTTGATCTTAGCCGAGCTGTTCCTTCAAATCTTCTCCAAAGAGTAATTCTTCGTCTTTATAGTTTTTTCTTGTAATTATTATTTTTTATTTGTTACCTTTTCCTTCTTTTACTACCTCCTCAATCATTTAGAAAGATTCATTCTTGCTTAAAATTCTTTGCCAAATGTTGCTGCTCTTTTCACACCAACCTTTTTTCATTAAATCTGATGGGGAATTTGACTCAGCAAGTTGTCTACTTAAAATTATAATATCCTCTTCCTACTCATATAAATCATCTCCAATCTCTGGATCTTATTTTGCTTCATTTGTTTTTCTTTGTAAGCGACGCTCTACCTTTTTTGTTTAAGGATTCAATATCAAAATTTCTTCCTCTATAGCCTTTAATTATTGTTGCTTTCTTTTTTCACTAGAACTAGCAAGAAACTTATCTGTTCTGGATCCATCAAAATCCGGAACCCTTATACCTTAGCTATTCAACTCTTCATTAGATCGATATTATGAGTCTCTTTACTCCTAGCTGTCCTCATCAATTTAATACATTTATCTCTTTATATTTATGTTTGCATGCTATTTAAAATATTCCTTTGGAGCATCAGTAACCTTTTTCCAACTTTATAAACTATCTATCTAAAATTAATTTATAACCTTTCTTTATCTGATAATAAAACCATTAGGTTATTTTTCATTTAAGTTTTTTCCAATCTATACTTCTGTAATGTTAACCTATTTTTAAATAGCAAACAATTCTGTTTAACCTGATTTTTAATTTGCTACTTCCACAATTTCTTCTACAAATTAGTATGGGTTATAATCTAAATCAAGATTAGTAACAATCCTTCGACTTATTATTTGATTACCATCAGAATCCTATTCTTTTAACCTTTTTCCAATTTATCTATTTACATTGTAAGGAAACTTTAATTAAATTATTTCCATTTCATTAGTCTTAGGATTTAATATTTAATGTTCTTCTTCAAAATATTAAGAATCTTAATTAATTAATTATTTGGATAATGCTGAATTGCCAGTAGATTAATCTCCAACTTTTTTTAGGATTCCTTAATCATCTTTAACCCATCCTTCTTATTTAAGAGCAGTTAAGGTTTAGTTATTTTAAATAACTTTTCTTGATAAAACAAAACCTCCATCAGTTCTATTAATTTTGCTTTCACCATTTATAAAGGGTCTTCTTTCAACAATTAGCTTTTATTATCCATCCTTGTCAGTTAAAAGCACTTCTTCTTCTATATACTACTCTGGCTCCTATACTGATAGTTACTTCACTAAAGTTCCATTTTTTTATTTAATCCATCCTGTAGTAGAATTATTGTCAACTATTTTTCTTGACAAAATTGTATTTCCTAAAGGATCTACTTCTTATATTGAGTCTCCCATAACAAGATTGTCTTAGATTTACCTTCTTAGAAATTTTCTTTCTAGTTAACCTGTTTCCTTATTAAAACTTAAAATTTCTTCTTCAATATATTTGGAAGGCTCAGATGAAGCTATCACTTTTTCCATCAATCCTTCTTTGTTAGTTATCCATCCTTCTTTTTTTTTTGTTTCTGAAGAGATATTGTTTGAAACAATTTTTCTAGAAACTACTCTATAGCCTTATTATTATTCATCTATTTCATCACCAAATTAGGTTTTGTTATCCTCGATATAGGGTTTTCTTATTAACTTTCTCTCTTGTTTCCCAGTATTTTAGTTGACAATTAAAATTTCCTCTTCAATGAATTATTTTGGTTCAGAAAGGCTTACTAATCTAGTAAGCCTGCCTTATTCAAACTTCCATCCTTCTTTTTATTATTATTTAATTGAAGATATATTATCAATTATTTTTCTTGATAAAATTTATTTCCCTTCCTTATCGATTTCAGTTAGATTGTCTCCAGTTTTTAAATTTTATGAATTTGGTGACAATGGCCTTCTTATCAATGTTCTTTCAAGTTGTTAAGTTTATGGATTCATGACTAAAATTTCTTCTTCAATATATTTAGTTGGTTCTGTTTCACATATTATTTACTCTAAATTTCCATCTTTTTTCTGTTGCCATCCTTATTAGTTTAAATCATCAGATGAAAATTAATTTTATATAATCCTTCTAGAAATAACTCTTTCACCATCCTTTCCTTACTCATTTAAACAATCTCCATAATTAACTTATTCGTTAATTTAATATACTGGTTTCCTTACTAATTTACGCTCTTGTTTGCCTGTTTTTGGATTGATTATTATTACTTCTTCTTCAACAGAATTATTCAGGTTCCTCTTATGAAATAATTTTTTCAAGAGTACCATTTTATCCTTTTTGCCAATCTATTTGGACTTAACTAATAGATTAAGAATTATCGACTATTTTCCTCGATAAAATTCTATTTCCATCTTTATCAACTTCATTTAAATTATTCCCCATTTATGAATTTTCTTTTGTCAAAGGTCTCCTTACTAATTTTCTCTGTAATCCATTTTCTCCATAACAAAGTACTTCTTCTTCGACATATCTTGTTGGTTCACTTTATGCTAGTTATATTTCCATTTGACCTTATTTTTGTTACCAATCTTTCATTTAATCCAAAGATTATTCATTTGAAATTATCCTTCTTGCAACTACTTTTCTATTACCATCACCTTCTTATAGGTTTTCTCCTATTTCGCCAATGTCTGATTGAGTCAAAGGTCTTCGGATTAATTTCCTTTCTTATTTCTAAGTTTTGGGATTTATTATGATAATCTCTTCTTCTATATATGCTTCAGGTTCTTACTATGAAACTACCTTTTCTAAATAACCATTATTCGACTAAACCCAGGTTGAGTCCATTACTTTATTATTTTATACAATCTTTCTTGAGACAACTTTATTTCCATTTTAGTCTTTCTCTATAACTGCTCCAGTTTATAATTTGTTATCTTAAGGTAAGTAAGGTCTTCTTACTAGTTTTCTTTATACATTTCCATCTTCGCCTTAAACTAATATTTCTTCTTCCACATATTTTACAGGTTCAGATTAAAATCTAATTTCCATATTTCCATCACTATTTTTAACCCAACCTTGCTATTTCAAAGCCTGATTTGATTAATCATTTTAGACAATTTTTCTTGAAATTATTTATTTACCATTTCCTAAATTTTCTTCTAAATTCTACCCAAATTACAAAATATCTAGTTCTTCGTTATTCAGTGGTTTTCTGATAATTTTTCTCTCTAATTTTCCTGTCTTTGGGTTGATTTGAATGATTTCCTCCTCGATAAATTATTCTGGTTCTTCAGAATTTAAAATGATCTCTTCTTATTTCCCAACATTCTACCATTATTGTTTGTTTGCTTTAGGTTAAAGATTAGACTCTATTTTACGTGAAAGCACTTTATTTCCATTCTTATCCACTTCATTTAACTAATCGCCTTCTTGAATCTTTCCTCCCAAATAAGGCTTTCTCACTAATTTTCTTTCCATCATTCCTGTTTTATTGTTAAATTATAAAACTTCTTCAGTAATATATTGAGAAGGTTCAACTCCTAAAGATTATTCGTAATTTCCATCATTATTTTTTCTCCAGTTCGAAGAAGCTAGAGACAAATCGTTATCAACTATCTTTCTAGAAACTACATAACAACCATCACCTAAATCCTCCAAAAGTTCTTCTCCTTCTTATATATTCCCATCATCGTCCAAAGGTCTTCGTATAATTTTCCTTTCCTACTTTCCTCCTTATCTCATAATAATAACTTCTTCTTCAATAAATTAAGTTGGTTCTTAAATGGATAAGGTTTTCTCAAAATACCCTTAATTGTTTTTCCATCCTTCCTTCTCAGCTTACTATGTTGAAGTCGTATTTTCAATAACTCTTCTTGCAAGAATCTTATTTCCATTTTAATCAGTTTCTTATATATTATTTCCCACATTCTAACCAGGTTAATACTATTTTCTGACTAATTTTCTTTCCATGTTTCCAGTTTCTTCATTCATTACTAAAACTTCCTCCTCAATAAATTTAGCTGGTTCATTTTGAACTATGAGTTTTTCTAACTATCCGGTTTTTTAATTTTTCTTCCATTCACTTAAAGAGGTGTCATTTTAAACAATTCTACGAGACACTACCTTTTGGTTATTGCCTATTGATTCATTTAATTAATCTCCAATTTCTTCTTCATTTTCATAAGGTCTTCTAACTAATTTACGCTCTTGTTTGCCTGTTTTTGGATTGATTATTATTATTTCTTCTTCAACAAATTGTTCAGGTTCCTCTTATGAAATAATTTTTTCAAGAGTACCATTTTATCCTTTTTGCCAATCTTTTTGGATTTAACTAATAGATTAAGAATTATCGACTATTTTCCTAGATAAAATTCTATTTCCATCTTTATCAACTTCATTTAAATTATTCCCCATTTATGAATTTTCTTTTGTCAAAGGTCTCCTTACTAATTTTCTCTGTAATCCATTTTCTCCATAACAAAGTACTTCTTCTTCGACATATCTTGTTGGTTCACTTTATGCTAGTTATATTTCCATTTGTCCTTATTTTTGTTACCAATCTTTCATTTAATCCAAAGATTATTCATTTGAAATTATCCTTCTTGCAACTACTTTTCTATTAGCATCACCTTCTTGTAAATTTTCTCCTATTTCGCCAATGTCTGATTGAGTCAAAGGTCTTCTGATTAATTTCCTTTCTTATTTCTAAGTTTTGGGATTTATATATGATAATCTCTTCTTCAATATATGCTTCAGGTTCTTACTATGAAACTACCTTTTCTAAATAACCATTATTCGATTAAACCCAGGTTGAGTCCATTACTTTATTATTTTATACAATCTTTCTTGAGACAACTTTATTTCCATTTTAGTCTTTCTCTATAACTGCTCCAGTTTATAATTTGTTATCTTAAGGTAAGTAAGGTCTTCTTACTAGTTTTCTTTATACATTTCCATCTTCGCCTTAAACTAATATTTCTTCTTCCACATATTTTACAGGTTCAGGTTAAAATCTAATTTCCATATTTCCATCACTATTTTTAACCCAACCTTGCTATTTCAAAGCCTGATTTGATTAATCATTTTAGACAATTTTTCTTGAAATTATTTATTTACCATTTCCTAAATTTTCTTCTAAATTCTACCCAAATTACAAATTATCTAGTTCTTCGTTATTCAGTGGTTTTCTGATAATTTTTCTCTCTAATTTTCCTGTCTTTGGGTTGATTTGAATGATTTCTTCCTCGATAAATTATTCTGGTTCTTCAGAATTTAAAATGATCTCTTCTTATTTCCCAACATTCTACCATTATTGTTTGTTTGCTTTAGGTTAAAGATTAGACTCTATTTTACGTGAAAGCACTTTATTTCCATTCTTATCCACTTCATTTAACTAATCGCCTTCTTGAATCTTTCCTCCCAAATAAGGCTTTCTCACTAATTTTCTTTCCATCATTCCTGTTTTATTGTTAAATTATAAAACTTCTTCAGTAATATATTGAGAAGGTTCAACTCCTAAAGATTATTCGTAATTTCCATCATTATTTTTTCTCCAGTTCGAAGAAGCTAGAGACAAATCGTTATCAACTATCTTTCTAGAAACTACATAACAACCATCACCTAAATCCTCCAAAAGTTCTTCTCCTTCTTATATATTCCCATCATCGTCCAAAGGTCTTCTTATAATTTTCCTTTCCTACTTTCCTCCTTATCTCATGATAATAACTTCTTCTTCAATAAATTAAGTTGGTTCTTAAATGGATAAGGTTTTCTCAAAATATCCTTAATTGTTTTTCCATCCTTCCTTCTCAGCTTACTATGTTGAAGTTGTATTTTCAATAACTCTTCTTGCAAGAATCTTATTTCCATTTTAATCAGTTTCTTATATATTATTTCCTACATTCTAACCAGGTTAATACTATTTTCTGACTAATTTTCTTTCCATGTTTCCAGTTTCTTCATTCATTACTAAAACTTCCTCCTCAATAAATTTAGCTGGTTCATTTTGAACTATGAGTTTTTCTAACTATCCGGTTTTTTAATTTTTCTTCCATTCACTTAAAGAGGTGTCATTTTAAACAATTCGACGAGACACTACCTTTTAGTTATTGCCTATTGATTCATTTAATTAATCTCCAATTTCTTCTTCATTTTCATAAGGTCGTCTAACTAATTTACGTTCTTGTTTGCCTGTTTTTGGATTGATTATTATTACTTCTTCTTCAACAAATTGTTCAGGTTCCTCTTAAGAAATAATTTTTTCAAGAGTACCATTTTATCTTTTTTGCCAATCTTTTTGGATTTAACTAATAGATTAAGAATTATCGACTATTTTCCTAGATAAAATTCTATTTCCATCTTTATCAACTTCATTTAAATTATTCCCCATTTATGAATTTTCTTTTGTCAAAGTTCTCCTTACTAATTTTCTCTGTAATCCATTTTCTCCATAACAAAGTACTTCTTCTTCGACATATCTTGTTGGTTCACTTTATGCTAGTTATATTTCCATTTGACCTTATTTTTGTTACCAATCTTTCATTTAATCCAAAGATTATTCATTTGAAATTATCCTTCTTGCAACTACTTTTCTATTAGCATCACCTTCTTGTAAATTTTCTCCTATTTCGCCAATGTCTGATTGAGTCAAAGGTCTTCTGATTAATTTCCTTTCTTATTTCTAAGTTTTGGGATTTATTATGATAATCTCTTCTTCAATATATGCTTCAGGTTCTTACTATGAAACTACCTTTTCTAAATAACCATTATTCGATTAAACCCAGGTTGAGTCCATTACTTTATTATTTTATACAATCTTTCTTGAGACAACTTTATTTCCATTTTAGTCTTTCTCTATAACTGCTCCAGTTTATAATTTGTTATCTTAAGGTAAGTAAGGTCTTCTTACTAGTTTTCTTTATACATTTCCATCTTCACCTTAAACTAATATTTCTTCTTCCACATATTTTACAGGTTCAGGTTAAAATCTAATTTCCATATTTCCATCACTATTTTTAACCCAACCTTGCTATTTCAAAGCCTGATTTGATTAATCATTTTAGACAATTTTTCTTGAAATTATTTATTTACCATTTCCTAAATTTTCTTCTAAATTCTACCCAAATTACAAATTATCTAGTTCTTCGTTATTCAGTGGTTTTCTGATAATTTTTCTCTCTAATTTTCCTGTCTTTGGGTTGATTTGAATGATTTCCTCCTCGATAAATTATTCTGGTTCTTCAGAATTTAAAATGATCTCTTCTTATTTCCCAACATTCTACCATTATTGTTTGGTTGCTTTAGGTTAAAGATTGGACTCTATTTTACGTGAAAGTACTTTATTTCCATTCTTATCCACATCATTTAACTAATCGCCTTCTTGAATCTTTCCTCCCAAATAAGGCTTTCTCACTAATTTTCTTTCCATCATTCCTGTTTTATTGTTAAATTATAAAACTTCTTCAGTAATATATTGAGAAGGTTCAACTCCTAAAGATTATTCGTAATTTCCATCATTATTTTTTCTCCAGTTCGAAGAAGCTAGAGACAAATCGTTATCAACTATCTTTCTAGAAACTACATAACAACCATCACCTAAATCCTCCAAAAGTTCTTCTCCTTCTTATATATTCCCATCATCGTCCAAAGGTCTTCGTATAATTTTCCTTTCCTACTTTCCTCCTTATCATCGATAATAATAACTTCTTCTTCAATAAATTAAGTTGGTTCTTAAATGGATAAGGTTTTCTCAAAATATCCTTAATTGTTTTTCCATCCTTCCTTCTCAGCTTACTATGTTGAAGTCGTATTTTCAATAACTCTTCTTGCAAGAATCTTATTTCCATTTTAATCAGTTTCTTATATATTATTTCCCACATTCTAACCAGGTTAATACTATTTTCTGACTAATTTTCTTTCAATCTTTCCTGTTTCTTCATTCATTACTAAAACTTCCTCCTCAATAAATTTAGCTGGTTCATTTTGAACTATGAGTTTTTCTAACTATCCGGTTTTTTTTAATTTTTCTTCCATTCACTTAAAGAGGTGTCATTTTAAACTATTCGACGAGACACTACCTTTTAGTTATTGCCTATTGATTCATTTAATTAATCTCCAATTTCTTCTTCATTTTCATAAGGTCGTCTAACTAATTTACGCTCTTGTTTGCCTGTTTTTGGATTGATTATTATTACTTCTTCTTCAACAAATTGTTCAGGTTCTTCTTATGAAATAATTTTTTCATACATTGTACCATTTTTTTTCCAATTTTATAAAGAAAACCTACTATCTATAATTTTCCTTGACAATACATAGTTGCCATTGTTATCTTTTTCTCTTAAATTATTCCCAACCTTTCCCTTGCATTATTCAATTGGCCTTCTTACCAATTTTCTAATCATATTTCCATTTTTACCCTTTATTAGTACTTCCTCTTCTACATATTATGTTGACTCTGCTTAAGAAATTTATAATTCATAATTGCCCTCTGGATTCTTCTGCCATTCTTTACCTTATTACCTTTTTTCATTCTTTTCTATAATTCTTCTTGCAACTACTTTTACACCAAGATTGCTATCTTCATCCAATTCTTCACTTATCTCTTGCAATTAATCATCAAAGAATGGCCTTCTAACTAATTTTCTCTCCTACTTTTTTGTTACCTAATTATAAATTATGATCTCCTCTTCTACAAATTAATCTGGCTCTGATTCTGATAATTTTTTTTATAAAAATCCTTCTTAGGTCAATAACCATCCGTCCTGTAACATTATTTTTTAAGATGGAGAATTATCTAATATTTTTCTAGAAAGTACTTTTACTCCTTTCTAGCTATACTCTTTATCCAGCTCTTTGGCTTTTTCTTTTTCTATGTATGGTTTTCGTATTAAAATTTTTTCTAATTTGCCAGTATCCTTATTAAGTCTTAATATTTCTTCTTGTACAAATTTTCCTAGAGTTTCACTTTAATCTTTGTTTACCTCTACCTGCTTTTATATACTTTAAAATGGATCATTTTTTTCTCTGGTTTTTTAACTGCATTCCATTTGATGAATTTATAATTATTCAATACCAAGATTTCTTTCCAGCCTTTGCATGTTTTAAAAGGACCAGCCATCTGCTTTCATTTGAGTTAGAGATTCATTGTTCTCAACAAGTCTTCTGCTTTCAACAATATCGCCATTCTATTATTCTTCATTAATGCCTTCCCCCATGGTAAGAATTTCTGGTGTTTTTCTTATTTATTTTCGTAAAATGCAATTTCCCTAAAAAATCTTTATGTCTTCTTCTAAATATTAAATAGGTTCGTTTACAGAAATAATTTTTTTATATTTATTGTTACTTGTTAGTTCCCAGCTTTAATCAATTATCCCATTAATAACTCGACTTGCAATTAAAATTTAATCTTTGCCTCTTACTGTATATAAATTTTCATCATTTACATATGTTGAGGAGTCCAAAATGATTACTTCTCTTATTAAAACTCTATCCTACTTCTGTCTATTTCTAAATAAAATTTCTTCTTCAAAGAATTTTGTAGTTTCATCAAACTTTTATATTGCTGGAGAATTTAGGATAGGAGAGGCATTCAATATATTTTTAGAGTATTTTTTTTGTCCTACTATTCTGCTTTAACCATAATTGATTTCTTTATCTTGAGTTCCAGTTTCTCCAACTGATAAATCATCGGCAATGCTTTATCTTCTTTTAGAAATTGCATCCTCAAATACTTCCTCTGATTAATTCGATTATCGTTTTAAACCTTCTAGTTAAGATCTAACTGTCTCCACTTATTTATTAAGTTCTTAATCATATCTTCTTTCTTTATGAATAAATTCTTAAATTTTTTCTTTTTCTTAACTATTAGCTCTGGGGTTTATCTCCTTTATCATTTATTTTATGTCCTATGCAGAGTTGCTTCTATTTGAGTATACTCTTTCCCTAAATTCAAATGCAATTTACGGGTAGTTGTACATAGAATTGATAGTAATTTGAATGTCCTAGATTAAAAGTCTCATCAAATTTGCTTTTTTAACAGGGGATTTTGTTCTACTTTCAGAATAGTTTACAAAAGAACGGGCTAAAGGTTGCTGCATATTTGGAGTACGAGATAAATATGATTTTGGGAGAACTGCAGATTGCTTTAAGGGTGTCATTGCTGATTTATGAGATTTTAAAACTATTGGCTAAGGAGAATAATATATTCTAGATTTTTATAAGGGTATTGCAATTTTATTTGGAGTGTGATTTATTTAATGATTAATAATCGAGAGTTTTAATTAAGTCTCTTATTAATGTACTTCAGATATTGAGTATTATTATTAATAAACTTGAATTGAACTTGATATTCCTTTTTTTTATGTCCCATCAAGAAAACGTGACTTATCAACAACAAAGCCTTAAATTGAGTTTAATGTAAATTTTAAAATATTTTGAGGTAAAATAGCAGAATGCATAGCTTTTTCTGCATTATCATATCGTATTTATTCATAAAGAGCCTTCATTTCGATTTACTCATTTTAATAAAGATTTGCTTTATCTATTTTTATAAATTGTTATAATTCTGTTAAACAAAATAAGTGTGTATCATTTTAAGTAACATTATGAATTTTTAATCGAATATCCAGCTTTTTAATTAATAGTTCACTTAATACCAATAGATATATTTCATTTTTATCTAAATAATTAGGTTAATTATATACTTGTGAGCAAAAATGAATATTGATCGTTAGGCAAAATTTCAGAAATAACTAGGTGTTCATTTGTAAATTATCTGAATTTTTAAAGCACCCATTTCTAATTGCTATAAAAACTTTATTTAAAAGAATCCGATAGTAAAAATATGTTTGAAGATCCTAAATTTTAAGTACATTGTAAAAAATACCATCAATAAGTAAAATGTAATCCCTTCCAGCGCAAATTTTATTAATTTTTATCTATAAGCTGTTTACAATTTATGGTATTTCTGAATTTCCAATTGGTGTTTGTCCCCATGTCCACAATTTTCCTGAATAATCTAGACCGCATGCAAGATGAGTGGAAAGAGACACCTATTTAAAATCTGTAGCAATTCTACTAGGAATAGGTAAAAAGTATATCTTTGAAATTCCAAGAGTGCCATAATGATTCTTATCGTCTCCAAAAGAATACACCTACCCAGAATATGAAAGTGCTAATGTCACATTTTTGTTTGTTGTGATGTACTTAATTTTTTCATTCTTGAATGGTAGTTAATAAAAGGAAAGCTCATAGCTGATATAATATAGGCACCCTGTTTCAGAAAGTATCTAAAATGAATTTAAGGAAAACCCTTTACAAATTTATCTCACCTTACCGAACTATCCTAACACATTGAATGGTTTATAAGTATTCTAATTTTTAAAGAAAGCTTACCTGCTCATCATCATAGATATACAATATATCATTCATTTTTTAATTAATATAAAGTTATAATGACAAAATTGAAAGTCCCTGCAAATGATCTTGATTATATAAACTCAAGACAATATTAGTCTTATAAAATCTTTAGTGAACTTCATTTTGAGGATTTCGAAGGGTCAGTGGCATCAAAATTAATTTCTTGCACAGAGTTTACATGCATAGAGATTTGATTAGAGTTTTGAGAGCTTTACTTATATGTTGGTTCATTTGAAAAATAATGATAATCATTACCAGCTTATTGAGAATTTTAAATAAGAGCATCATAAAAGTCAAATTTTAGAACATACATATTTAGTAAATCATGAGGAGATACTCGTAAAGATATTTTTTGTGATGATAATTCGTTGATTATTGCATTTATATAGAGAGCATCCATCTTCGTGAAATAAAATCATAAAAGTAATTTGCTTAATCGATGCTAATCTATAAAATTTTTTGAAGCCTATAAATTTAAGCATATTCTAAGAATTTGAAGTAAGAAGTTCAATTTAAAGTATACAGAAGGTATCGATATATTAAAAAGAATAGCGAGTGATTTTAAATAGTATAAAATTAAAAAATTAGAATAATAAATTAAAAAAGTGCTTAGGTTGTTAAAAAAATTTCGACATAACCATTTTATTACATTATTAAGATAAATTATGGTATTAAAAAAATATGATTTTATAATATAGATGAATTTTTTTTGGAAACCTAATTGAATAAAACAGTATATATAATATTAGACGATTTTAGGATTGTTTAATTCCTTTGATAATATGACAAAAAAGTTGTTTATTTTGGAATTTAAGAAAAAAATTCACAATCTTGAATTCTGTTTGTGTATTTTTAATTTAGAATGATAAGGCTTATAGTATGCCAGGGGAAAACAAATATTATTTTTTAGCAATATCTTATTTTTTTCAAATTGAACATAAAACCTTACTTTTTGATTCCATGATAACCAAACACTCTCAATTACTTTAGTCATTCCTAAAATAGAAAAATTAATTTTTTTCTTTTTCTTCAAAAAGAAACATAAAATTACTTTAAGCATAACCTTTAGGATTAATTGAATTAATTTTATTTCTTTATTATTCTTTATTGTTGAACTAATTCTATTAACTTTATGTAATTTTGTACCTAGAATTGTAAATTAGTAGGAAAAAGGATTATTTGAATTCATATTAAAATTTACAATATGAAACATGAAATAAATTTAATTAACAAATTATCAATAAATTTTAGAAAATTAATCTTTTTTTTGTCTAAAATTATTACCATTTACTAAAAGGATATTTCAACCAAATCCATATTATCCAAACCTTAAAAATTCTTGCTTCTAAATTTAATATTGGAAATAGTTGAAAAAAAAATCCAGACAGTCAAAAAAAATTGCTTGTAGTTTCATATAAGAAAATAATGTAAAATGATGTGATATTTATATTTATTTATTATTTTCAAACTACAAATAATTACTGTTTGTTCTCTTAATATTTATGAGTGTAAAATTTAATTGTAGTATGTTTGGCCTTGAATCTATGAGTTAAGGCATATACGTTAAAGGGACTATTTTTGTTTGTAGTTACACAAGCCAAATGATTTAAATTTACATGAGGTGGAGGGGACAATGAATTGACATTGCTAAAAATTTAAATAAGGTGATCAAATATTTCTTGTTATGATATTTAAGGTTTAGCATCCTCAAGTTCCATTTAGCCTTATGGTCTAATGTCTTTATTCCACATATTATTTAATCTTTTCTCTTTTTCCTGATGAATATAAATACTTTTACCTCTATATAATAATACTTTAGCAAATGAGGAGGCACTAGGGGGGCTTTATCATTAAAATTAAATTCTTAAATCACTTACTTTTGATTCTATATAATGGAATCATTAGGGGATTTCTCTGGCTTAAATTATTAACTTGATTCCATTAATTCTTTAGCTTTATTTTCAACTTTAGTGGTATCTATCACATTATTAATATTCCGTGCTCATCAGCAGTTGTAGGATCATCTGGTGAGAATCGCCAATCTCCATCTACAATAAACTTATAATGATGGATTCCTTTTGGTAAAGGTATCACTATGCTAAATTCTCCTCCTTTATCTCTTTATAATTAGTGAGTTGTCTTCCATTAGGAGAATGTGCCTGCCACAAATACCTTCTGTCCACCAAAATTCCATTTAAATTAAGTATTAACAAATTCTTGTTATGTTTATTCAATATCCTTGATACTTTTAGCTGATTTGTCGCTCATTGATCTATATTAAGTACTGCTAATACCCTCCAGAGTTCATATAGTTAATGGCGTGTTCGTGCCTCTATGTTTCTGTAACTAATTTACTACTTTGAGATCCCATTAAAAAAAATTAATTATAAATCAAAATCTTCTTCCAATCCTCATTTTTGAGTGTAGAGAAATCTTCATTTGTTAATTTCCATTAAACTAAAATATATTAAGCAATCAATACTACATCAATACAGTATTCATCTTATTTTTGAAGAATCCTTTCTAAATCGAAATCTGAAATTGCTGGTTCAAAATCATCCCCATCATTCTCAGTGTTCGATAAAGACTTTCCATATTCCTTTCTTCACTTTATCAAAAATTAATCAAAAGTTTAGCTAAAATTAATATACTGCGATATAAGAAAGCTAAATATCTATTTAATAACGATTGCAATCCTATAAATAATATAAATTTATTGTAAACTAGATAATTTCCTAATAACAATAAATAGCATTCCAATTTGGTTTAATAAATATTTCCCATTATTTTTGTATTAGGCGATAACCTTATAAAGTATTATTTAGTGTTTGAACTAAATTTTCAAAATGCCAATTATCAATCTTAGATGCAAAAACTGAGGATTTGAAAATCAATAATATTTTCAATAAATAGTTATAATTGATTCATTTATGGCAGACTTTATCAGTTTTTCCTTGATACATTTTACAATACTCCTTTAGGAGAGGTAATGATTGAAATTTTGATTTTATGTTGTCGAAAAATTTATTATTATTTTATTCAATATAAGTCTATAAATTAAACATTTACAGGTCCATCAATACAATTGAGAGAGAATAATTCAAAAGATTACAGATTAATGAGACTCTAGTAATTTGTTGCTATATGCTTTTAACAATCAAATTTATCTATATTAGTTTTTTTAAATAGGGACAACTTTGATTTGTTGATTTGAGTAGTAATATAAGTTCAATTTGAAATTATTTGAATCAATTGAAAATGTTATTGCATATTTATAAAATGTTTTTGTTTTTCTTATTTCAAATCAATTCAACAGAGTCTAATATGACTTTGCTTTCCTTATTTGCCACACTAAGGAAAAGACTTAAATCACTAACATATGCTTTTGCCATTCTTGAGACATCCTTTTGAATTACAATGTAGCCTTTATTTAAGAAAATGATTTACTTTAAGTTGGTATATTATTTTCTACATATTCGACTGCTTATCTTCCTTTCAAAGTTCTGCTTAAAGCTTGTTTTGCGCAATACCAATTGATATCATGAATTTCTGCTCCAGCTAAATTCATAGCCCAAGTTTATTTGTTTTCTTTTTCTTAATCAAATTTTACATCTAACAGGATATGCCTTAAAAATTCTTTAATAGTATGGGACTGGCCATTATGATGTTGACATCACTCTATCTACAATAGGTCTTTCATGGATAGGACCCCATAAAGCTCCAGAGAAACGTGCCACTGATTTACTATGAGCTAGACGAATCATTTAATTATTAATATAATTAATTATATTTTTTTCTATTTTCAAATCCCACTCATCTAAATATTTATCATATTTGCTATCTTATCATTTGATTCCTCAAATTTAAATTAAAGAATGTGAGAATAAAATATCAAAGAAGAACTTATACTATTATTATATTAATTGTCAAGTTGTAACATGTAATCAAAACATTAAGTAATTAAAATCGAATGGCTAAATATAGTTTTTATCTTTCTATAGAAAAAAATAATTTAATTTAATTTTCTAGTGAACTAAACTATGGCATCAAGATCTAACTTTATCCATTAAAATTGAGTTAGAGAATTGTTTTAATTAAATATTTGATAAGTCCCTATACTATTAATCTTGTTATTTAATTTATTCTTAAGAAATTTACTATCTTTGAGCTTAAAAGAATAATAAATAAAAAAAGAAAGATTATAAACTCGTAAGTCAGTGATATAAGAAAATGGAATATATTATTTATCACTATATTATATTATATACCATTTAATTCACTGGTTCTAATTTGGGATTGATATTTAATATTAATGTTTGAATGTTTATAATTTTTTTTATTATAACCAAAGAATAGTTGTTCTAATGTTTTAAACAAAGAAGTCGAATATAAAATTTACTATTGATAAGCAATTCTATGCATCCATCTAAAAAAATGTAACTGAAAATAAACCTGTTTAAGTATGTCCCTCTAAGTTTCCTGCGAAGAGTTAACAAGTATAGATTATAATTATGAATAGATAGATAAAACCGCAAATCCAAAGCTAAGGACAAAGCAATCAGAACCTATTTTAAAATAAATTCCATCACTCATTAATCAAAGAAAAATAAGCGATAATTAACAACTTCCAAATTCTGCAGAATAGACAAAATGTTATGATGGCAATTCTTAGCTGATATAATAATTAATCTAAGAAAATATGAAACTAAAAAAATAAAACTTAGCCAAAGATTCAATCATTAATTAATTGATAACAAATAATGACACATAAAAAGTTAATTTGTGTAGAGCAAGCACATCCCAGACTGAAAGAAATGCCCATAAATTGCTTAAGCAGTAGAACAAGTAAAAAGATAACAAATATTTAGTCAGAAGACTGCGCGTAAGAGTATGGAAGAGCTATCCTCATTAGGATTTACATTTTGTAATACAGAGCAAAAAAATTATTAAAAAGAATGTGAATAATTCTCTATTAAATCTTCAAAAAGTCCTGTTAAATTTCCAAAAGAATTTTAGATAATACCAAATCAAAAGAAGTTTTTTGTGTGAGTTTTTGTTAAGATTGGTTTCAATTAAGAGTAGTTAATAAAAATAAAATATTATATATAAAATTAAAATATTAGATGGGCTCGTGTTGTGCAAATACTACATAAGAAAAAGAATCTTTTACTGCTATTCCAGCTCCAATCTAAATAAGCAATGAAAATTTAGAAGTTAAAGAAACAACAAAAATAAAGGAGTCTAATGAAACTCCAAGTTCACCCATAAGATCAGAAAAAATCGATGTATAAATTGAAATTAAAATATAGCACAGGAAGAGAATTATGGAAGCATTAAGAGTTATCGAGGAGTGTTGATTGAAAACACTAATGTATATATGCATTCTTTTAATAGTATAGATATTTGATGAACAATCCTCGCTTGCTCTGACTATATATAATTCTTTAGGTATTTATGTTAAAAAAATAAAGGTCCATTTCCATTTCCAATAATTAAAGATCAGACTCTTACTTATGCTGGTCCAGTTCAAATTGATGCAGGGTATTTCTAAAATAGATATTAGATCAATTTATCAGGGATAATGGTTAGATGGAAAAAGACATGGATTTGGAAAATACTTACATCCTTATGGATCAATTTATGAAGGGGAATGGTATAACGATTAATAGTAAGGATATGGGAGAATTGTGCTTCCTAACGGGGATTAGTAAAATAATCAGTGTATAAAATAAGTTATGAAGGCTAATGGAAGAACGATAAGGCATGGGGAACCGGAAAATATGTTACGATAGATGGAACTACATATAATGGGGAATGGGTGGATGATAAATAACATGGAGTAAATAATGATATTCATAATGAGAAAGGAGTAGAAGAATGGAAAAATGGCTAAAGGTATGAGGGAGACTATTTAAATGGCTAAAAAACTGGATATGGCCTATTTTTTTGGCCTGATGGTTCCAAATATGAAGGAGGTTTGCTTGATGGAATGCCTCATGGAGATGGTGAATACACATGGAAAGATGGAAAAAAGGTATATTGAGTATTCAAATTAGTATAAAGGGGAGTGGATGTTTAATCAAATGCATGGTTATGGAATTTATATTTGGCCTGATGGAAAAATATACAAAGGAAATGTAATTTAAGGTTGCTACTATTTTAGTTTGAAAAAGATTAAAGAGAAGGAAATGGGGAATTGGATTGGTCGGATGGTAGAGTTTATAAAGGCAACTGGAAAAATGGTAAATAACATGGAGAAGGAGAATTTATTTATAAAAATAAAATCCGAAAAGGAGTTTGGTAAAATGGGCAGCCAGTAAAATGGAGTCATAGTGAATTATTATGAATATAATGAATACTATAATATTTTAATGTATTCTTTCTCAATGTACGAGAAATTGCAAGTTTTTGAAGAATATTTTGATGAGATATATATATGATTACTAATGTATATTTCATAATGTTCCAATATATACATTAACGTTGTAATTCAATTATTGTTAATCCATGGGCATTTTGATTTTAGCTGAGACAGAAAATGCAAACTGTATTTTTGTGGCATCCTTAATAATTAAAATGGCTTCAAACTTTTAATATTGTTAAACATCGCTTTCTATGTTGTCATTATTGAATGTAAAGTTGGGTGAGGGTAGATTCTTCACTGTTAATAATTTATATTATTCCAATATCTACTAATCAAGAGGTTAAAAGGAGTATTCCATGGCATTTTTAGTTTTATTAAACATTTAAATCACTACTGACAATTCTGTTTTCTCCTTGTTCACATAAGATACTTTACCCACTTACAAATAAGGGGCATGATCATAGTGTAAGTTTTAAACACTATAAGCAAACTTTTTTGAGTTTTTTTCTGGCTGTAATGTAAAAATTAATTTTTAACATTTTCTGCATTTTCTATTTTTTCTGCTTAACAATCCTAAAGGTATCGGCAATAAAGTTGAAGATTATTATGATGGATTAAAGTCTTACAATTCGACTTATTTGTTATTTAAGTCTAAGTTATACCTTTATAGAACAACCTTTAGGTTTTTTTCTTTAGTCATCTTATCTATGTCTGCATTACTATAGTGAATTAAAGCTTCACTTTTTGTCCATGATTATGTTAATGATTTTAAGACATGTTTATTTTTTTATTGTTTCTTGATTAGGAAATTATTATTCTCTATACTTTTAATACGATTATATTGATCTTAGAAGTCCTTATACTCAGCTTCATATTCTTGTTTATAAGCATTATTAATTTTTGTGTAAACCTATTGAAAATTAGGATCAGTGACTCCAATTGTTCTGGTTGTATAAAAACAATATGAACAAGTGAATCCATAATTCTTCTCAGTGTCTATTTGTCTACGCAATACATTTTTGCAAACAGGACATTCAAAACAAGAACTACAATTAACAGTCAGATTGGATGTTTCGCTTGTAATTTGAACATCTCCACAATTTCTACAATAATAGCAAAATATTTCATTTGATGTACAATATCTACACATACTGTTTTGGCATCTAAGATGAACAAATAATAATACGATAGACAACAATACATTTCCTCTTATAGAAACTCCCTTCCACATTCACATTGAATTAGAATTAGGGGTAATTTGGCTATCTTTTTGAATTAAAACATTTTTATGAAATATTTATTTATTTGTTTATTAATATCAAACCTTAATGTTTGAGAAATCTACGCTTTAAACAAGAGCTAAAGCTTATTCACTGACTCCCAATTCTCTTGTGAATTCATTTTTAGTGTTGGTGTAGATGTCAGTCTCTTCAGCATAAGTGTTATTTTCCAATTCTAATTCGGCAGTGTATTATTTTTGATCGGCAGCTCTTTAGTCTCTAAATTCAACCATGGAATCGATTTTTTCTATTATAATAGATGTCATATTTACCATTGGTAGCAGTCAAATCAACGGTTGCTCTGTCAATTTATCTTCCGAATTCAGAGAACTCATCATCCAATTATTCAAGATAAGCTTCATGATCAATAACATCTTAAGCTTCTTGGGCTGTTAACTCATTGATTTAATCAACGACTGCATTTCTAAAATCATTAAGAGCATCAACGATAGATTTCAAAACATCTTGATTTGAAAAGTTTTAATTTGATGCTAAACTTATGAGTGCCTTGATCATTGGTGCCATTCTAGATCTTGATCTCAATTTATTTTCGATGTTTTTCAATGTATTTTAGAATCTCTTAATTTGGAGTAATGATGGATTGGTCAAGGAAGCCAAAAGACTAAGAGCATCGTCAACTGAAGAAGTAGCATCATTCAATTCAGCAACTTAAGCTTCGAATGCATCATGCTCTTATCCTCTAACTAGGATAGCTTCATCATAGAGCTTTCTGTTTTCCTCTTAATATCCAATAACGGTATCAATTTTGCTTTAGATTTGACTTCTTCTTGGATAAAGTAAGTTGTCAAGAGTGTCTTATGTGTTGTTGACGTCTAAGAATATAATTTTGCTTAATACCTATAACAGCATCTTGAATGTCTTGTTCAAGACTAACAACTAAGGCATTGTGTTCGTTTGTTCTCACTTGGAAATTGAATTCAAGTGTCTCTAATTCCTCCTCTAAGTCATTGATGAGTTCTTCGATAGCATCAATCAATTCTTAAACTGGACCTCCTGCCATTGAGTGTAACTCAACCAAATGAAGTAGTGCACTTCCATATGTACTCTTTGCTAATTCAGCTTGGATTTTAGCCATGTTTCTTTCTTAAACTCTAGCTGTAAAGGCTACAGCAATAAGGGCAATCAGTATTATGGATTTCATGAATTAATATTAATTAAATAAAAACGACTTTGCCTAATTATCAATATCATAAATCAATCACTAAATAATTCTGGTGTTTCTGGTGCTAGACAATCAGAATTCCAACATGTACTAACTCGTTTTGAAACATTTTCAACCTTTTTACTTCTCGCATCTTCATAAAAGAAGTTTTGTTTGCTAACTTCTTACTGCAACTGTCTCTACTGTCTAAATTCATTTTCTCGCTTCACTCTCATGAATAAAACAAAATTACCTTATATTTATGATTTAATCCTTCTTTTATAGTTCTTGTTGTCAAAGATGGACGTCGCATGAGGCTGTTTGTAATTATATCTTTGGAAGTTTGCTAGAATTTGCTAATTGGATTGGATTATTCATTTGATTTATTTATCATTAATGATTAGGTTCTTACTATTGTTTTTGAAGTCTACTAAGTCTAAGGAACTACTTAAGATATTTATTATGATATTTATTAGGATAATTGCTAAGACATATATTAAGAATCTTTTAAAGATTCTTTCTTCGAAATTTCATCATCTTTAAATTGTTGAAATTTTCTTCGTTTTTCTGCAGATACTTTTTAAGTTTGTTTCTATTCCTCAAGATATCCAATACATTTTTACATATTTTTGCCTTTAAAAAATTTATTTAGGTAAGTTATGAATTAATTGTTCTTACTTTTACAATTTTATATTATGCATAAAAAGAAACTATCAGGTTTCATCTCATAGACTTAAGATTAAGTTTAAAGTAATAAGAATATCTTAATGAGATCACCTCCATACTTCTATTTGTAATCTACATTTTAGATTTCGAAATATTTTTTGCACTCAAATTAGACTAAAATACATTACAATCTTAAAAGTGTTTATAATAAATACAAGTCAATCTAGAGATCTATTTTATAAATACTTAGTTTAAGTTAGAAAATGCCCATGCTTAAAAATAGATAATTTCATTTTTTCTCAAATGACATGATTGAATTTCTTTAAAATCTATAATGTAGTCATCTGAAATTATTTTAGGATATAACATAAATCCGTCTTAAGTTTTTAATTTTATTGCCAAAGCCACAGCCAAATTTTTTAGTTCACAAAAATACTCTATAATTGATTTAATTCTCTCTTGCCTACCTTAAAATATACAATCTACTTATCAAGGTTATTTGCTCTTTCTGCTAATAAATCTAGTTGAGTATGAAGATAGTTAGGAAATGTTTCTAAGAGATAATTTTTATTGTTAATACTCATTATTTATAATAATAATCTCAAATTTTCACTACAATCCATAAATTGTAGCTGTTTTATAATTTCAACCTCAACCTTATTCGAATAGGAAGACACAAAGAAGTTCAAAAAGCGATATTATTAAGAGAAGAGAAGATTTATCGTACAACACTTTAGCAATCAAAAAATCCTTGTTTTTATCTAAAATATGAGTAACCTTTAAATTGTGCTACTCTTTTGAAATATAAATCAAGATGCTTTATTTGAAGCTAAACGTGTATTAATATAATCATTTATACTTGATTATAAGATCACAATATTATTTTCTACAATTTTAGCATAATCTATAGATCTCGTTTATTTATATTATAATAATTTTTCATTTTTAGATTTCTTTCTCTTTTCCTTATTTTACAACTTTTTAATCCTACTTATCTTTATTTTCATCCTTATTTTATTCATCCTTTGTTGCCACCTCATCAATCAATTTTTAGACTTTCATTATAGGTTTTTTGGTCACTACCGTAATTTGGAATGTTGTATAATCTTGTAATTCTGGACTGTAAAAGTTTTCTATTTATAATGTGAATTATCCATAAGTAGTAATTTTGTTAACCATAGACAACATATGATTTTTTGTGATCTATTGTAAATATGCATAATACTTGCAATTTGAACCTTTATTGAACTTCCTCGATAATTAATTTGTCATCTATTGGGTCTTTAAGAAGACTTGGATTCGAAAATTTAGGAGGCCTAACAAATTCTAAATGGATTCCTGCAATTTTTTGTTAAAACAACTTGATATCCTTTCTTCTCTAGATTTTATTTTCTAACTTCTCTTCATCAAGATCGGGTAATAATCTATGATTGAAAATTGAATTCAAAGTACCTTCTTCTATATCCTGGCAGATTCTAATATGCCATGGCCATTGGAAAGAGATATTTCTCAAAAAATCCAGGTTTTACAATGCGTATTTCTCCTTAAAATCCTTGTACGCAATCTTTTAAAAAAAATATTTCCATTCTCTATTTTGAGAAGAAGTATTGTAAACCTCTTTTCATTAAATTTAATTACAGTATATTATTTATTGGATATTAATTTAAATTATGGAAGGTATCATAACTTAATTTGGCATATTATTTCTACTGGCGGCTCTCTTCATTTTTGATGGGCTATTCAAATTAGTGCCATTATATGCAATCATAGCCGAAGTCTATTCATTATATTTGGATAGCTAAAAGAGAACACCTCAATAAAAAGAGTTGCTTAAAAATTAAAAATTGACTTGGCAAGAATTGAAAAAACACGACAACTAATCCTCAGCCTATGTGGCAATCAAAGGAAAAGTATATGATGTTACCTCATTTTTGAACAGCCATCCTGGAGGAAGAGAATTTTTATTGTTGAATTGTGGAAGAGATGCTACTCTTGCATTTCAATCATACCATCCCTTTTCTGATAAACCTGAGAAATTACTCGAGAAATATTTGATTGGAGATCTTTTGACGACTGAGTGGCCAACTTTCAAGCCAGACTCTGGATTTTATAAGGAATGCACAGAGAGAGTTAAGAAATATTTTTAGTCTAAAGGGATAAATCCTAAAACTCCAACTCCAGGACTTGTCAGAGCAATCCCATTGTGGACTTGTTTCTTCTATACATTTTATTTAACATTTGTAAGTGATTCACTTGGCTTGACTAAAAGAATTTTAATAGGCACCATTTTTGGTATTTTATAAGCATTAAATACTTTACATTTAATGCATGATGCATCTCATGGGGCTGCTGGAAATAATGAAAAATGGTGGTGGTTCTTTGGTAGACTTACCTTAGATTATATATCTGGATCATCTATGGTGGCTTGGTAGAATTAACATGTCGTTGGACATCATTAATACACAAATATTATGGGATCAGATCCAGATATCCCTTAATTGAAAGAAGGAGATGTTAGAAGACTAGTCAAGGAATAAATTTGGAGTGCTATGTATAAATATTAACATTTGTACATGCCTTTTCTATATGGTTTATTATCACTTAGATCAAGATATTATGATGTTTTTGAAATATTTTTAAAGGAAACTGACGGTCCTGTTAAAGTTAATCCAATCTCTTTATAGGACAAGTTACGATAAGCCAGCAGTAAACTACTATGGCTATTTTGGAGATACTATTTGCCTGTTTAAGTTTTTGGAATGAGTTAATGCTAATTTTGGTTCCTTTTCATTTATGTGGAATTCATAACTGGATATTGGTTGGCTATTAATTTCTAGGTTTCTCATGTGTCTGATGAAGCTGAATTCTTCTATAATAATATGGATAAGGCAGTCAAAAATGGTACAAATGAACAATGGCCAATTGAATGGGCTGTTCTATAAATTAAGAGTTCAGTGGATTATAGTCATGGTAATTGGTTTATGACTTACCTATGTGGAGCCTTGAATTATTAAGTCGTTCATCATCTATATCCAGGAGTGAGTCAATACTTATATCCAGAAATAGCTCCTATTATTTTAGAGGTTTGTAAAAAATATAATCTTAAATATAACCTCCTTCCTGGATTCAAGGAAGCATGGAATGGTCATTTTAATCATTTAAAAAACATGGGTAAACAAAATAAATTTGTTGGTTTTGCCAAAATGGAATGATTAATTCTATTTTAAAAAATAACAAAATTATTATATCGTTTAATTATACAATCTTATATTAATAATATTATATAAGTAAATATTATTATTATTATTAAAGATTAACATTATATTTTACATTTAAAGTCTTGAAAAATACTTGAATATAAGTATAAATTAAGAATCTATTCATTCTTATTGATTTGGTTACGAAATTGTAAATAAGAATGGAAATAACATTCGTTTATGAATATAAACACTCATTAGAATAATGAATGTAGACTGTTAAAATACTTTAAATAAATTTTATTTAACAATTAATCATTAGATCAAATTTTCATTTTCATCTCTAACTTTTGATGTTTGGTTCTACCATAAAGCATCAATTTCTTTATCATTTAAGTTTTTGGTTTCTTTTATAAATATCATAAAATAAACTGTTGCCACTCCCATCATGATTCCAAAGTAATAAAATGTATAGCACATTCCAAATGAATCTCTTATGACAGGGAATAAGAATGTGATTGTAATATTGAATGACCATTAAAAGATGAGGGCTATAGTTAGGTAAATTCCAGAGAGAATTTCAGGTGTATAAAGAGGAATAATTGCTCCAAAAGTATTGAAGAAGACCCCAAAATATAAATAAATAGCGATTACTATGTAGACGACAACAACGGATTTTAATGTTGTATCATTATATTCTGAATTATCATTAATAGCCGAACTAATACCAGTACTGATTAAAACAGCAGCGAGAATTCCTGTTCCTATAATTAGGGGCATTCTTCTTCCATATTTTTAAGTCAATTAAGCACCTGTTGAATAAAAGATGAATTTGATAATACTCATTCCTATTGTCAATATTTATGCCACTGTTATCGTAGTAACTTACTAAAATATCTTAGTGGAATAGGAAATAATAGGAGTAATACCTGAATTAGAATAAAATATGTTAATCATAATTCCTAAAAATACTCTTGCATTAGGTAATGTTTTTTCTACATTCCTTTTGTTTACTAAATTTTCAAGATCTTATTTTAATTTTGATACATCCTCATCTTGATATAGATGTCCCAGAAATTCTTCTGCTGCCTAAGCTAATTTAAATACTAGCATATACCATTGCCTGACTATATTGAAAATATTGGAGATTCAAAGGGAAAATAAAATTTCAATAAGAGACTCCTAGTGATACAGATAATTATAGGAGGCAAAAGATAAAATCTCCAGTAACTCATATCAACAGATGTCTATCCTTTGACATCTCTGAAACCCAAAGCCATAAACGATTATACAATTGTTCCTAGAGACAATCTACATATATTTAATATATACAAGACTAAGTTTTGCCCTCCCAAGACTCCATAAATTTGAGTAGGAATGATTTCTTTCAAAAACATTGGTGTCACTAAAGTTGTCAATCCACTACCAATTCCAGCAATCACTCGAAAAAATATAAAGGTATTATAGTTCTAAATGTTTAATCCTGCAGTCCCAATAATCAGTAGTAAATCAATCAAATATAGCATTAGTCTTCTTGAAGTTGTTTTGACTATTAAAATTCCAATTACACATCCAACCAATCCACCAAAATTAAAGGAAGTCATCATCGCTCCCTCTTTAAATGATGAGTCTATATCAATCCATATTCTGATATGGTCTAAGGGACCATTGATTATATAAGAATTATAAGCAAAACTAAATGTTGCTAGTGCAACACTATATGTCATAAGTAAACATTGTTAAAATGATTTATATGACATTATATTATTAATTATATTATTCACTTTACACTGTCACTATAATATACGCCATCCTAAATCCATTTAGCAACATAATTCCTAAAAGTAGTTCTAATACAAAGTTGGTACTCAATAATAAAGTCCAGATATTTTATCATTATATAATCAATAAATTTAATACATATATGGACTACTTTTTAGGAAATGTTACATAAATATTTAAAACCATCTTATTCTAGTAAGATTAACAATAGATTTTAGGGAATCATTCTAGTAAACCTTCATAAATTAGTTTTTTTCATAATTTCCATATTTTCCACCAAAAAGCACAATATGGATTTATAATAGGTTTTTAGATATTAGCTTAATTTCAAAGCTTGATTTCTATGTTAAATTCACCTAAAAGGCTTGTCTCCATAAAAATAGTGATTAAAATAGGGTTTCCCTTAATAAGGACTACCTCAATCTAAATCAAAAATTTAAGGTAAATTGCAGAAAAAAAGATCGTAAATTTATTTAATCTAAAATTATCAATTTTTGTTGTCAATAAAAATCAAAAAGATTAATCAGAAAACAACTTTGTATCAGTTTTAAAAAGAGTTTTTAGATTAGGAAAGATTTTGTAAATAAGAAAAAGAGAGTTCATTTTATGCTGGTGTAGTTAGATTGCTGATTTTTCTTTACTCCGAATAATCTAAAATTTATAAAAAGAGTTATATATATATAATTATTAAATTATGAAAGTTAGAAGTGGTTGTTCCTAATATCCAAGTCTCTTACAAATATTCATCATAGTCTTTTATGTCTTAAACACTGTGATGACGTATATACATATTATGATTCTCGAAGAACATGTAATATTATTATGTATTTAGACTGCACATTACATAATTTTCTCCATTTTGCTTTCAATTTCAGGTTATTTTTGTATAAAAACCACTATTTGTGATCCCACTGATAGTTATGTGATTTAATAATAAAAAAGTAGAGGGTATTTAGATTATTTAGCCTTTAGTACACCTTTTGATTACGAAGAACATCAACTCAACTAATTTTGTGAACTTTGCATAGCATATGTGAAGGAGACCACAAAACATTGTAAATAATGTAACAGGTAATTAACAACTACTATTAGATGTTGCGAAGACTTTGACCATCATTGTAGATGGATCAATAATTGTGTGGGAGGAAAAAATTATAAATAATTTATAGGAATGATCGTCTTTACGTTTATCATCCTAATTTATTCAATTATTGTGAATGGCAGAGTGATAAGTTAATACAACAAATAGGAACTAGAAACCTTAACTGTAAATTTTCACTTTATGAAAGATCTATTCTAAATATAAAAGGTCCCTACTAATAATCACCATAGTGTTGTTAGTTCTGGAAACAATTGCTTCACTGCTTCTCCTCTAATTAATAGTTTTTCACATATATCTTTGGAAAAAAGGTATTTCAACTTATGAATATATAATATAAAGGAGAAGTAAATAAGTTTAACCTTCCAATTTCTCAGAATTCAATATTATCAATAATCAAGAGAGCAAAATGGATATTATTAAAAATAATCGAGAACAAGAAGAGCAATCAGTCGTGTTTAGAAAAGATAAGGAAAAACAGGCAAGCTAAATTTATACGAATTCCGAATTGATGAAAAAGGATGAATCGCTTTGTTCTTCAAAGAAAAATAGTTAATCTATATTGTAAAAGCGAAAACTCACACAAGGAGACAGTGACGATTCTCAAAAGGAAGGCGTTATCAATTTCTTTTCTTAACGAATCTAATCGAATGTAGATCTTAGATTACAAAGTCGCTAAATGAATACCATTGATGTTAAAACACCTGAGATAACCCAATTTTAATGAATGAATTACTTAAGTATAAATAATTAACAAAATTATTTTGGAAATAATTGATCAAAATCTTTTCTCTATTAATGCTTGCTACCGCCAACTTTCGCTGAATTCATTCATTTAAGCCATAAATTCATCTTGGTAACCTTTAAGGACTTTGTTTTTAATAGGCTTTAGATTGAGAGATAGACCTTTTTTATAAATTGGTTAATTTAACGTTGAAGGATCGACTAGTAATAAATTTACATGTTTACCAAATGGAAAGGAATCCTCTTCAGAACTATACTTAATCTGTTCATCGTATACTGCTTCATTCAAATCATGTTTAACTTTACAAGTCTCCACATTATCCTAAAATTATATCTATTTTTATAATCCAATAATTTTTTATTAATCTTTTTTTTTTAATCTCAAAGTATTTAAAATATGTTAAAAGTCTTCGCTCCTGGTTCTGTGTTATAATTGAATTGGACATTTTTATTTTTGTAATTCTTAATTTTTAGTTTCCAACTCTTAAATTAGATTTAGAACATGCTAGGATAGAGTATCAATATCAGATTGAATTTTGTTTGCCAACAGTAAAAAACTTTTTTTTAATTCAGAAAAGAGAACTATTTTTAGGGGCTGTTCTCGTTGTTCCATTCTATCAAGAATTTGTAGAAATGAAGAGAAAGTGAATTCGTTGTAATTGGCACATTCATTTGCTAAACTAGACTCAAGTACTTTACTTTAATGAGTAATACTCTTACATATTTTTCAAATCTTAAAAGCTTGAAGCATCTTCGCATGTGTTATATTAACGAATTCTTTTGGCTATTTTTTCTTTGATAGTCGAGACCACACTATTTTGATTAGGCGAATGCAATCCTTAACACACAGAACTCACCAACCTCTAGTGTAATTGAGAGTAATGGTAGTTATTGGTTTTGGTAATTGATAGATTAGGACTGGAACGATGCAAGTTCTTCTACGATTATCTCTGTATTTTACTAATAATCTAATCCAAATGAGATGTCTTATTATTCATTAATTTAATTATGAGCAGATATCCATAAGTCTTTTTAGATTTTCAAATAGGTACTTAAGCAGCAGGGAGAGTTATCTTTGAATTGTTCAATGATGTGACACCAAAGACAGCTGAAAACTTCAGAGGACTCTGTACTGGCGAATATGGTAATGTGGGTATGGCAAAAAAAACTAAAAAATTACATTATTTGAATACAAACGTGTTTAGGATAGCAGACAACATGTTGATTCAAGGAGGAGACATTATAAACAATGATGGAACTGGGGTATAATAATTTAAAATTTTAGGGTGCTTCAATATATAGTTAAACATTCGTAGACGAGAATTTTTCAAGAAGACATGCCTGTGCAGGTTTGTTGTCTATGGCAAACAGAGGAAGGAATACAAATAATTCTCAGTTTTTCATTACTCTAAAGCCATGTCCCCATTTGGATGGAAAACATGTGGTATTTGGATAGGTGATTGACGGCATAGAAGTAATCAAAAGAGTAGGTCAGGTGCCAGTTGATATGTAGGATAGACCAAGAATTCCAGTTATTATAATTAATTGCGGTGAGGTCTCAGAATCTAAAAATTGGTTGATTTGTGATCCTTTTAAAAAGGAGATTATGGATGAAATTCATAGAGATAGATTAAAGGCATTATATGGATAAGAATATCTGGATGAGTTGGATAAGGAGGAAGAATAAAAACTATAGGCCTTGAATCCTGAAAAGTTTAAGTAATAAAGTCTAGAAAATGAGGAGGAAAGCAATAAGTAATTGTTGGTCGAATAGTTACTATAGAAAACAACAGAAGACTAGGAATAAGAAGATGATTCATAAGAAAATTTGGACTAATTTGAAGGCAAAAAATTTATGACGTAGAAGCATAAAGATAGGTATTTTGAATTAAAAAAGAAAATCCAACAATCTAAAGTATTAAATGACAAGGCAGTTTTGAATGAGGAAAGGTAAAATACTGATGCTTAATATGATAAAAATCTAAGAAAAGGAAAATATCTTTAGAAAAAGGAGGCGGAAAAATAAGAACTTCAATTCAAATAAATAGATGAGGACAAGGATTACTTGAATAGAATGACAGTTAAACATGATGAGGAATAAGAGAAAAAAAAGGAGTATTTCGGGTGGGATGTATTTAATGAGGATGCTGTGTATAATGCTTATAAAAAAAGATGCACCACTTTGGCCAAGAATGAAGGAAAGTATAAGCAATAAATGGGTATTTAATTTTCATTAATCGTTAGAAAGCAATTAGGAATTTGTGCCTACGAATGAAGCTTTGGAGAGACTGAGTTCTGATATCACAAAATAATAGGATAGGAGAAAAGAGTTCTCAAGGAGAAGAAGATTCAATGAAGATCAACCAGTGACTTACATCAATGAGAGAAATAGGATCTTCAATAAGAAGTTAGAGAGATTCTTTGGAGATTATGCTGCAGACATCAAAGCTAATTTAGAAAGAGGAACTGCATCTTGATAAAATTATATATTTTATTATACCATTAAGGGTCAAAAATTAAATAAATATCAAAATGCAATCAACATCTTAAAGGAATCTCTTGCTGACTAGTCCTACTAAGTATCAAAATCCTATGAAATTCAATCAAACTCCAGACGACACAGGGAAGCAGAAACAATACTTCATCAAAGACAAGGAAGCCATGTTTGAGGAAATTCAAACTCTGAAACAAAGCAAAAACCAATTGTTCATCAACATAAAGAAGCTTCAAGCTCAGGTGCAATATTACAAGAAGGAGGCTATGTACAAGGAAGAGAGCAGTCCCCTTAAAAGTTCATCCAGATTCAAACAATTGTATTAGGAGAGAATCGCTATTCTAGAGGTTAATATAAATAAAATTCTAAGGAAGAAAATTCTAAATTGCATCAACAATTAGAGGAAATATAAGCTTTTGTGAGTTCGCTCAAAAATCCATTAAGTCAAACTAATTTAGAACTCTTTAGTTTACAACTATAAAACGATAACCAACAACTGACCACATTGTTGGAGGACAAAGAAAATGAAAACCAGGAACTTAAGGTATTAGCAATAATTATACTTAGAAAGCCAACAACAAATTAACGATCAAATGTAATGCCTTATAGATCCAACAAAATAAACTTAAAGCACTTAATAATTAATTATTATTAGAGATTAACGAATTGAAGAAAAAATAACATCAATATGAAAGTAGGATTTCCTAAAAAGATATTCCTAGAGTCGATGAAAAATTTTAAATTGAATTTGAGCAAACGAAATTAGAAATTAGAAAATTCTAACAATAGTTAAAACAACAAGAACAATCATTTACTAATCAATTACAATTAGAACACGAGAAGATAGAGAAATTAGAAAAAAGAAACAAAGAACTTTAAAAAACTGTTTCACTTCTTGAAAACAAATATGAACAAGAAAAAGTCAACTATCAACAATTATAATAATCGTAGAAGTTCATCAGGAGGACTGTGATTCTCAAAACAATTTAACCTGAAGAACCAGAAAAATATATTGAATAAGAAACAAAAATTAGAAAATTGGGTTCAGTCGAAAAAAGTGAAATTTTACATGTTGCCAAGAAAATTAAATTAAACCTAATAGCTTAATAAGTCTCATTAAAAAAAGTAGAAGAATACCTTCTTACTAATGAGATTCTTACTTTATAATAATTAGAGGAGAATTTGAGTTGTCACATCTTTGGATTAGTTGAAGAAGAGGAGATTTCATAGTTAGCTGCATATTTGGCAGATCTTGAGAATGATGAAGTTGAAACTACAGCTCTAAGAGTTAAAAGTATATTTAAGAATTTAATGGAAAATTATACTATTTTGACCAATAATGAATTGTCAGCCATCAATCAGAGCATTGCATTAAAACGAACTTAAATTAATGAATATTTAACAAAGAAACATCCTCAGATATTTTCAATTGGATCCATAAGTATTGATGTAAGATTATTAATTAATACATTAAGCAATATTTGGATTCATTACAGAATCTAGAAATTTAATTTAACAAAAATGAAATCGACCATTTAGTAGCATTAATCACAAAGTACAATAGATCACCTAGAGTCTTATTGCAATAAATTTATGCTCCTTTCTACATTTGTAATGAACCCATTTCTGATGATGAGGAATCGACCTTTAATTAACCTGTTGCATAATTGCATAATCCTATGTAATTGTCAGAAGATGAAGAATAAATGAGTGCTTTAGACATTAAAATGTGCAATTCACAGGAGTTAAGAAAGAAGAGTCATACTGAACTCCCTTAATTTTGATTTTTTATATATTTATAATGGAAAATCGTTTAGAAAAAAATGTCAACAAATTGATTGAACGATACAAAAAAACTAGTCAGTAAATCGACTAGATGATCCAACCAGAGCAAATCGTTTCTCAACCAATTACTCTGTATCAGACTAGATCTCGACAAAGCAGAACCAATTTCAATGATGAGTAAATTCTAATCTTTACAGAATAGGGACAGTTCTTCAAGGGAAAAGAAGAATCATTCTATTGAACAGATTAGTAGACTAAGGGAAACCTTAAATGCTAAAGAATTGCAAGAAAAGGAAAAATAAGAAAGATTGAGAATTTTGAATAAAGAATTAAAAGTAAGAATCCTTTCTATAATTTAGATGACTCTTAAGGATTACATGCAAGCAAACAAGGATTTGGAAGTTAAAGTCAATCAAAGAGAAAAGCACATTAAATAATTAGAATTTGAATTAAAATCTATTTAAGATTCTTTTTCCAAAGTAGAAAATAATGTTAGGGAGAATAGATAAAAGTGTGAAGGTCAAGAAAAACTGATTGAGGAATTATAATAATAATGTCATGTTTCTCATCAAAAATTGAAAGGGAAGAAAGATAAAATATAATTGTTAAAAGAATAGTTAAAATAATAAGAAGCGCAATTCGATGAGCAAGGCTAAAATTTTGGGAAAGAATTAGAACGAGTGTAAAGACTTTGTGAGGATTTTTCAACTGAAATGTATTTATTAATTTAATAGTCGTTAGTAAAAATTAAGAGGCTTAAAATAGGGAATTGGAAGAGGAAAAAGTACAAATACTAGATGAAATCTAATAAAAAGAGGCATAAATTAGATATTTTGATTAGCTTTTGTAAGATTTTCAATTCAGGGATGAAGATAACTTAAAATAAATAGACTTTTTAAATTAAGATTTGCAATATTAAAAAGCTTAAACTTAATAATATATCATAAAATTTGAAGAATGCCAAGCCAAATTACAATAAGTAACTGAAAATACATAAACAACAATATTAAATAATGAGTAAGAATCTAAAAAATAATAAGACCAATTTTAAGATATAATATTTAAAAAAAAAAAAAAAATCAATGAACAAAAACATAAGATTGAGTAACTCTAATAAAATATCTCTGATTTATAAAGAAAAGTAGACAATGATGACAAAAATAGATAAATCCAAGAATATGATCTCAAAAAGTTGTAATAAATTAATAATGAACTCAAACAGATTAATGATTAACAAACATAAAAATTATACAATAATGAAGAGAAAATTTAATAATTACTTTTAGAATTATCAGAATAAAAACAAATTAATTCAAATTTAATAAGCCAAAATAAATAAATGGAATAAAAATCTGACTAAGCTGAAATAATTATTGAACAAGTAATATTATTTTATTATCATTAGCTTAAAGACGACATACAAAACTTATCAGATTCACTTATTTAAGTCTAAAATTACAATAGAAATCTTGAATAGGAACATCTTGATTGTAAATTATAGCATGAAAAATAAATGGATGAAATAGAGAAGAAAATTGATAATTTAGTTGAATCTGCTGCAAATGCTAAAGATGAACTTAAAGAATCTAAATAGAGAGAGAATGAACTTAAGTAGAAATTAAAGTAGTAGGAACTAGAGACAGATAAGTAATAACAAAAGTGTCAGAAATACAAATTGCAATTAGAAAGTCTAAGACAAACTATAAAGAATGTAAGTAGATTTTATATTTTAGTTGGAAGATAAATTTAAATAGTATGATTGCTAGGCATAATAAATTTAAATTTAATCTCAAAAATAAGAAGAAATGTAGAATTAATAAAAATTAAAAGTTTTAGAAGATATTTAATCATTAATCAAATTACATAGAAAAATATGATTATGAATATTAATATATATTAAACAAAAGTTCGTAAGCTTATTATATTAAATTAAACTGTATTTTATTTGTAAACATTACAATTTGACTTTCATTTTGATACTATATCAGACTTTAGATTATTAATCTGTCTTTTATGTACAATTAAAATTTTATACTAACATTACAGAATAAATCTTGGAATTTATTTTATGATTAAATAATATTAAAATTACAAAAAGAAAATGAACCCTTAGGATCATTAAAATCAGTTTATGCAAACCAACAGACCTCTATAAATTTTCCCTCAATGCATGAATCCCTGGTCTTATTAATATCCTCATGGTTACTCTCCATACTATTAACATCAGCAACTAATGTTTTATAGGTAGTTTATCCCTGCCGCTGTACCTGAAATGTAGCATACTCAAAAGCAGTAATAACAAAGGGTAGTTATCACAATTTCGAGTGATGAAGAGAAAGCGCCTAAAAAAACTTAGGAACAGCCTCCAAAACCTGTTATAGAAGCACCTCCTCAACCAAAAAAGCAGCCTAAGATCTTGGATTTGGATTAGTTGGAAAGTTAAGGAAAGGTGTATGATTACGAATCTTCTGACTCCCCTCAACTTCCAAGAAGAGTTTCAAAAAGTTTAAATTTTTAGAAGACAATGCGACAAATGCATTATGAATCATTCTAATCACCCAAGCAAAAGAAGAGGCCAATTAAAAATCGTAAGGAACCTACTCGCATTCAACCAAAGTTAGCGAAACAAGTTCAAATAGGAAGATAGCGCCAACTGATCGAATTCCCTCAATCAAGTGTAAAAACGCGTTTAATCAGGGTTTACACTAAAAATGAAGAGAAATGTACTTGATATCATATATTTGAGACAGTTTAGAAACTACTCAATATTCTGTTATAGAATTTTCCAAATGCAAATGACGAAGACGTAGTAAGGATACTTAACTTTACTGGTAAATCCTACGAAAAAGCAATCAACTTTGTTTAGGAGAATGGGTTCCTAGTGTAATATTTGATCGAAAGTAAGAATAATTTAAAAATCATTTTTAGCATATTAGAATAATGTCTTATCTAGTGAAGAAGAATCAACAAATAAAAAGTGAATTTGAAAATATTAGATTAATATATATTTTAGTAGTTTTTAAATCCAATTTTTAAAATTGATATGTTCCATAATTTATTATTTAAATTAATTTATTGCGTCATTCACATACATTCTATATAACTAACTAATTACTATCTGCATTTTTAGTAAACTCTAACAGGATTTTCTACAGCATCTGTCTTCTTATTTAACAAACATAGATTAGATGTACCTAATTTTAATTAAAAAATTAATAATTATACCAAAAAAGAACATTCTTTAATTCAAACAATATTAATATTTTTTAAAAAGATATGTTTATTTAAACATAAATTACTGGTTTATTATATCATGGTAAAAAATTTCAAATTATTAATTTACCCATCAATGCTTATCTTATCCTTTAGCCTTTAACTACTTCGGAAGTGATTATAATCTCATTTCTTCGTCATACACTATTCTTTATGCTTATTCAAGATTTTGCAAACTTAAGGGTTAGGTTGGAAAGGATGCCACATATGGAGAAGGTATTTGAGTTGTTTCAATCATCTAATATTAAAAATCTAAATTACAAATTGATGGACTTTGCCCATTAAAATATTCCAAGGCATATTGGTATAGATAGTTGGTATATTATGATATGGAGATTTGGCTAAAAAATATCCTTCATTATTTCCTAAAGCTTCATAAAAGAAAGAAGATTTATTATATTTCATATATTTAGTAATACAGAAAGGATAGCAGTCAGCAGGAATTTTGTATATTTATTCTATCATTCTTTCTAAGAATCCCCAATTAGTGTATTTTTTTATTTTCAAACACTTCTTTAAAACTTCTTTGTTTTGATCTAAATTTTAAATATACAAAGGACCCATTCCTATGAAGTTACACTGATTAGATTATTCACAATCATTTGTAAATCGACCACAAGTGGAACAATATGCGTGATATTGATTTAATTATTTTTTACCATTTCTGACTGCTACACATAAAGTTAGATGTCCTACTTAATTTGCAGTTGCTAATGTACAGATGGGTTCAATATGCTTTCCAAGATCATGTGCTACTTATTCGAATTTAGCAAGAGTTCCTTAAATAATAGTTTCAGAATTGGAAAATATGTCATTATGAAATAAATTGAGTTACTATTTAGTTTGTTTTCCAATCTATTTATTATTAGGAATGAATTATTAAATTGTATAGATCAATAATCCACCATCAGTTATTGCCTTGAGAGCAGGCACTAACAATCCAAATGGTTTACGAAAGATATCTTCAATTTCAATCAAATCGAATTGCTTTCCTGATAGAAATTCATATTTATCCATTTATACTACTTGTTGAGATTAAAGCCCATTCAGATTTAAAATGTAATTTGTGAAGTCTATAAAGTTTCTTTTGCTATCACAAGCCACTGGATCGTAACTTAAATCCTAGATGTATCTAACCAAACGAGCAGTAGCTTAGTTACCTATTATAGCAGTTTTAGGTTTAGTTGAACCGAAATAAGCTTCTGCCAAAATAAGATGCAAATCTCTATTAATTTTCATATTGATGCTATAAGGATAGTACATATCAGTTGAAATAGAGGGATCAAAAATTGATTATGGATTAAGGTAATGATATTTCATATTTTCCTCGAGGGACTCATAAATATGAATTTTATTTTTGTTCTTCTCAAAAAACTCATTAGTGTAGAATTCTCGGGGAGGTGAATCAAATTGAATTAAATTTAAGTTTGGTTAATGTATTTTAATCATATTAGAATTAGCTTTTGTTTTGAGGATATTTTGGAGAAGAGTAGTTTTCATAAATATTTGATATTTAATTACGATTATTTTATTAAGTGTAAAATCTCATTCTTCTTATAACCAGAACAATTGGCTCTTTTTCTGTGGATGGGCATAACTGGATCTGTGACTTAGACATTATTGAACTTAAATTCTCGGATTCTGTAACTTAGAGGTGTTTCTTTTGATCTGTTAGTAATGAAATCTTGAGATTGATTTCTTTCAAGTTACTTCATTTTTAATTTTGGTAATTTGAGGGTATCTTTTTTGAATTAGATGGTGTATCTGAATTCATCATTTAACTAAGAAATCGATATGATCATTTTATTTTTTATTATAAAATAAAAAAAATCATTTCTTTTTTGAGAGTATTTATTGTTCCCAATTTAATGGAAGTGTTGGTAACTATTTCTCTGTATCAGGCAATCCAGTAATGGCCTTTTCTAGTCTTCTTTCGAAATCCATAATTTCATCCAGGCCTAAATCTTCGCATTAACTGTATTATAACCAGTACCTCATTAAATCAGAATGAGTTTTAATTTAGATAGTTTACTCTTAGTAAACCAGATCGCAACAATATTCTATCTTATTGTTTTTACTATTTTGGTGAGTTGTTATTTTACTTTGCTTTGATTAAATTAACTAATTTCTCAACTCCCTCGCTTTCATAGTTATCCTTGATAGTCATTATCGTATCGTAAATTTTAGAATCGTAGAGTATTCTAGAGATGAAATTCTATTTATGATATTCACTCCAATTAAAGTTCAAAGAGAATTTCTTATAATTATTAAACTCTTTTCCAGCTGCACAAAACTATTGCAAGTATCTATTCAATTATTCAACATAATAATGACACTACTCTTCACTATCACATTGATATAACTACATTTACTAGTGAACTTTCTTAATACAATATCATTAATAATACTTGTAAATACAGATTCATAAATTTGTTCATGTGATTAGAAATGGTTGATTGATTTGCTCCATCTAAGATTTAGCTGTTCGTTTAGTAGCCCTCTCCCTTGAAATATATATTATTGAAAGTTTCTTCCATTAATAATATATAATCAAATTAAAAACATATGTGATCATCATATGCTCAATTAATTAGAATATTAAAATGAATAAGATATTAATAAATAGACGCAGAAGTGCATTACGTAAGGATTCAATTTATGTTATAAATTCAAAAAATGGAATTGAAACTTTCATTTTGTGAATATAATAGAATTATTGATACAGTTTTATAAATATGAAAAAAAAATGAGATATATACACTTATTTAAAGAAATTAAGGGTACTTACAATAAAAGACTGATTCTAGTAACTTGAATTGAAATTGAATTTTAATAAATCTTGAAAATATAAATATTAATAGCACTTAAATCAATTTGTGAAGAAATAATAGTGGAAAAGAATTAAATAGCAATGAGATATGTGATATACGTTTTGAATTTTCATAATATTAGATTAACTACTTGTAATTTTATGAAAATATATTGCAAAATGAATTAGAATAAAAAGAAATTCCTTTTTTAATTTAATTTATTATCTGGAATTTAAATGAGACTTGACAATGTAATTTAAATATTTTATTATACTCACTTTTATTATTATTTATTTTACTTGTATATCAGTTCTTCTTTTTCAATCAAGATGATTGACTTGTAATATTTCATTAATTAATCATCATCTTAATTACCTTCTATTAATCCAAATGTTAGGAACCCTTTCATAATCTATGCACTAATCACATAGCTTAAGTCACAACACAAGGGAATCATTAGCGCAATAGTTGAGAAACCACAACCGAAGAGTGAATTAACTAGTCCAATCATACATCCAATTGACCATCCAGAATACTTAAGAATAGATTCAGCTTATTAGTCTATTATAATAATTTTTATGATTTATACATAATAAATAAACAATTTCCAAATCTTAAATGTTTAAAGCATCGATGCTCTCTTATAATTGATATGAAGCTATAGGTTAATTATTCACTTGATTTTGAGTCAAGTAAAATACTTAACGACCAAGTGACAGTGAAGTTAATAAAGATAAATCGTTCTCCCATTTATGAGCGACCGCAGGCTTTTTAATTAAATACATGAATTTAATCCCTAGGTTTTTTGGTGAATTAATTATTTGCTTAAAAGCCAATAAAGAGATTGTTCCAAAAGCTTCTAATGAATTTCTAATTTACATTAAAATAGTTACTTTAAAATTTATAAACTTTGCTCTTTCTCCCATAACAATTGCTGTAATGTAAAAATGTATATGAAATAATCAGTGTACAATCTTAATATTTTGGATGCATAAACAAAAAGGCAAAATACAATAACTGCTAAGATGATTCCTAAAACGGATGTTTAATATTAACTATAAGCAGGTTAAGTTGAGTCTATTGAACCATTGCTTAATGCTGCACTACGATTATATAATAATACTTACGTAATTGAATAATACATTAAGAAGAAGTTGATAACTACGAGAATTTGAATTACAGAGTTATATCTTAATGTATATTGTCCAAGCTTCTTTCTTATTGTCAAAGAGATGTAACTTTTCAGTCTATATCCTTCCTTATCATTTTAATGATAACATTGTGTTATAAGAGATCCTATAAATACTTTGATTAAAATCAATAGCATTATTGTATAGGTTGACTTAAGATTGAAAGCTTCTACTAAGATTCCAATAGATTAATAATTCAACTATCTAGACTCTCCTGTTCTTTCTAATTTGTCCATATCATGAAAGTTCGACAAACGATATGCCATTACAATCGATAGCCACAATAAACCATATGGGTAAAAGTTAGTTAAGAATGAAATCATAAGAGATAAGTATTATCTGACCATTCTCTAGCCTATATACAATATTGAGAGTAAAAAGAATAGTCCAGTTATTAAAAATTCACAGTTTGATATCAAAGATTACGTAAAGTTGTTAAGTTTAGGTGTTTTCAAAGCAGGCATAACTTATGTTAATTAATTATACAAAGTAGGCAAGCAAGCATTATTGTCTAATTATATGATAATATATATAACATTCATCTGTGTTTAAAATATTCCCTGAGCAATTATCACATTGCAACTTTGTATCTCCTGTTTTTGGACATTCGTCTAAGCAAAGGGTTTTTGAAATATCTTTTAGATCAGGAAAATATATTAATTCACACTACTCTAAATATAGTCTGTAAATATACTTCCATCGCTCATTGGTTAGTTTATGGGACCATAACCAATGATGTTCGCGATTCCAAATATGGTTACATAAATGACTAGAGCTGCAATTGAAAATCCAAAGCAAGGTTTATCAGTTAATACCATTAGTATTTAAATTTTATATATAAAATATTTGTATTTGTTTATTTCAACCTTTTTATTGTAAAACAATGGATTTTGAAATTATTTCTCCTAAATAGAAAAATATTTGAATTTAACATTATTTATTTAGATTTATGACAAAAAGTAGAAGATCAATAAAATATATCTTTTGATAAATAACAATTGTCAAAAGAATTTAAAATTTCAGAAAGATAATAAATAAATTATTTAGATATGAAATAAATTACTAAATAAGATTTTTTCACATATATAGTACTTAATTTTCTATTTTCAGTAGATATGTTAGAGTTTTATAAAAGCTATCCTCATTATACAATGCTTTAGGTGGTAGCAAATACACAAATTGCCTAATACCCCACAACTTTTTTGTTACATATTAATGTATAAACCAAATCTAAGCTAAATTTATCAAAATTATGAAAAGGTAAAAGATTATAGAAATGGTTAATTTAACATTATTGCTATCAATTATTCCCTGTTCTACTGTTTATCGAACTGTGTCTACAAAATCATTTACTGCATCTATCATAAAGCTTTCAGATAACATATGATTCAATTGAAGCATTTAAGATGCAGATCCACTAATTTAATAAAGATCTATATTCTCTCTCAAAATCTAAAATAACTCTTAAGATGGCAATAATAATCCTTATTTCAGTTCTCCATTGTTAACTGTGACGCAGATATCTGGTTCATTGACGACTAAACACACATTGCTTGAAAATAGAATCTTTAATTCTTCTGAAACCGTTCCTTCTGAATAAAGAATCTCTCCAAGAATGCTATTTGCTATCGTATAACTTTCATTAGTATATATAAAAAACTAAGCTGGATCTTCAGGATCAATAAAGGCTCTCTCAACCAAATATTTATTACTTTGCAAAATGAAATTAGTTAAGCATGCTTCTGATAAGCTTTCTGTAAAAGTAATGCATTTTTAATAAATTGCCAATTTAGACTCTAAGTCTTAAATTTAAGATTTATCATTCATTCTAATAAGTAACAGAGTAATCAATGTTATAGTAAAGGAGATTAAATGAATTGTGAAAGTAAATTATCGTTTTAAATTCAACTATCCCTATACTTTAATAAACTTCTTGTTGTTATTATTATTACTATTATTGTGAGCATTAGAAGTTCCACTCAAATAGTTATTATTTTGTTTTTCTTCTTCCTCAGAATGGAATTTATCTCTTAAGGAGAAATGGTATTCATAAAGATCAAAATGCTAATTGATATATTATATATAAGTACATCTTAATTAATTAATAACAATTAATTCACATGATTCAATTCGCTTGCAATTGCAGAATGCGAGATTTACTCTGAGCATCTTATGTATTTTTTACATAATTAGATATATGAAAATTATAAGAGAAATGCTATACAGAAATAGACTACATACACAGCAATGAAACTAAAGGTAACATAGTCAATAATGTTATCTTGAGACCCTAAAATTGAATAAATTTCATCAGTAAATCTAGTATTCAGTAGGGAATATGCATCTTTATATTTACTATACGATCTCAATAAATATAAGATTGACTTTAAAAATTGAAAACTATCAGCAAAATCGGTGATATGTAATGATCTTATCATATAGATTAACTAAAACAGAGCAGTCCATCCCTTGACTGTTTTGTCTACATTTTCAAAAATATCCAATTATTCTAATTCTATTGTCGAAAATACTTCTCTAATAATTGAATTTTCTGAATACTCATCCATTTTAGTAGAAAATATTTCTATATTTCGATCCAAGACTGTTTACAACTGCCCAAGTAAGGTAGCATTATATTCATAATACATACCATATTTTGATAGATTCTAGTCCAATTGAACGTATTAAATCATAGTCATGGATCCTTACAATGTTGCTCTGCTATAAGCAGTCATCGTAAATGCTTATAATATATATATGTTGCTTCTCATATTACTTTACCAATTAGCATAGAGTATTGTACTTGCAGTTGTAAATCCTAGAATGGCAGTTAAAGAAAAGACATTGATGAAAAGGAGTGCATAAAGCAATTTAGGTTTAGTATTCATTTCAGAGAACTTACGATAAAAATGAGATTTAACAAGAATCCTTTAGATTTCGCTTTGTTTCGACGAATTACTGCTGATACTATTGATATAGATTTATTTATGAGGTTATTCTGGTGATTCAATATCCTTTTCACTTGAATCCTACTTCGATATCATATCATGATGATCACTGCATAAGAATTCCTGTTATTTTAAGGGTTGATTTTCTTATTCAACTGGGATCATTTAACTACGCAAAGTTATTGGATCTGGCTGAGAAGTGAATTGAGGAATCTCGTTATCTCCTGCACCAGGCATGATGTAATCCTTTAACTTGATACCTTCAAATTCAGAACTATATTCATCTAATGACTTTGATAATGGGGATTCATCAGAACAAACTGCTCCTAATTTATATGGGGATCTGATTTTTAAAACATACACTTTAAAAACCATCCTATTCACTAGAGAGTAAGACATTTACACTTCCAAATCCAATTGAAATTTCGTCTCTTTGTCTAATATCATCTCAATGGAATCTTAGGAAACAGTGAAATGTTAAACCAATTTATTTGCTGTTGTTAATGTTCCAGATATACCATTTTCCTTTTAATACTCCTCCAAGTAATGTTGCAATTAGGCTTCTAATGAATTAAAATTGGGTATAAATTAATTAATAGATTTACCTAATAATTTTGAGGGATTACTCATTTCAAAACATTCTAAAGCATTATTAGTAATTCCCTCTATGTTTTATTTGGAATCCAAAAGAATAAATCCACTTAATCCATCCTATCTAATTCCTTACTTGATTTCCTTCATGAAACAAAAGGAGGGGAGAACATTTGATGAAAAATTAAAACTGATATCAATAAAGATTTCCAAATAACTCAAAACTCCTGGAGTTGCATTCTATGTTAATAAAGGTAAAGGTTATCTAAAAATCATAGGCCTATTTGTTATTACAAACATCTCCACCATCTCATCATGTGCCTTGATGAGACTAGGATAACAAAGTTGATCTAATGATTTCACTTGTTATCGAAATTCTTCCTAAGTATAACCTACAAAAGAAGGAAAATTCTTTGAGAAATTAATGATTTCACCTCTCTTCATATGCGATTAAGTTAGATTAAGCAACATATATCCAACCTTATATGATTACTCCTCAGTTTTATAATAAAAAGATGGGTACTCAAAAAATTTGCTTTCCCTTGTATTGATTAAATTGCATAGTTTTATAAATTGATCATAATTATTTGTAACTTCGAGACAATAAAGCATGTAGCAATACAAAGAGGTTCTTCCTGGTGAATATAAATTAAAATATTCTAATTCTTTCTAGATCTTACAATTTTGTGTGTTTAATTGCAAATATAATTCTTCGAGTGACTCATAACTATGAGTTTCATCATTTAATTTTATGAGAAACTGTTTTTTGTGCTATAAATTGGCAAACACTAATTTCAACAAGCGATCCCTCTCCAATTCTGTGTACCTGTAATCTTCATATTTCAATGTCAACTCTATTGATTGTCTAGTGATATCTTCTTTGAATCTATGTAGAATTTGATATTTCGAATAACTCTTCAGTAGCTCAAAAGCTAATCTCTGCTACAAAGAACTTCCCTTCTCCAATAAATGTTTTAAATCAAGTATTTACAATTAAGCCTAATAGCACTCATCAGAATTGCATAAAAACACTAAGATCTATATCAAATAGATAATATTAGGATGTGCCTTACGTATTTCAGTTTAGAAGACTAACTTCGAGTAATCTCTTAGATATCTCATAATCAATTCAACATAAAATTGAATATTGAGTATTTTGAAATCATCATACATTCTCATTTCCTTAACTATCTCATATTTTTCTATTATCTTTCTCTTTTCCCCTTTTAAACCTCTGCAAAAACAATATTGATTATTACAATTTTCAGTGTGAGTCCTCAACAATATGATACACACCATAAGAATCTTAGACCTCTCATTCTTTAACTCCACTCCAGAATTTCTGGTTAATACTCCAATTTCTGACAACCTCATCAATTGGACTGCTCTTATAAAGTGAATGAAGTAAGACATGTCGTATTATTTAATCATGTTTGATTAGAAATCCTTATATTTGATATTCTCACTTTCAATCCTTAAACCTTATTCAGATTCATGAGTGTGTAGAGTTTATTGAGGTTATTATTGATTGACCAATACTTGAATAGACTTTTCCTTCTTTAGAGTGGAGGTGAGCACATTTTCAATTCGACTATCTTGAAGAACAACAAAGAGTCTACTAAGACAAGGGGACACAATAAAAGTCAAACATATTATCTATTAGTCACTTAGTCTGCATATGAAAAATAATGTCAAACAAATAACAATTGCCCTCATGAACAAATTTGTGGAATACTTGAATTTCTATACATAAGGCAGTGTGATGTAGGCATCTAAGGCATCAATTAGAAAAGCCAATATTACAAAGACCAAATTAACTGTGTGAATAAAATCGTCTTCTTTTATAAGGTTGCCTGCCCTTACATAAGAGTAGCTGATCAATATTGGTATTATACAAAATCCTATATGTAACCATTATAAATATGAAAATCTCAGTCTCAGAAAATTGGATTCATGCAATGTGAATGACACTTAACACCATACCAAGGACAAAGCTGCAATTATCAAAGTTTCAATAGCCAAAATTACATTGAGGATTTGTCCGACTATTTACTAAGTTTAATCTGCCTTATCTAAGGCTAAGTTGATTTGCAACAAAAAATAAAGTATAGGGATTAAAAAAACATGAGGAAAATAATTCAAAAATATTGCTATTTATCTCAACCTAATGATTTATAGGGATGTGTTCGATTGATCTGACATCAAACGATGTTGAAATCCTTCTATATATGAGTTTTAGTTGTAGATCTAATGCATAATCTGAATGCAATCACTTAGATTGTCACTCTGACTGATATTTAATTGTCTTTTATTCTTGAACTTAGTTTATTTAAAAAATGTTATCTCATCGGACATACTCACTCCAACCAAGATGGCTGGAATGGAAAAGAATATGATGAATACACTCTAACATGCAATCAAATAATCTGGCCCTAAATTCTCAGGCAAATACATAGTTGGCACACATATTTTAAATAGTAACTCCAAATCCTGGATTCCAGGTTATCCATTAAAATTATTTAGTAAAGAAGCTAATTTTATTATGGCGACCTTTTAAAGTACGCTCACTATCAAGGACAGTGTCCAAAGGAAATTGTTTTCTTTCATGAGACAAAATTATGTAAATCCTATAATGAATTATAGTCTGTTTTCTAGTTTCTACTGAAAACTGTTCTTAAAGTTCTCCATTTTATTCATTTTGAATATACTTTTAATATATATATAATTAAAATATGAATTTCGACACCAATATATACAAAAGCAGTCTAATGAGCAAGTGGATCTTAATACTTCAACTGGTCATCGATGTAAGTCTGGTTGCTGTGTTTACTGGTATAGCAGAAGTTGCTCCTTAAATCTTGACATTTACAGATGTAGTGGATGATACCAAATGTCAAAATGAATTGAATGTTTAATGTACTACTTTGGATAATAAAAGAGATTTAGGGAACTCAAGAAGAATTCAAATCAGTGTTGAGCAACAATTTGTTGTGTTTCTTTTGTCATGAAAACATACCAGATTAGCCATTTGGAATCAAAGGCATTCTACTTAATCAAGAAACCATAGTCAATTAAACTATGCTAACCTACTCTATAGGTTACTTTGATGACATTACAAGGAGATCTTGTTGGTATGATGCATCATAAAATGAGAATATTAACTATCTACCCAAAATTAAGTCTAATATATATGATAAATAAATAGAGGTCCAATAGTCTACCTTACTTCTGAATTGGGAATGTATCCAAAATTTAACATCATATACTTGCTACACTAAAGAACATATATATAAAGACAATCGACCCTTTTCTAGGTTATTTGGCTTTATAATGGTAGAAGGAATTCAGTATCAATACATGAACTTTGCCATCATGAAACAAAGCAAAGATTATTATCTATATAATGAAGTTATGATGATTGCTTGGATTGGAATAGAACTGGTTTTTTGCTGTATTTTGTGCATGTTGGAAGATGAGTTTGAGGATTAATAAGCAAAGGTTTTAATACCCACTTTGTCTGTAAGAAATCAAATATTTTTGATATTCTTCCTAAATAATCATCCCTTATTTCTGATTCAATTGTTCTATGATAATATCTACTTAAAATTATTCAATGTAATTTTCCAATCAATTGGTTAAGCTGGATTTATGTTCTATTGTATATCAATTGCTTTCAAATTACTTGAACTCAATTAATAATTCATCACATTCATCAATTTAGGAATTTGTGTTACCTATTCGGCGTTGAAATCATTTATTACTATCGTTACTGGATTGGACATGATGAAGAACATACCTCAATCGTCAGTTTATCTTAACTAATCAAACTTTACTTTTATTGGGTTATTTATGGTGTTTTGGTACACTTACTTCATATTGGTATAGGGTGTTTTATTCATAAAAAATAGGAGAAACAAAGCAATTCAATACAAATTTGCTAGAACTGATGTCAATATGAAGATGTGTCATAAATATTATAAGGGGATTTTCATATTTCAAATCTTTAGTTTAATTTTTGTCAGTGCATTTTTTGCAAGAATCCTATGGTAAAACATAGTGATATTTAACCCAAATTATTTGTATTATGATCATTATCAAATCACACTAATAAATGTTTGGATTGTAACCTTATTCATTTTATTTCACCTTGAAAATCCAAATAAGATAAATTAGATACTTGAGTAGGATGAGGAGGAAATTAGTGATAAAGTTGAAATTCAATTATGTAATACAATTCAATTAGAAGAAGAATAGGTTAAATTGCAGGAGATACCTGAGTAAAATTTGGAAATGGGCAGTAAGACACTTGACACCAATTTGCGTTAATATAAATATAACAATATTGCGTAACCTGAAACACAACTAAGACATTGATTTATAATTATATATAAATTATATGATTATTTCTGAATAAATGTAAGCCAACTTGGCTCACTTTTTTTTAGTTCTCAAATCATAGGAGTGTGTCCAATATCAAGATATCAATGGTGCTCAATATGAAGGATAGATACGACTCATATAACCACATGAACAAAAACTGGTATTCAATTATACTCGCAATTTGGCAACTAATGAATCTAATGATAATAAGCTAGTGCAATTCAAAGATCTAACTTATTTGAAGGTGCAAAATCAAATACCGTAATCTCAGATAGTTGAGAAATCCAAATCTGAAAAAAAAACAAAGACTTTTGTGAGATGGGAACAGAATGTGGATGCATCAAACTTAGAAGATTAAGCAGTGAAAAACTTCGATCAATTCGAGGCTATTAAAAAATTTGGCATTGAACCTACCTATGATGAAAATAAATATACCACCAAATTGATAGCCCCTGTAACTGAAGATTTAAGATTGTATGCAGAAAAATGCGAAAAAGAATTGAAAAATGACACATCCAATAAACATGTACTTGAAGAGCGAAATCTAAAACAATTAGACGATGAAGAATAAGCATATTCTGAAGTTATTAGAGAACAACCATAATAGATGGCACAAGTTCAATAAACAATCTAAACTTAATTAACATCTCCTCCAATTCAATTTTTCAATTCTAATAAAAAAAAAGAAAAAAACAATAAAATATTATTTATAGAAAAACTATTAGAACCTGTCAATCTAATTTCGGATGATCCTGAATAATAAATGAAAATTAAATAGATAAATTAAGAAGCCACAACCAAGTAATTTTATTTTAATAAGCTTATTAGGTTTAAATTTCAATAGGCTACTACTGATAATATCCCTAAATTAATGCTTTCTAATTTCATTAATGCCATTGAAGGTTATAAATGGTAAAACATGAATCCAGACCCAAGCAAAAACAAAAAAGAGAAACTCAAAAAATGAATTAAATCAAAGTGTTTGTAATATATTAATAAAATTTTACATTTTCTCATTGAATTCCTTTGATTGCGATCCAAAATCATTATGATTTCCATCATCAATAATAAAGATCTCTATCAAGTTTTTAGCTCTCTGACTCAACTCCATAATTTATTTAATATCAACTAATTTATCTAATTTTCCATGGATTATCAACACTGGTGACATGACGTTTTCAATCATTTCATAATTCCTAAAAATATCAGATTTATGAAGTTGTTAATGATTTGAAATTATACTAAGAATAGATTTAAAACTGGACTTGATAATAACTCCCCCTATTTTAACTTAACTTGCCTATATTATCGATCAAAATACTAGATATAACGAAGGACTGGTTCCTAATGATTGGCCATATAATATTATTTAAGAGTTCTAAAATCCAAGAGACAATACAAAATGATAAACACATTCAATAGCATTGAATATACTGTCTTAACTCGTAACACCTTGACTAAGCCCATATCCAGGATAGTCGTATCCGATTACCATTATTTTGAATTTATTGCAAAAATCAATGTATTCATCAATGCAACATCCAATATCTGGATGATTTGAATGCGAATGAATCAAAACCATTTTCGTTTCATATTTAATTGGCTTTATTAGAGCTAGAGCCAATCTTCCATTTTTGGTATCTAAATATAAACCCTCTATTTCCAAATCATTTGGCCATTCCTTATTAATATTCTATCTTAATTGGATAGAATAAAATGATAGTTTAGTTTTTTGGGATTTTATTAGAGAATGCTTATTACTTAATAATTTATCTTCGAGACTTAAGCTAGAAGATTTAATTAAATTGATTGAAAATTATTCACTTTAAATTGAACATTCCTATAAGTTTGAATTCTGTAGATCTTATTCCTAAAATTGATAGGTAGGGTTAATTGGTTTAAATACAAACCATCCCAATAGCTTATCCTTCAAGTTGCAGAATATTAGGAATAGACAACATTTGAGTTTACATGTCTTCATTTTAAATTTAATATTATTTATATATATATCATTTACTTTCAACCAGAGTATATTTGCTAAACCTTATTCCATCAAATATTTTTTATTGATATATTGTTGTTTTGCATAATCCTGAATAAGTACTTGATCTTCCTTTATCACATGCTGACCCAATGGTCTTTTAAGTGGCAGAAACATAAGGAACAACACCTTTGCGTGGAGCCTTGTTATTCTTAAAGATAAAGTACCTCATCAAAGAAACAAACAACATATTCTATGAATTTATCAATATTCTTTTTCAAAGAACGTCCGCACCCGAAATATTTCATTCTTGCAATAACCAATTACTCACCCTTGTTATCATCCATCCACTTTTGATAAACCTCCCTTGGTTCCCACTCCTGACTGATTGAATGAACAGTTCTGAATTTATGTAGAGCACCATAACGAGTTGTTAACTAAATATTGTCTATTTTGTTAATTTACTTGTTTGCAACTTTCGAGAGAATCTGGACATCGTTCTGAACACGTTTATGCAGCATTTGCAATCCCTTATTGCCACTCAACAACATTCATATTTGCTGCATAATCCATTTCGCCAACGTGATTTTTCCTTCTTCCCTAAGCAACTTCATTTCTTAATCTATTCAATTATTCTTCAAATTCAGTTTATCTTTTAGCAAATATTCCTTTTGCTGTAGTCTAACAAGAGTCACCTGGTAATCCATGTGCAACAAAGAAGCATCCTAAAACCAAAATTATCATTATAATATAATTATCGTTTTTTCTAAATAAAATTATGTTGGATCGATTCTCAGAAATAGGAATTGTAAAATTTATAACTTTTTGAATTGTTTAGTAATACAAATTGGATTGATGTCGATTCTTTAAACTTAGGTCACTTTTATATTAGTAACATAACATAAGTTCTAAAATCGAAATTTATAAATATATAATTTATATAATGGCAGAGAACAATAAGGATTTAAAATAACTTAAGATCAAAACAGCAGCTCTCAAAAGAATTCAAAAAGAATTTTTTGGTTATTAAAAGGAAGAGTTGAAATAAAATGAAAGAATTTAAAAGCTTAAAGACTAAAATGCTGATGAGGCAGATATCAAAAAATAAGTTCAAATTTATTTCTTATCATTTTAGGAAGAAGTTCTATAAGAAACTGTATAAATGTATCCAAATATTATTGGAAGACTCGTTGAATCTGTGACAGAACTCTAAGGTTGGCTAGTAATAATCCTTATTAAAACAATTAGGATGGAAAAATAAATGATCCCTTGATTGATACCAGTGATGAAAAGACAAAGGCCCTAGAAGCAATAGTTGAGGCCTAAGAGTTTTTGGTAGCAAATAACCCAGCTCAATGAATATTTTAAATCTTATTAGCAATGAATGTATCTAATATATACGATTAATTACACGCATATCTATTCATATCTATATAGAATTATTCAAAGCCTAAAATCTATTTTAGTTCCCTGTTATATCAATAATAGTGGAATGAAAAAATAATATTGAATATATTTAATTTTTCTTTTGGAATAATTCTTATTAAAATCAGAAGAGTTGTGATTAAGACAGAATAATCTGGGGATTGCTTAAAATAACGAGTGATACTCTTACTTCAATAGAGTGCAAATAAATAAAAGAGTATAGCAGTTTATTGTTATTCATTTTTTTATTTCCAGTAATTTGAATGTTTAATGAATTTTTGATTGCCGACTCTCCTTTATTCGATATTATTATTGTCTATGAAAGTATAAAGCTGGTAACAAGAATTTTTATCTTAACAAAAATATATTTTGGATTGATCCTGAACAATATACCAAATTGTTATGAATCACTAAGTTATAAGACAGAAAAAAGATGGAGAACGATGATTTCCTTATTTCTCATTATTGATTTTGATATGTTAATTTTTTTTTAATATGAGACAAAAAATGAATTGTGAGAAACAAATATTATTAAAATTTAGCAATAATGTACACAATGGAAACATAAACGCTGTTAGGATGCAAGGAGTTATTGAACCCATAATCCAATTTAGGTAGTGAAGTATCTCTGAATATTTAAAAATCTAACTTGTATGTGATCATTAGGATTTATAGATCTGAAAATTTTACTAATCTCTTGCTGAAACTGTTTAAAGAGGATTATTAGAGGTTTAATTTGGAAGAATAATTAAATCTTAATTTACAATATCAAATGCAAAGTTAATTAGTTGTTACAATACAAATTTTATTTCATGCCCTCCTTTATGGTGTTTCTTTGGATATTACTTATAAGCCATAGAAAGTATGCTTTACAAGCTACTTAACTAAGCCGGATACAACTCCCATTTATGCTTCTGATAAGGTAAATTATTAATTACAATTTTACAATAGAATATAATTAATTTACTAAGTTTCTACACCCTGAAGTAGAATGACAAACTAGTTCATGGCTCTTTGAGTATCGACCCACTCACAGGATTATTTTAGTATAAGACCTTAACGACCATATCGTTTTACGAGTAGATAGAGCTAAGTGAAGGTTTTTTGGATTGTTTGCGCTTCAATATTGTAGAACACCAAAAACTCATGGAGATATAAGCTCCTTTTGTTCTCTATCAGATGAATAAGATAACGTTTAAAGAATTTAAGAAATTTACCCGAGAAGACCAATATGAAAGCAAATAAAAAAATATCGATTAATTGAAGGAGATCTTTAAGCGGTAAATTTAATGTAGATTTAACAATAGTTAGATGCATCAAGAGATGACCAAAGAAGAAAAAGACAAGTTTTTGGATTACCCTAAACCAAAGAGTTTGCCTTTGCTAACTAAGATTAGTGTTCAAAAAACTGGCGATGATCTTCTCCAGCAATGGAAGGATTAGCTTCTGATTACTTCCGGGGGTTATTCTGAGATTCGGAAAGTTTAGTTAGGTAAATAAATAGAAATTATATTTTAGCTTATAAGATAAGCGATAACGATCAAGCTTTTACGAGGGCTTTAGCAGTAAAGACAGATAAGTCGAGTACCAATAATAAAGTTAATCACGAGCTCTCAATATTGAAGACTCTGTCCAAGACAACGGAAAAGGGAAATGGAGAGGCATATATAGTTACAAGCTACTATGATGAAAACTTGAAGGGCTGTTATTTTATGGAGTTCTACAACAATGGATCTTTGGAACAATATACTAATTCTAAATCTCAGGTGTTGAGTTTAAGAACGAAGTTATTTATTCTGGCTGGTATCATAAATGGGATTGATTTTCTTCATTACAAATAAATAGCACACTTGGATTTGAAGATGGGAAATATATTAATTTAAAAGTAGTTAATTCCTAAGATTTGTGATTTTGGGGAAGCTAAGCCATTTGATTTTCTGGAACAAGACAAATCTAACTTTTCTCGTAGTTTGCCTTACGCAGCCCCAGAATTATATAATTCAAATGAAATCACACCTGCATTCGACATCTTCTCTTTTGGGATTTTAATGTGCAAATTTGTTTTTGAATAATTTCCCATTGTAATATTCTCTATTTATCACAGGAATACAATCCAAATGACTTAACCAATTTAGCAGAGAGATACAAGAACAACACATACGCAATCAAACGAAATTTGATATAACAAATTAAGTGTGGACCAAAAAAAATAATGAAGAAGATCCTTCATCTGATTATACTTTGTCTCCAATCAAATCCAAAATCTAGACCCAAACCCAAATGGATATTAGCAATATTGTGGAAGATGATTAATTTTTTAGATAGCTTTTGAGAATATTCAATATATTTGATTTGTTATTGTTTAAAATAATAAATTTTATTTCTGTATGATGAATCAGAGAGTAGTTGTGAGAAAAAGAAGTCCACGTCCGATTATTAGATATCTCAAATATTGTCCCAAAATGACAGTTGCGTCTATAATGACAATTTAAAATTTTCAGGGATGTCCTTAATCTCCAAAAATCACACTGTCAGGTAGTAAGCTTTATCAGTCCTTTACCGTTCAATCCAGTCCCCAATCGCAAATGAAAAGATGTAAATAAAAACATAGAATTCTATTAGATATATCAGTGGATGCCCATAGATCAAGCCCGCCTTAAGCAATCTTAAAATCTGCCTCTCCAACCGAGAGAAAATTTAGCTATCTTTCCTATTAAAGAACAACCATAGGACTAGAAAGTCCGGCCAAATAATAGGATAGTATTTATCAAATTGAGTATGTTGATGATACAGTCTATTATGGATAGATAAGCATAACAAAAAGACATGGCATGGGTGCTATGTATGACAAAAACAAAAATCTAATCTATTTGGGCCAATGGAATAACGATAAATATCATGGACTTGGAGTTTTAGTGTAGAATGGGTATATTTATAAGGGAGAATTTTTAAATGGAGTCTTAGAAGGATAAGCAATAGAAGAGGGAAATGAAAAGAAATTCTATGGGTATTACAAAAACGGATAGAAAAATGGACCTGGTACCTTATATGAACATTCAAAAACCACAAATGGAATTTGGAAAAACGATATTTTAGAATAAGAATGTTGATACTTCATTTTGCATATTTTCAATTGATCCAAGTTATTTTATAATCATTAGATTCTTATATTGAAACAAATATAACACTTTCAAAATTTGAAAAACTTTAGGAATATTTGTTTTTTTAAATTTTATTTTTTAATTATGTAAAATGTGAAATAAATGAGGGAAAAGTATGAAAATATCAAACAAAACAATCCGAATAGAAATGTTAGTGCTAGATCATATCATAGTCAAACACCTTCCAAAGAGCAATACCAAATCGCTTTTTCAAACAGTTAAAAATCAACTTAGAATCCCATAATATAGATTGGGAAAACATTATTATGTAGTCCTTGCTATAATAAAAGATTATTAAATAAAAAGCAATTGAATAAAAAGTAAGAATCTGAATTGGAGAAAGTAAGTTTACAATTATAAAATAGAGGTTGCTAATGAATTAATTAGAATAAAATTAATTACTTGAATAACAAAAGATTAATTTTGAAGTTGGATAATTATCATATCGAAAGTAATTGGAGCAACAAAATCGCGTTATTTCAAAATAATTATAGGATTAACAAAAAGAAAAGGAAAGATAAATTAAAGAATAAGAAATATTACAATAAAACTTAATTATAAAATAGAATTAGGAAATTTTATAGAAAGAAAAAGATGAGAGAAAAAAGAAATAAAATAGTTTGCATTAAGAACTTGCAAGTCAACTTGAATAGCAAAAAAGATTAAAGAAATTAGATCAATTGTCTTAATCTGTGCAATTTGACGATCCTTATTGGAGATATCAAGCATAAGAGGAGAAGGAATTATAAAGAAGAAAACATTGCCAATTGATTGTGAATAATAACAACTGGTAAAATCATGAAAAAGAATAACTTAAAAAATAATAGTAAGAAAGAGCAATAAAAAATAAAGAAATTGATTAAAGGATTAAGACCCTATAAGAGTATCATAATCAATTGGAATAGGAGAAAATAGAAAAATAATAAATATAGCAATAACTCATATTAGATTTAAATGCTTAAGTAAAACTTAAAAAAACAAAAGAAGAAGCCATTAAATTAATAGAGTTATAAAAGCAGCGTAAAAGAGACGAAGAAATTATTGAATAAGAAAAATAAAGACACTGCCAAGAATTGTGTAACAAAAAGAAAATAAACCAAGAAATTATTGAAGGCCTCAATAAGTAAGTTGAAATGCAAAAATAATAAAATATTAAATAACAACAAGAACCAGTTAAAACTGATTTTTACTTATTCAAACCAACTGTAGAAAAGTAAACCATATCTTGTGCTGATTGCAAGAAATAGTAGGTTCCATAATAATTAAGCTATGCTTGATAATATTGGTAAAATATTTCAAAAACAATATTTGTACTCTTAACAGTCTTTTTTATTAAATTCTTGTATTTCGAGAGTCTAAAAAGGAATGTCTTATTTCTTAAATAATTAACCATTGTTTAAAGTTGCATACAAGTTCTTTAAAATTCTTTTACCAATATTTATTATTGGTTGATATGTAACTGAAATGTTATCCGTATTATTAATATTCTAGTAATAATTTAAAATCTTGTAAATCTGAGAAGTACTATCTTGATTTATATTCCAATAGAGGGTTGAATAGTTTGTATTATTTATTTATACTATTTTCGTAATCTTTAATGCAGAATAATTTTGAATGTATAATGCATTGTCAACTTGAAATGTAAAGTGATTAATAATTATTTTATATAAAATATCAGACCATTATTAAATTCAATTTTTATGTAAAGTCTGAATAGTTTTTAATATGACCGAGATAAAATTACTAATCCTTAAGTCGAAACAACAATGACAAAATAGAATATATAGATTGAAAGTGAAACCTCTCTCTGTTTATTAAACAATAAGAAAGCGGAAATATAAAGTCCTGATATTGGTTCTAATATAATATTTAAGCCATTCGCTAAATTAATATTATATTTCCACATCGCCTCATTTGTGATTAGATTTTAGAGATATTTTAAGCCTGATGGTTCATTTATGGATAAACATTTTGCAATTATTGGAGATAAAGGATCAGGTAATTCGAAAGATTTTTTAGCCTTCAAGTCCAAAAAGCCATCTTTAACTGTCGTAAACTTTGAATCGGTTTCATGGACAGTTCATGTACCCTATTTGTATCGACAATATAAAAGAAAATTAGAATTTTTGGCTACTAAATGCTTTAATTAAATTCCATTAATAGAACCAACAAACAAAATAAAAATGATTTGGGATATAATACTCAACCTTATCCGAATTGAATTGTTGTACCTGATCCCAATACTGATAACTTATGAGAAGTTGTTGGATCAATATCACCTGACTTTGATTATAGCTTCCTTTTGCTTTTTGGTAGACATGGGATTGAAGAACATCACTATATACTTTGATTAAGGTCTTCCTATCAGAGACAGATACCAAATCTTGCACAATCAAAATGGTTTTTTCGTTTTAATTGAATTTTCAGGATTGTTGGGAATGTTTATATTTGCTGTGTTTTATAATTATTATGATGATGTATTCATATTAAATGGTGGATACCTTAAATTACTACTATTGTTAGTATTCTATTAAATAAAGAATATTTTAGTATTTATTGATAACTTGTCTTAATCAATGTCATTTGGAAAGGCAACCTCTGCAATCATAGAATTGACTAGGTTGCTTGGAATATAATTAATACTGTAACATCTAAGTTCTTGTCTATGGTACATTCTAGATTTATATTAGGATTATCATTGGTAGATACTGCCTTTAAAATGGTATAAAAAATTGGATTGAAATTAATCAGTTGACAGAAAGTAGTTGGGATGACATTTATATAGAATCCCTGTATTTTATTAGCATATCTATGTTTACAGTAGGATATGGAGATGTCCATCCAAATAGTAACTAGTTTTAATAATTTAGATAAAATTGAGAAAATCTTTTCTATATTTTTTGTATTTCTATGCGCATTTCAGCTCTCCTATAGTTTGGATACAATAGGACACTTATTGCAATAACTGAAAAAGACGAGTGAACAAATCAATAAGAAGCTGACATTCATCAATTAGTATATGCATAACAAGAATATCAGCAAGGACCTCTAAGTTCAAGTGAGAGAATACTTGCAATACTTTTGGTATTAAGAACAGACCAAACAAACACTACAGTAATAAAAGATCCTAAATTAATTGTCTGATGATTTAAGAAGGTCTTTGGCTTATGAATCAAATATTCTGGTGTTTAAGAAATGTAAAGTATTCGCTTAGGAGTTTTCTTAAAAGTTCTAAAATGATCTATTGAAACAGTTATCCTTTTCAAATTACCAGCCTAGTATTCAAATTAATACACACATCGATGGAGAGTTGTTTTTACATATAATAGAATCGGGGAAGGTTAATGTGTATGAAAAAAATGAAAAGGATAACCATCTAACTTTGATGGGATCTCATAAGGAAGGAGAATGCTTTAATTTGGAATAATTTTTCAAATAGGAGAAATAAGATAGATTAGTTTACAAAAGTGCTGGTTTTGTTAGTACTTTAGTTGTTCCTTTTAGTTTGTTTTATTAAACTCTACAAGATTATCAGAATGATTTAGAGAAATATCAAGACATTAAAAATTAAATCTAATAATCTTAGTTCCAATTAAAACAATGTGTCTCATGTGATTCAAGAAGACATCAATCAGATTTATGTAGATAAGTTCATTATATACCTGATAGAGAGAAAGTCTTAAAATCATACATTTATAATTAATGTTAAGAGAGATAATTTTTTGTTAGAAATCGAAATCGGTTGAAAAACTACTTCAGTGCAAAGGTTGATATCGAATTTCTGAAGGAGGCAGCAAATTTAGTGAAGGTTAGCAATGAGAGTCACACATTTCTTAAATTTCAAGATTTAGAAGAGCTGAATAATGATGAGAGTAAACCGCATCTGAAAATTAAACATGATGCTGATTCTATTTCTCTTTTGATCAAAGAATTTGAGAGTAAAAGCTACATTCCCGATGGGAATTCTGAGCTGAAATTACAATAGTCTTGTTCTCGATCTCGAGGATTGAACCAAGAAGAATTCAATGTTCTTCAAAGTATAAATTAAAAACTAAGAAATAAACAATGTTTTACCTCTCATGATATTGAACAAATGGAATTCACAATTAAGAAATTAGAATTAAATTACAATCATCAATTTATCTAAGATTTTGAGAAGCTAAAAGAATTTAAAATTTACAACGTAAATCACAATGTTTCACAAGTATTAAAGTGCTAAAACTATCCAATACGAAAACTTTAATATAATAATTCTAATAGTTATGAAACTTGCCAACTTAGTTAGGCTAGTTATTTATTAAAATACCTATTGTACCCATTCGATTTTATAAATCAATATAGAGTTTTGAATTTGAACGATATGAAGAGAAGTTAAAAGATTTCGAAAGTATAGTAAAGACAAAGAAGAATGTCGAAAGAACTTCTATTAAAAAGAATAGGTAGAAAACTGATATTTAGAAAGGCATTACAGATTCACCCAGCCAAATGAGTAATGATAATATTAAATATTAAATGTTATCAATATTATACAAAACAAGATATCATGTATTTACGAGATCGAATAACTATCTGTATTGTTGTGATTGCAATCTAAGAGTTTTATGTTAAAAATATGCATATTATTTCAATAATTGAAAATTTTTATTGATTTTTGGATTGAAAATAATAAAAAATGAATTAGACCAACATAACAGATAACTCTCATATCTCTCATTGCCAATTAATGATTTAAGAGGAGTCTTTGCCTGGTTGCAATAATTCAAATCTCTATCATTCGATCGATATTTAAAATCAAACAGCTCAATAAATATAATACCAAGAATGTCAAAGAATAGAGGACATCCCAGGTCAGAAAGAAAACTTAATCTAATCTGAAGTAAAAAAAAAACAATTTTCTCAATTAATGGTTCAATTCAATATCCATCATTTCAAAAGGAAGATGCTGTCCTATATTCATCCTTATAAGGAATTATCAAAAGGCTAGTTTAGCATGATCTCTGATAAGTCTTCATCGTTCAAAAGCTATCCAAAAAAATAACAATAAAAAACATCGTTACTCCAATATAATAAGGCAGTGTTAGGATTTCGTAACATAATCAAAGATTTTAATAATACTTTAGTAGCTTAAACCAAGAAAAAAGTGTCATAATTGATAGGCATAATCCCTATCATTAATCCGTACTCAACAACAAAATTGTTTTGGGATGGAATAATCACCATAATGAGAATATACTTATTGATTTGGATTCCTATTTTGATTGCATTTAAAAATGGAACTTTGGAGGATTTGAACGCATATACTCTTAATGTGTGCAGTAGCGCTTTTTTAATTGATTTGGCAATGCAGACTTTTACAATAAGATTTGATAAGGGATTTCCTGTAAAAGATCGTTATCAATTGATACAATATTAAATAAACTGGTGGACCGCAATAGAGTTATTTAGCTTTATTATATCTTTGTACTTCAGCATCCAATTTCATTAGAACAACTTTTCAATGTCAGTAGTAGAGGATAAAGGGTGGACCAAAACACTGCTGTTGCTGTTAATCGTCCAGACCAAAAATATTCTTTAGTTTATTGAGAATTTATAATGTGTAATAAAGCCGAGTAAGTCAACTAATTCATTAATCGAATTAGTGAAATTGATTTGTTTAATCTTATTAATCTAGCATATTTTTTCGTGCATATGGTATTGAAGAGATATAATTAGGGTTATCATTGGCACCTACGAGCATTTGAAATCTCAAACCTCTTGGCTTGATTTGGTGCACTTGGATATAGATTAGCCTTGGCATAACATTTATTTAGAGGCCATGTATTTCATAAGTGTGACTACATTTACAGTTGGATATGGAGATATAACCCCACAGAGTATATTCAATTTGATAAAGTATAGATACATCAGAAAAGTGTTTTACCATTGTCTACATGTTTTTCTGTACATTGTAGCTCTCTTATTCTGTAAATACGATAGGATCTATTTTGATCCAATTGAAGGAAAACAATGAGGAAATTAAATAGAAAATGACAGCTGTTACCGAACATATGACAAATAGACAAATGAGTCGTGGATTGTAGTTTAAGTATGGCAATAATTATCCCTTCATCTAGAGTTAGAGAGTATTTAACTTATTATTGGCAACAAGAGAACGTTTAAAAGAAAAATGAGACTGCCGAAATAATACGATTACTTCCAGAAGAACTTTAAAAGAGCATACAGAGAGAAGGAAGTTCCAATTTAATCAATAAGTGTTCATTTTTCAAAGAGAAATTTACTCCTGGGTTTCTAAATTAATTAGTGGAAATAGCTTATGTGTAGAACTTTTAGCCAGGAATAATAATCAATGATCTGCAAAATATATACATAATTGAATATGGATTTGTCGAAATCTTGCAAAATTAAGTATTTATATGATATCGATATTGATAGACTGTTGTTGGTTAATTAAGTTAATTTTAGTAGTTTGGCTTAAAAAAAGTGTCTATGGATTTGATAAATGAAACAAAATATCGTACAAAATCATTTACAAATCTTCTTATTATTCCATATGCATCCTTAGTCTAATTAGTGGCATAAAATTAGAATGAATTGGAAATTGTATCATAGGCTAGTTTCAGTGTTAAAAATGAATGTGTTATATGCAAAGGTTCACATGTAACAGAATTGTGTCCCCAAGTGCATTTTATCCCAGACAAAGAAAAAGTAATTAAAAAATATTTGTACAATTCTATACAGACTAGAGGAAGGATAAAGAGAAAACCTAAAGATTAGTTTTAAGAATGGAAAAACGAATTGAAGTTTTTTTAAGATACGGCTGAATAGTTCTAATAAGATTCCAGCAATGAAATCGAACTCCTATTCCCCAATAATGAAAAGTAATAACAAATGAACGCTTGTACATAGAATTCCCTACTTGAAATAAATGATGAGAAGCCTAAGTCAATTATAATTAATTTGCCTATAGGACAAAGGGGGGACTTGGATATGAAGATTGATAATAAGGATCCCTTAAAAAGTGATAGAAAATCAGAATTAAAAAATGATATCAGTGAACTATGTTTGAATCAGCAATTTGAAGCTATCTCTTAGAAATTCAAATAAATTCAAATCTACAATGAAAAGATATAAAAGGACATTTTTTTACTGTATAAATAATTAGAATGCCTTTTGGGATAGAATGGATATGAAATTGATAAATATAAGAGTTATAAACATTATTATAAGAGTTGGAATATCGAAAGAATCATAGTGGAACATAATTTTGCATCCAATTATATAAATCATCGAAGAAGCGAGAAGGTAGGTCTTGAGTAGATATCAAAATATCTATTGTTCCCGAAGATGTATTTACAAAAGTATCGAACTGAGAAACCTCCTGAGGTTTAGTAATAGCAGCAGCCCTAAGTGAATAAGAGTATAATTAATGAATATAATAGGCATCAGAACTTCCAAGAAAAAGAAGCGTATTGCCATCCATCCAGATTTTTGAATATTACATTATTAGTAATTTTATAATGGATTAAAATTAAAACATCAGTCGTTGTACTCTAATGATAAATGATAATCAGAGCGAATCTAATAACAATATTGATCATTCGATTATTGGAATAGACGAAACGATTACCAAGAAGGTAGATTTAACTAAGAATATGAAATAAAAAACAAAGTTTGATCAAGCAGAAATCAATGTCTCATTTCAAAATTTGTAAAGTAATCAAACTAGCTCCATTTCTCCAAAGCAGAAATCCTTTTCAAAGTTATTGATTTATTTTCATTCAACCAAATACGCCAACAAAATGTTGCAATTTATTAGACCCAATCAGAAATTTCAAAGGAAGCATTTTGCAATCATTGATGATCCTGCATCATCATATAAGTATATGAAGAAAACAACAAACATCACTACAAACATAGTCAGATAACACTTATATTTGATTTGATTTCAGAATTAAATTTAGAATGAAATATAGAGCATTTAAAACTTCCTTAAAATAACAGTTACTTCTATGCTTCTCATAAATTCCCTTGATTGAACCTTAAAGTAAATTCAAATTGTTATGGGATTTGATATTGAGTGCATTGAGAATGTACATGATAATATGGATGCCTATAGTAATTACATTCCATTCTAAAGATCTTGAATAATATCACAGTCTTTTTATCTTTTTAACCTGCCTATTTTTTATTCTAGACATTATCCTAAGAGCATTCACAATATGCTACGACAAGGGACTTCCTCTGAAGGACAGATTCGAACTAGTGAAAAGGTAATTCACATTATCAACTGGGTTGGAATTGTTTACTATATTATATGGGATCATTCTTACCTTCTCCTTTTTATCAGAAATAGAAAGTCCATACATACTGGAAGAGGATGGATGGCCTAGAATTCTACTTTTACTCTTCTATTAATAAATAATGAATATTCTACAGTTTTTTGATACAATTTAGCATCAACTAAAATTGAGTAAGCTGAGTAATTCTTTTATAGAATTGCTTAAATTGGTGTTCTTGATTTTATTAATACAACATTTTTGTTGTTGTCTTTGGTAAGAATTATAGTGTATAATTAAGGGTAGTGATAGGAGAGTATAAGTAAAGGTAAGACACAATCAATTGGCTTAAACGAGTGGAAGGAGAGCCTTGGTAAAATGTGTATTTGGAATCATTTTATTTTATGAGTGTTACTATGTTCACAGTAGGGTATGGAGAGATAGTGCCAACAAGTAAGGTTCTTTTCTCTATTATAGACCCTATTGAGAAGATATTTTGTATCTGTTATATGTTTCTATCAACAATGCAGTTATCATTTTCTGTGAATACAATAGGAACTATATTGACTTAAATCAAAGAGAACAATGAGAAGATCAGATAAAAAATGACTTGTATTAATGAATATATGAGAGAAAAATAAATTAGTCAAGGTTTGCAATATAAGTAAGAATAATTAAATCTAAGGTAGAGTGAGAGAATATTTTAATTTTTATTGGGAATAGGAAAATCATATAAAAAAAAAATGAATAATCTGATTTGATCCAATTGTTACCAGAAGAATTGCAAACTGATCTCAAAATTGAGTCAGCTTAAGTTCTAATGAACAAATGTGAATTTTTTAGGCAGTTCTTCTCCTAAAAATGCTTACATTAACTTCTCGAAAAAGTGGAGTTTAAGACCTTTTAACCTGGGATTATAATTGAAAATAATGATCTTAATATATTCATTATTGAATAGGGTTTAGTTGAAGTTAAATAATAAAAGGTAAAGGTATATGTAATTTAAGAGATAATTATGTTATTTGAAGGAGAATGATTATTTTGGTCATTTGGAAATGAAAAGTAATTAATCATCCTCTTTGCAATACAAGACAGCATCGTTTTGTAGTATTCTGATAATTCCCAATAAAGGAATAAGGGAAGTTTTACAATAAAATGAAGTTGATTAGGAGTAATATTTGAAAATGAAAGAAATTATGTATTGTTATATCTGCTAAAATAAACATCATTCTAGTGATGATTGTCATCTGGTTCACTTTGTACCAGACAAGGAAAAGGTCATAAAGCAATACAATTTCATTCAGAACTAATGTCGTGACTTTTATAAACGATAAAGACACAGACATCATTTTTCTGCCTCCTAAGATTTTGAACTGATCTCTAATAGTGCTAAGATTTATCAAATAGAAAATGATCAAATCATAGAATAAATAGTTCCTAGTTTATTTTATGAGTAAAAGCAGTAAATTCAAGGATTCGAGGATTGCTTAAATCACGAGAAAATTAATTTAAGTGATAGCAATTATAGGCAAAGCAAATATTTATGTAAAGCTTCGGCATCTATAAAGATGCTAAGAACACAGACTATTGATATTTTGATGAATGATTATGGTACGAAGGAGATGTATGAGTAAATTAAATAGAAATATTTAAATATCCATAAATACACTCAGTAATAATAACACGATCTCTAATTGCTTTATAAGTAGTTGACAAATAAGCGAGAGGATGATACGGAGATTTGCGATAAGATCCACAACTTAAGGTGTAACAAGGATTGGAATTTGGAGAATGTCATTCGGAAGATTAATAGATGCTACAGATAGGAGTTTCACTAAGCGGTGATAGAACAATTTCAGAAATATATGTTGTTTCCGAATTTGTTTGTATCTTTGTATAAGAGTAAGAAAATAAGAACTTAGGAGGACGAGGAAAGGCGGAATGCATCGGTGATCATTCAATAATATAAATAAAGTAAATTTGTGAATATAATCTATAAGATCTGAGAAACCTAAAGAGAAGAAATGGAAGAATTGTACCTTAATTAATATTTAATATAAATTAATGAACGACAATAAGTAGAAAGATCTTGAGAGTCCAATTTTCTCAGTTGTGTGTTTTCCTGATTCTGTTTTAGTGAGTTTAGGAGGAGGAGGAAAGAAATACGGGTTGGTTAATAGTTTAGTAGATATACTTCAATATTCTTTAAGCAATTATTTCCGAAACCTATATATGGAATATTGAAGGATCCCATTCATACTTTACAATTAGGAGACGAGATATTCTAAAGATTAAGACTAAACACGAAAACAGGATTAATTGTGGGAAATAGCGATGATTAATGTGTGATATTGAAAGTTTAAGATAACAAGATCTCAATAGTAACTAAGTTTTAGACTGACAGGGCAGCAATAGAACCTTGTTAGAATGACGGTGTCTTCAATTATTAGGGGGATACTTTGGCCACAGGAGGAGAAGATGGAATTTTGAAGGTTTGGAGTAAGGATTATCAATTGAAATACACAGTGGATATGAAAGGGAAAATTTAATCATTAGATTATCATGTAGCAAATGGAATGGTATATCTGATTTTGACAATAGTTAATAGTGGCCACTGACAATGAAGAATGCAAGATATTAAAGGATAGCCACGTGTTGCATAAATTAGATATTTCATAAAACAACATCCATAAATTGCAATTTATATCAGCTCTATTCTCATTAGATGGCACTACTATATTCACATTCAAGAATCCAATGAGAGGAGCTTCCTATATGACAAGTTGGAGAATTGAAAATGACAACATTAAACCATTAAAAACAATAAAGATTCATGGACATCCAGTAGTCAGTACTTGTTAATCAAAGGAAGGCATGTTCATTGGTATTGGATGTTCAGATGGAACTGTAAAAATAATAAATGCAAGGTAACATTGATGTGTGTATGTTTTCTATTAGAAAATTGGATATTGAATCTAGTAAGTAGATCCATGAACTTCCCTGTACTGCCTTATGTTTTACTCCAGATTCTAGATTCATTATATCGGGATCGGTGGATGCCAAATACCATTTTCTCTAAAATACTAGACCTTAAGGAATTTTTTCTTTACTTTCTAAATTCTGGCTGTTGGGTATGTTGTTGGCATACTTGTTTATTGTAATAAAGGATTTATTTGAATGAGAGTTATCAAGTATAATTTAATAGTTATTTACATTAAAATTATTTTAAAATGCATAACAGAAACAAAACGAGCAAGTCATAGATGCAACCCTTAATTCAATTGACTATCGATTTAGGGAATCACAAATGCGATAGGATTGCTCTGTACAGGGATACTAATCCATATTTAGAAGCTAAATAATTTGTCGAAAGAAATCATCTTGCCCAATCTATGGTTTAAGTAATATCGAATTGCATTATCAAACAAATGAAGGCCTATGATGAAATTTTGATGATAACGTATGTAATTTAATCAATAATTAAAGGACACTCAAACAGAAACTTCCTATTTGCGCAATTTGAAATCAAATCATGATGAAATATAGGCTAAACAAAAAACTCCAAGTCCAAAACGATTTCACCCGAGTCCCAAACAAACAACTAAACAAAATCTGTCAAGAAGTCCTTCCAATATTTCATTACATGATGAATTGCCCACAGATAAAGTCGTTGTGAAGAAACTATTCTAAATTTTAGATTCGGATTAGGATGGATTAATCTCAGCCAATAAAGTGAATTATAATAAATTACCAATCTAGTTAAAGAACAGAGTACCTTAATCAATATAATCTAGATTACTGTTCATTTAGAACAATCCTTGATCCCATTAGAGTTTGAAGAATTATATGAAAAATTGAAGAATGATCCATAGGAGGAATACTTTATCACTTTAAAATTGATAAGCTAAATTTTAGACATTCCAAAGATTAAAGTACTAATATGAATAGAAATCAATCATATAAAGAATAAATCATTAAACAACTTGCAAAGACTCCAAATTTCACTAAAAATCTTCTGACTTTTTTTCTGCTCTCTTCATACAATTATTTGGATCTATATCCTGTTATCAATGGATCCATCAAGTCCATCCAAACCTTTGGGAATTGAGCAATCATTATGCTTACTAAATACCCACAAGGCAGTATTGGACTTTCAGGATCTATTTCTAATATTTAATATGGTTTTGATGGGTATTTGTGATGATCGCTATGTCTTTGTAGTTTAAACAACAAATGATTGGTAATCCTATGAGGAGCATTCCATGAATGGTGATCACTAATCTATTCGTATTGATTATTTGGTAGCAGTTTTCTTCTTAAACCATAATGTTCAATGTAATTTGAAGCTTCCAAATAGGCTATGCTCTAATAGACTTGTATTAAATAAAAGATGAATCCTTTGGTTGAGTATAACCTGTAAATTAAAATGCACATTAAGATATTTAAGATTGTGTATCGTTACATCTTCTCCTTTTGCTTCCAGGCTTCCTTCCATTACACGACTATTGCTTTAGGAGTAAAGGAATGTAATGACTAGCCTTTTTCTGCTGATACTGCATCCAAAGGAGTGCCAACATATCTATGATGAGTAAAGACATGTTCAATGTTGTAATGGCAATATAGACTCTTAACTAAGGTGTAGGTGCCAAGGAACTTGTCCAATTTGGTGTCTTTATGTAGAAGTTCATGTCCCACTGTGAAATTGTTAGAAGAGAGTCCTCCCCAAATGGACATTAATCCAATTGTCTAAATTTAAATGAAAATAAAGTACATCGAACCATGAAACGTCATTCCAAGTCAGGTGATTCAAAACTGTAAACATCAAACACCAATCCAATACAACTACTAAGTAAAGTGGAATTCTATATGAAATATCATCTTCCAATTCTTTTGTTTATTTTGGATTAAAGTAGTCAAATGCAAGGATCTCATCCAGCAAAGGGATTATTACATAAATTGACCATAATATCATCCAAGGATTATCAATAAAAGTGATAGTGCATATTTATAAGATTGGCACAATATAGTACAATAACTTGTTTTGCATTATTAATTTTATATTTTAATTGACAACGCTTCTAAATATTTCATTAATATCTTAATTCTATTGTACATCCTCTCAGATTCCATAAGAAATCCAATTTCTATCCAATAGCTATGTAAATGCTTATTAGAGGAGGAAATTGAGGAACATATTCATTTAAACTAATTTGCACGCATAGATTATACTACAAAGGAGGAACTTAAGTGGGGGTTATATTTGGATCAGTTTGACGCACTGCTAAGTTTCTGTCTTATCGCTACAATTAATGGGTAAGATAAAAACAAGAGGTATAAATTAAAGGGATTTTGGTTTGATCAATTTAGTTTACTATAATTTTATACCATTTTTGAAGTTTCTATTTAATTAAATGGATTTTTTGGTTGATTCTTAAATTATAGGAACTCAAATCTCACTTTATCTTAAAATAGGTTTAGTATATAATAATTTGAGTAATATCTATAAATAATATGTAAAACATTAAATATCAGGAAAGCAAATTTTAGTTTGAATGCTTCAGAAAACACCTCTTGAAGGATGCTACGTATTATGGATATCTTCTACCTAACTTGTTGATTCTGGCAACGGTAGTGTGATTGCTTATAAATAATAGGTCAAATAGTCACAGACACCAAAATATAAGGTGCCTTTACTATTAACTACCTAAATACATTTCATCACGAAATAGCCTTCAAATGAGATTGAATAGTTTGGTTTTTTGTATAAAGAGCAATTCAAATATTTTTATGCTAACCCAAATACCATTTTGAAACTAAAAGAACTTATGGCTTGTCAAGCGATGTTTAAGGAAATAAGTGATTTCTATCAACCCATAAGTATGTTGGGTAGGGGAGGCTCTTCAAAAGTACGGCATATGATTTCCAGTTTAGGTGTATTTGGTGATGAAAAAGAGGAGTAAAGATCAATACGCTTCGAAGTGTGTGGACAAACGGTACCTAATCGAGGACGGAGGATTTGTAATCAATCGATATTTAGCATAGAATGGATTATTTAATGAGATTTAGCTAATGCAGAGGATGAACCATCCCAAAATAATACACTTGGAAGAACTGTACGAAGGAGAAAATACATTTTATTTGATTTTAGAGTATTTATAAGGTTAGAGTTTGCATGAGTCTTTCAACAAGAGACAAGTGTTATTTGAATAGGAATAAATATAAACTATTATGTTTGTAAAAGAATTTAATCAATTTTAGCAACTCCTAACAGCAGTTTAGTACATGCATTCTTTGGGGATTATGCATAGAGACTTGAAGCCAGAAAACATTATGTTCAAGAGTCAAAACGCCTATGACGAATTAAAGATAGTGGATTTTGGGTTGGCCACATCAATTCAGGCTGAGACTTATCCCTATCCGAAATGTGGAACACCTGGTTATGTTGCTCCTGAAATTGCCAACCTCAAAGATTTAAATTAAAAATACGATTTGATTTGCGATATGTTTAGTGTCGGTTGTATCTTCTATAAATTGTAAATACAGTTTAATTTTTAAGATTGACAGGCAAAGAGCTATTCCCAGGAACAGACTATTAAGAAATCCTAAAGTTAAATAAAAAGTGTTCCATTAATTATGAACTCCTCACCCTATACAGAGCACCCAAGGAGGCGATTGAATTGATAGCATTGTTTTTAAAGATTAATCCTAAGGAAAGAATTTCAGCTCAAGCCGCTTTAGAACACAATTACTTTTAATTAAAATTTTAAACCAAAAGAGCCAAATTTTAACAAAGTAATAATAAATATACTCCTGTCTTTTAAACCCAAAATTTTAATCCCAAAGATAATCATTAAAAACAAAACTTCCACATTGAAGATGATGTTGTAGAAGATGAAAATGCTCATTCTCTGAAAGTACCCATAATGCAAAACATGAAAACCTTTGGTTAATTCGTTTGTAAAATCAAACCATAAGTTACACCAACTTTAGCCAGAAGGAACTTTAAAAAGTTTTAAACTTCAGACTTTAATTCGGCATTGTCACCTAACTCCCCTAATCCTTAACTAAATGATCATAAACCCTCTTTAATCATAAATGCTTAAACTTAAGAATTGATCAATGAAATTAATACCAAAAATGAACATCAAATTAATTAAATGGGTTAAATAGATGAAGAACAAGAAGATCAATTATAACAAAATATATGATCATTTTATTTTATTCATATATTTAACATTTATTTTCTTTTTATTTCTCAATATCCAACTTAATTTAATGCTAACCCAAAACAGAATTTATTAATTTATTATCAATTTAATGACAACTAAATTATGTGATTATAAATTATGGATAGAGTCATGAATCATAATAAAGATTTAAATTAAATATTTATAGCTATCAATACAATGATTCATAAGTTGTCGTTCTAGGACCTTGACTAGTTTTTAATTCTAATTTGCTAATATATCTATACTTCTTGAGGAAGATTGACTATGGAGAGTCCTTTTGACCTATTCTTATGCAGCCAACATATTCAAATCATCATTCGTTCCTACTACTAATTGATTGATTTACTTGTTTTTCTTTACAAATTCTCTCTATATTTCTTAACCTTTTCGATATCACTAACCCAATTTTTTTTAGAATAAGCAGAACTTGCAGACTACAAACGTTTCAATATTGTTTAGTTCTCTGAACATATTTTATTTTACTCTTTTTTTCTCAAATTTTCTAAGGAACCATGAGTTGGGGGTTATTTAAAACCAGCATTCCTTTCTTGAATTTCCATCATTTTTCTTAATAGCTTACTATTAGATTCTGAGATTTCTTTCTCATGAGCTGATATTTATTAAGAAATATGTACTATTGGTATATTTATTAACCAATCTGGAAATTGAATGTCCTGGTTTCCAAGGCTATGAATTATTAACCAAAGGTTTTGAATTTTAGAGGTTATTTAAATGCATTAATTGCTCCTATTTTATGAGATTCAAAAACATACTTAAGCTATTTTTTTCTTGAAGCATATTGGATTAGAATGAATTAAGTTCCACATTAAAAAAATAAATAATTGTCTAAACACCAAAAAAATTAAATTCGAATGAATTAAAATTTATTTTATGAACCATCTTTTACAATTCATTAAACTGTGAAAAGTGTATATACATTCTTTTTCAATAATACAATAGGATTAATAGTATCTATACTAATTACTTTTAAATGTATATATATATATATAATATTTGACATAAGTTGATTATTCATTATTCATGATTATTATGAATTTTGAATTAATTCTCCTAATAATTAAAGTTCAATATCTTATTCTAATCTTCCACCATTTTCTTTTAATTTTTTAAGATTTTAAGTAATTTTCTTTTACATTAATTAAAATCGCTTTCTGGTACTATTCTATGGTGAAGACTGACGAGAAGCTTTCTTTGATAGTATTCTCTCAGAATCCAACTTAAATTTTAAAGCAAAGACTTTACTCATCTCTTCTGGGGTTTGTGAATCAATCAGCAACTCCTCAATATACCCAGTTTCAACTCTAAACAACCAACCATGAACCATAATGGCTATTATATAATATTATTCATATAGTACGATTTCCTTTTTGCCAAGACTTCTAAATGATAGGATTTTTCCAGATGTTCATAACTTGAGCTCTAACATTCAATGAACTAAGACAATTCACTTTATCATCCTCACTTTCTAGTGATTCGATAAGATCTTGATGTTTCTCGTACACTATTTTGATCTGATTCAACCATAAGTCAAGCAACCCTCCCACAGATTATTAGGTCATTGCTGCCTTTATACCACCACAACATGTGTGACCCATTACAATAATACTATGGATATTAAGATGTTCCACTGCATACTAAATTACACAGTTCGACTTTAAAGAATATAGTGTTTATCATTACATTCAAATCAGTTGGTATCATCAAATTAGCAATATTCCTATGGATGAATATCTCCCCAGGGTCTGTTTCTGTCAACTCGTTTGGAGGAGCCCTGGAATCTGAACATCCAATGAGTAAGTACTTTGGACTCTGTCCTTTTGACAAATTTTTAAAGTAGTTATCATCTGATGCTAGTTTTTTGGCCACGTATCGCCTGTTTCCTTCCAGTACTCTGTTATAATGAGTGATCTCTTATATACTATTGCTAACTATCTGTTAATTCATAGATAATTAATATGAAATGACATAATCATATAAATCAAAGGCAATTTACTAAATTTTATGGAATTCATCTCATCATCAAAATCACTCAACAACATTTATATTATTTAATTTAAATTTTGATATAATATATATATATTCAATAAATATATATTTGATTACTTATGTGAATTAAATTTCGAATGATCATCAACCTTATTGAAAGAGGAACATCTGATATTGCTTCCAGAAATAAGATGAAGGTAATTGTCATAATTTTAGATGATTTTCTTTAATTATATAGTTCTAGATTTATCTAAATTTTAGTATAAAAATAATGAAGCCAGGAAATATATAAATAATTTAAAATAATGAATTAGAAAAAATATAAAAAAATGAGAACTAAAAATAAGCACAAACTCAAGGATGAAGTATCAACGGAAATTGAATTATATAATAAAGAAAAAATCATTTTAAAAAGGTTAGCGGAAAATTAAAATATTGAATATTTAGTCCAAAATCAAAAATAGGAGATTTGGAAAAGATGTGAGGAAATCGATCTAGAATTAATCAATATCTATGAAGAAAACCAAAAACAATTTCCTAAAATCTTAGGAAAAACCTTAATTAGAATTTGTGATCTTGAAGTCAAAAATGATTAAAAATATTTGAGAGTTCAATTAGAGGGAGAAAACTAACTGTAGCTTTTTCCCTATTCTTTTTTGAAACTTCACGTTCCTCACCAGCTAGTACAATTTTTACTTTCGATTTATAATCCATATTTGTGATTTATTTTATAAATTAAATGTCATCTACTTTGAAGTAAATGGTGTTTCCTCCCATCGGTAAACATATCGAGGATTTGCAACATCAGTTGAAAGATTCTGTTCAACAATACAAGGCGGATAGGCATAGAGAGTATAAAGATATAAAGAAGAAGAGATTGAAAGAAATTAATGAAGAAAATAAATACAAGATCTTTCATCGGAAGGGTAGAATTCATTTTCTAAATTAGTTTTCAATTCTTAAAGCAAACAATATGGAGGCATTTTTGAGAAGGAAAAGGATATCTATTTATGTAAGGAACCCTTAATAAACGATTATCTGAAATATCACATAATAGAGCCATAAAGAAATTTAGAGAAAGGACTGATTGAGAGTAGATAATTCAGTTTAAATTAGTTAAAACTGGAACAAAAGAGTTTTTGGATGCCAGTTGTTTTGGAGAAGTTCCGTTATAGAAATTAGGAGAAAAGGAAAGAAAGTTAAGAGAATTTTGGATAAAGGAAGGGGAAAGATAAGCAAAGATCAGATTTAAGGCCTTAATAGATTCACAAACAGGAGTCCAAAAAAAATTAAATCAATCGAAAAGATTGAAAGAATTAAAAGTCTTTATCCCAAATAAATTCACTCTCGATTTATTTGATGAACATCCATCATAAATTTTAGCATTAACGTAATTAAAAGCAATTAAACTATTAGACAATTACATTCACATTCAAAAACTATGAAATGGAAACCCAATAGTTTTTATGGAGAAGTATTCGATAATAGTTTCTGCAAGATATCTGATTAAAACCAATCTATATTAAAAGATATTGAAAAGACAGAGTAACTAGAATGAATAATAAAGAATGTCTTTTTAATAAATTTGATAAAATTTCAATCCTTTTTTGCATATTTTAACAAAGGATTGTTTTCAGCCTGCTTAGCAAATCTCGATGGTTTTATTTATGGTGATGGCTAATATTATTAGTTGTTCTTCTTTGTAGGAGTTCCAATAGATTAAGCACTGTCTATAGAATCAACTTTTCCTTTTAACAAGGGGGAATCATGTCCCACTACTTTAGTAGAATCAATTTATTTTTATTGCTAAATTTACTTTTGCATCAAAAGACCTGGAGATTGTTTTGGTGATTGAAGAGGGGAGTTGATGTTTCTTGTAGCATCAAATTTAGAATACCTAAAATAACATCTATAATATTACTCATCATTGATTTTATTCATCATATTCTGAATTTCATTACCCTCGTCGATTTCGTCTATGCTCTATTGATCTTCCTTTTCTGCTTCTAACATAATCTTGGCCATATCTGATAGGAATGCATGATGTAAGCATTTTTCAGCATTTATCCTTTTTTTTGGATCCTTTTCTAACATTTGCTTTAATAAATCAACTGCAGCCCCAGGAGCATTTTAGAGTTATTTAATTTCAAAATCTACACTTGCCTCTCTGTTTTATTTGACAACAGTAGCATAACTTTTGCCGTTGAAGGCTGGCTTACCTGTCAATAATAAATAAAAGACTAATCCCAAACTATAGATGTCACAAATAGAGGAGTATTTAGATTTCATATCCTTTATGTTGATCACTTCAGGTGCCACGTAACCAGGAGTACCACATCTGCAATATAAATAAACTGGTTCATTCACATGAGTAGCCAAACCAAAATCAGCTATTACTACTGATTCCATTTTCCTAATGTAATCTAATTAAATTTTACTTTGAAACTTTAAATAGGATATTTTCAAGTTTTAAATCTCTATGCATTATCTCTTTTTTATGCATTTCCTGCAGACCAATTAATATGCCAACCATTATCTGTTGGATTTGTTTTGTATTGATAGGCACTTTATCTTTGATTAGATCGTACAATGAGCCTCCCTCTAACAATTCTAAGGCTACGTATAAGGAATTCGAAGTTTCATAGACTTCAAACAATTTCATCAGATGCTTGTTATGCAATCTCCTCATGATTGCTATTTCATTTAAAATTGCTTCCTTTCCATTTTCCTCTGCATATGCTGCCTATTTTGCAAAGGCTTTGATTGCCATCTCTTCCCCATCCTCAATTCTTTCAGCCATATAGACCTGTTATAATATATAGATTGCATACTGTTGCAAAATTTCCCTTCCCAATTTTTTTATAAACTCTAAACATATTATGAAATTGCCATTAATTGATCCTCGGACTTAGAAATTGTCTCCATTCAAGTATCAATTTGGAAGACGCACTCAATTTGTAGGTAGGCATAATTCCTGCATTGTCTCTTAAGAATTGAATTCCTATTATTGGGCCTAAGGAATCATCATCTTCGTCTTTTTTTTAAATGGCTTATCTTAAGATTTCAAATTTAGTATCGAATTCTAACTTAATACACTTTTTGAATTATCCATCCTTTGAGTTAATATAGGAGTACAATCTACCTTAACACAAACTACGTAATGATCATATCCATAAAGTAGCCTAGTTTTCCCATTTGGTTTAGTAAATTCGCCTTAGATGATGAGATGCTCTTGTTTTGGTTTGAAATCGTTCGGAATTGGAATCCACAGTTTTTAATGCATCAAAATTTTGAAATAATAATAATTAAAGTGAGAATGTTAATGCTCTTGTTTAAATAGTTTAAAAAATAATAATTAACATTTATTAATAATCCATATGTAAGAATATAAACGTGTAATAATCAAAATTATAATGCGATTTTGACTTGTAGGTTCGAAAATAAAGATAAGATCAAAAACATCCTGAGCTTTAAAAATTACCATCTTGAATCCGCTTTTCAATACCTTCCAAGCCTCCCCCTTATTAACATTATAATATTAATAATGCCGCAAGTTAATATAAAATAAATTATTTCATAATGAAGTAAGAAATTGTTTTATTCTCATTGAAGATTAAAAGTAAACCTTAATGCCATAAAATGGAAATTCCTAGTAAAATTTAGCAATGTTTATTGTTTCTTTGACAATTTTAATTCTTCTGGCTAATATAACTTGATAAATTAATTTAGACAGTTAGAGAAGAAAAACACAAAAATGTTTCAATTTAAAACAATATTTATAATTATATCTTCATGTGAAATTTTTAGTTTGTCTAAAGTAATTTATGAATATCTTCAAATCTGAATTATCAAAATTATATTGATTTTATACTAATCTATTCTACATTTTACCGATCTAACCTTTTATGACAAGTCTAACCATTTTGTTCATTTTAATAATTTATGGAAACTACTTTTGTTCTTCATGCAAACATTCTTCATTTTTTTTATTGGAATTAATATTATGCATCAGGCCGATTACACTCAATAACAAGTTTGATACCTCGGTCGATTAAAAATAATATTTATTTCTAAAAACTCCATTATTGAAAGATTTAACTTGCTTATTAAAAAGATGAGCATTAGTTTGCATAATTATAATGTTCAGTTGATTTAATAATAGAAATGAAACCATATATGTAAGAAATATGATTAATAGAGTTATGCTAAGGAATATAATGAGATGCTATTGAATGATGCTATTGTACTGGTCAACAATGAGGGATAATTATAAATATTACAGTAGTTTCAAGTAATTCGTGTTTTTCACAAGTAAGAGAATATATGGGGTTCCATTAATAGTTGCAGTTTGAATAATACTAGAATCGTTTAATTTAGAATTATATCTGCACAGAACATTTTTGTATTCTTAGATGTTGCTGCAACTGCTTGAATAATTTAATTGATTGTGATAATTTACTATTTACTCAAAATCTGTTTAATTGAAACCAGAATAGTTTTAATCTGTTATAGAAAATATAGTTTAATTTGGATTGTCGTAAAGTCTACTATAAATGACCTACCCTTTCAAATTAATAATGGTGACTGTGGTTGAGTCATCTTGATATTTAAAAGCTTTCGTCTAATTAAAGTCAATATCTTTGGCAATCACTCCTTCTATTTCTTGATTGAGACTTATCAAATTCGAGGTCATAGCAATCCGAATCCCACCTCCAGTAAGGAAGATTTAATAGGGATTGCCATAAATGAGTTAACTTAAGTTAGTGTTGTTGGTCGTTTAATTTCTATGAAATGTATACCATGGTCTTGAGTGCGGTTTAAATCCCGGTTTAAAATAAAAACCTTAACTCAGAGTATAGAATTATGCGTAATTTGCATGACTGAAATATAAAGCTTAGGTGTTATCTATTGAGTTTCTAAATTGAGTGAGAATTGATGTTATTTTATACACTATTTGTAATTCTTCAATGTCATCTTATGTACAGGTTGTATTGAATATTCCGAAACAGAATGAAGAACTATAGCAATAGGTATCATTTGTGTTTTCTTTATTCAAGCATTATACTGGATCGACAGTATTAAATGAAGTTGACTAAAAGTATTGATTTAACTTATTGATCAGCTATATCTGGTTGCTTGCAGAATTCAAGAGTGTAAGGATGTTATTCTTATACATCCATACACTATTCAATTCTGCTTTTGTTTACCTTATAAATATTACATCTGCAGATTCTTTAATGCTTTTTTATACCAAAATTTGGCCAACAATTATGATTGCTGTCAATAAAGCAAAAACCAAAATTAAACTAGCAATCTATATTGTAAGTATTTGATGTCGAACTCTCCAATTCTTATTAATGTACCAATACTTTTTCTTTATCAATTCATTTAATATCATTTATTTATTACTATTAGAGTTTATAATTCAAAATAAACAGAAGATATTTTAGTGTATTAATCAATATTATATTTTTAAGAAAATCATTCAAAATCTCAATGAATTATGAGTACATAATTAATAAAGAATATAAAACTATGCTAAAATTTTTCAATTATAAATTTCGTAAGTCTTGGCTATTTATAATTTCTTTTTTTAATTATAATGTTTAATTATATTATTGATAACGCATCTGTAACATCTAAAGTTACTTAGGTTGGGTGATTTTTTAAACAATGATAACTATATTAATTATGTCCTAGCATTATAATTATTTATTTAATTGGCTGGCAATAAAAAATGTAAGGAATGCAGAGATATAAAATACTATTCTTGATATGTGTGGTTATCTGACATATAAAAGTCAAGGATGATGAAAAATGAGTAGTTAAATGGGTAATTGAAATTTTGCATCGACCCCAGTGGATTTGAAAGTGAGGATACTTTCAATAATGGTATTTAGGTGAATTATTTAATCGTTTTATGTAATATTTACTAAATCAATTTTAATCATATAATTGCTAACTTAAATATGAGCAAAATTGTTCCACTTCCAATAAAATCAAGTGCGATAGTCATTAAAGAACAAGAGGATGACATCAGACCAGTATGAAAGTATAATTAACTTTAGAGCGACCCTGTCAAGGCAAATTAATACATGTTATAAAACATGTTTTTCAAGCAGGATGAAACTGGTCATCCAACTCCATATGAATTCACAGTGGGATTGGATGAATTCAAAAAACATGGTTTAGGATTGTATTTGTACTTTAAATTCTTGGAATACACTATCTATGTATTCCTGATCATGAGTATAATTGCAAGCATAGTTTGTTATTTCAATTCTACTGGAAATGGCTTAGATGCATGGAAGAACCTAAATCTACTCTAAGTAATCTTGAATTCTATTATTAGAAATTGAGCGTTGGCAACCAAGAAAAAATTAAAAGTAGTACTGGAACTGAATATACTACATCAGATATTTCAGATTTTTATAATAACTCGTAAACCTGGCTATCGACTTTGACTTGGATGGATTTCAGTTACACATTGATATTCATACTCTTTTATTTAGCCTTTTCATATTGGTCTAACAAGGAAATCAAGGAGTCCATGGTGAAAGAAAAGGTTCCTGCCAATTTTTCATTAGGAGTAAGCATCTAACAATAGCAATAGATAAAAGGACTGAGGGAGGATGAGAGAGATCCGGGAAAGCTGAAAGGGTTCATCGAAGATCTGGGATTTAAGGTCAAAGAAGTGAAATTCGCTAAGAACTACTCAAACACCTTATTATTGCACAAACAAGAAGCTGAATTGAAAATCTTAATCAAAGGAGAAGATATCAAAGCCCAATTTCCAGAGTAAGCTTTCTATCCTATCTATTTAGTTGTGACCCAGCAGTCAAACAGAAATATATGAAGTAATTATAGGAGATATAGGTTGAAAGAGAAACAATTATCAAGAATATTATAGGGAAAAGGTTAAGACATGATGAATACCCTACTTTAATGGCATTTGTGATATTCGAAAGAATTGGAGACAAAAATTTGTTTATTAAAGAATATAAAGCAAATACTAATTACAGTGTTTTTTAAACTTTTTGTTGCGGCAAAAAAGTAGATGACAAGTATTTGTTTAGAGGCAATGTTTTAAAAATAATACCTTAAGTAGACAACCCAAGCAATATTAATTGGGAAAATCTTGAAGTTTCTTCATCAAACAGATTTTTAAGGCAAATATTAGTTGGTTTTGGAGTGTTTTGTTTAATGATCATTACCTTTTTCATCGTCTTTGCCATAAATGTTGTAAGCAAATACAGTCCAGAAGATTGTGAAATAAGAGATTACACTTATGAAAACACATAGAAATGGATAAGTGAGGCTACTACGTCAAGTGATAAAACTTAAATCCAATAATGTTTTTGCATGAACTTGAGTCTAACAACCCTTTATGCAGATTATTTTAATTACTGTACAGATATTGTGTATTAATATACTGGAATATAAGCATTGTAAATAGTTTCTGCCTTTGTTATTCTAATTGTAAACAGTTTACTGCAATTACTAATAAAAAGTATTGTGATTTTCGAGAGATATCAGAGTTTAAGTAAGAAACTATCAGGCACACTAACTAAACTCTTTATATCATTATTTGTCAATACTGCTCTGATTACCTTGATTTTGAAGGCAAATATTTATGGATTCAAACTATCCTACTATTTGAGTTCTCCGATTCCTCCTTTGCAATCAGCATAATAAAAGGAGGTTTTCCCTTCGGATTTTAATAGAGAGTGGTATGCAGTAGTGGGAGCAGCATATGTCAACACTTGGATAATCAATATATTTTCTCCATATTTTGTTGACTTTGTGCTTTACCCAATAAGAAATTGGTTTAGAAAGAGAGAAGCACTTACTGCTAAAATTTAGAGAGACTTGAACAGACTCTCTGTTGGGCCAGAATTTAATCTTGACTTATACTATGCCAATCTCCTTAACACCATATTTGTAACCTTATTTTACTCTTCTCTTATCCCATTAATGTTGCCATTAGGATTCTTTGCACTAGTTATGCACTTTTTGGTTCAGAAGTTCCTGCTTCTGAAATATTATCGTAAACCTCCTTCATATGATGAGGCCTTACATGATTCAGTCTTCACTTTACTTCCCTATTCTATTATTTTGCATATTTTGGTAGCAATATGGACTTATGGCCACCCTTATATATTCCCTTCATCCTCAGATGCTCTAGTTGAGAATGGGGGTCTCCTGGATGTATCAAAAGATTCAATCTGGATCAGAATTTCAAACTCTTCATAATTGTCGATTTTGGGAGTATTATTTGTCATTATCCTGGTCATTAAATACTTTTTGATTAACCCTCTGTCCTATTTAGTAAAGCTTTGTTTCGACAGTGAGGCAGTGGTATTTATTTATTAATATGAAAGGTCGTAGATTTTGCTTAAGAGGAAACTTATGATTAGATTTATGATCAGATATCATCGATTTAACTGGCAACATATGAAATAAGGGAAAATGAAAATTACAAGGATTTGGTATATTCTCTCGACTCAGATCAACGATCCCCAACCTAAAGAAAATCAGAAGAAGAAAGAGTACCCTTGCAAGATATATGATTTATTCAATATATGTTGTAATTCATTTAATTTTCACACTAGTATTTCTAAAAAATTCAGATATATTTTTATTTGATTTCTAATAGATTTCTCAGAAGTTCTGTGTAATATCTTCATTCTCTATGAGACTTCGCTGAATCTTGCCCTGTCTATGTATTCTTATATAGATGAAGCCAATTGAAGTCTTGTAAATGGTTATCTAAATTGGTTTCAAACATGATGCAGAATCTCATCAAGCTCAAAATCATTTGGATTTTCGAAAACAAATAATATCATCAAACTCTTCTAATAATTCAGCAAATTCTTCAATTTTATGAAATTTAATTTTAACTTCATCATCATCTATTTGATTAATGAGATAGCTTGTCTATTCATATTTAAGCAATAGTGACATCTCTCTATCTTCATGCTTGAGTAGCTCTTTTAAATTTGAGTCTGTAATTACCTAAGATTTTTCTGCTTCATATTTTAATTTTTTTCTATTTTTTAATTCTACCATTCTTTTTCCAATTTCATAACCTTTTTAATGGTGCCATTAGAATTGATTAATGGGGACAATTGCTATTTGTTTTCAATCTCTTTTAAATTGAATTTTAGGTACATTTTAATGGAATAAATCAAATTACTTTTTCATCAAGTTATTTTGTTTTTCAATAATCCTCACTGAATGCTCAATCTAATCAATTCTTTTTTCTAAAATCTACCAATAATCAATCTCTTAATCAATTTCATTTTATAGCTGTATCTCTGGAATCTCTATAACCTAATCATTCTTGATCTTAATATCTACTTACATGATCTTTTTTTATTATTAATGTAGATCAATTCAGCCAAGATCTTTTAATATCCTGCCACTTCAACATCATCATTTTTTCTATAGATTGTCTTAATTAATTTCATAGAAAAGTCTCTTATTTACATTGTTTTAGTTGTTGATCGACTATCTTCATTACTAATTTTTAGTGCTTGAGTTTTTGGTTACATCAATCTTAATGCAGCCAATTGTTCTCTTAATACATTATCGATGCTCACTTTATGCAAAAAGATATTGGTTTTAGTTTTGGTTACTACTCTTCGAAATGAATTCATTTAAATATTGAAATTTAGTAAATTCAATTAATATAAATAAATGCAGTATCTTTATTTTATTAGGGAGAGAGGGATGTTAAAAAAAAGAGCATTATTTTACAATATATTTAATTTTCAATAAGAGTTTTCAAGAAATTTATTGAATCCTTTATTGTGTATCCTACAATAAAATCAGTATACATACTCTAATAATTGAATCTTGGTGTAATTTTTGTATTTCATTTCTAAAGGAATTTCAAAATTGTTCTCATCCATCCAATCTTGATATTGGGAATCCTATTAAACGCAAGTCCTTTCCCATTTGGGAAATAAAGACGGCTTTTCAATTTCAACTTAAGATGGCAAGTACTTTATCTTCATTGAACTAAAAGATCCAACATTGGAATTCGAAGATGAATTTGAAAGATGTCTAAAATCGCTCCTTTGGCCTGGCTTCTTATTTGGGTCAGGAGGTTACAACAAATGTTACTATGAATTTTGAAACTATATTTAAGAATAATTTACTTTACTTGTCCGTGTTATGGTTATTCATTGATTGTCCAAATTATTTAATTGGATAACTTGGATGAACTTTTCATTACAGGTCCTGGAGAGTGTTCTTTTATCTTGTTAAATTCGAATGATCTCTTTGATTCCAGAGAACTGAACTTTTTGGTAGATTTCATTAGACCTTCCGTCCAATCGTAAATGCCATCCAATATGAATTAGTTGTTTTCAGCAATCTAATTAAGCAATTACAAAATGTATTAGTAATTAGGTTCATCTGCAAAACTCAAGGTCTTGATGTATTGCAAGATCTCCACTAATTCGTGAGGTTGATTGGCACATAAATCGTTTAGATCAATGTTTTACTTTATGTCTCCAACCGCTTTGGTTCTTTCGTTTTCGGAGACAGGCAAATTTTACCAAGGCAAGCTACCACGCAGAAAGTAGAGAACAACATAAAATAAGGATTCTATGTCATCTTTCCTGGCTATTTCATGGCCTTAATGCGCTGCAATTGAGGCATACCTTGGAGTACCCATAAATGTTTTATCTTTGCGAAATGGCCTAAAAGATTTAAATTGAACAAAATGTACATATGTTCACCCTAAACGCAATAAACCTTACTAATACCAAAGTCAACAATATATAGACTTTCATTATCTTTGGACATCAAAATATTTTCAGGTTTCAAATCTCTATGGATAACATTCCTACTGTGTATATTTCTCAGTATTGACACACAGTCATATGCAATCTAGACGGAGCATTTAAGACTGAATTTTTTTTATTGCCTAAAGTAGAATGACAGATCTCTGCCTAATAATTGTATAACCATGAGATTGAATTCATCCTCTGTCCCAAACCATATCAATTTCGGAGTCCCCTCTGCTTCATTGAGTTATTTCAGAATTTCCACTTCCCTTTCTAAAGATCTCATCTCTTCATTATCTTCTTTTTCTAATTTTAGTGCATGTTCTTAGTTTGTTTATTTATCTAAAACAAGAAATACCACTCCAAAAGCTCCCGATGAGATTTTTTTCTTCACTACAAATCTATTCAGAAAAACTTTCTATTATGCCTCCCGACTCATAGGAAAAATTAAAAAAAATTTTATAATATTGTTAAGAATATTTTTTGTAGTATGGCAAATCAAGCTAATCAAATTGAATAATTTTGAATGGCGTTCAAAAAATTAAACTGTATTTTTTATATATTTATTTATATATATATTTATTTTCCTTTTTCCAAAACCATTCCACATCTTCTCATATCCGTTGTGAGGTACCAAAGTATGATTATTAAAAGTAAAGCCATGCTAGATGCACCATCCTCTTTTTATTTACCAATACACAACTACATTGAAAATAGATTGTTTAAAATTGATGTAGGCGTGATGCTTATTTTCAAAGAGTTGTAGAGTCTTCTATTAAATTCAAGAGTTCATTCCTTACTATTTCTGATTAAATATGTTGAACACTTATTTTCGGTATTTGATTTCTATCAATAATAATTTGATGAAATTTTGTCCCTAATTATAAGACGATTCATTATTAAATATTAAACAATAATTTTAATGCAATCACAAGAAATTAATAAAGATTAATAAGTTGAGAATGTTGAAGTGAGTAAACCAGGAGATTCAACTATTTTCAAATCACTTTTGACTAGAATTAAAGAGTAAAACCTGCCATTTACTGAAAATGAACATATGGCAATTTAAGATATTTTTGACATACTTTTGTAATATTCGATGATAAGAGGTGAAAAAAATTAAACAATTATATGGTAACAATTTTTCATTTAAATTTAGTTTTGTTTAATATTTGATATCCTAATTATCAGGCAATCCTGAATTGAATAAATTAAGCCTTGGTTATATTGCTGAGAAAAGTTAGGCCTAATTATTTGCAGTCAAGAGATTGTGGAATACTACAATTAGTTAAGAAGTATTTCTAGATTAAATTCCTAAATGGTAAGGTTAGAGGCCTATTTCAGAGCTGAAATCTATTGAATGATATTATATATAACAACTAAATTCTTTATGAAACTTATATAATTCTTGTTTTTGTATTTGTTATTAATTTAATAAAAATAAAATTTATATTCCCATGAGTCATCACATGCCCTCAAATCCATTAATCAAACAACTTTGCTCAAATCATCCAACAGAACAATTCACCAACTTTTGTTAAAATCCAGAATGCTTGAAACCTTTGTGTCCAGAATGCATTGAATCTCATACCAAATATCATCAGCAAGTTTAGACAAGTGCTGACATCGACAGTTTTAAGAATGTGAAATAGCAATGTCTAAAGAAGATTAGTACTGGAATTCAAGAGATTCAGAAAATTATTTAAGATGCCGACTAATATGGATTGAGTGATATTGATGATTAAACCATTAGAGAAATTCGAAAAGGGAAGGAAATAGCAATTACTTTAGTGACTGAACATTTCTCCTCCTTAGAGGAATAATATAAATCATTTTTAGACTAACAATCCAACTCCTAATAAACTTTTAATCAATTATAAGAAAGTATTAAAAATACAATGAATGAGTTGGAACATTTGAATGTTGGTTTAGAAAGCTCAAATTTGATTCAATTCATTAAGAAAATCTGCACAATGGACTTAAAAAAAACTTTATTGAAATACAAAAAGACCATGAAAAACTTATAAAATAAATCAGCAACTTAATAAATAATGGTTTAACTAAATTAAGCCAATATCTAGCATATCTAAACAGCATTAAATAATTATGCAAAATTAGATTTTATTCCATTGCAAAACACCGTGTTCCTTAGCCAAAGCCATGTCTCTTAATATTAAGAAACCTATCTCTAATAAAATGAGTACTTTAGAGGGAAAAATAAACTACTTCATTTTTTTGAAACTGGTAAATCAACCATATGGCTATACGATTTAAGTTTGCCAGATCAAAATTGGAGACCTGTACAAATCTCAAATTACGTTGAAGTGTTACCTTATTCTAAGTCAATAATGACTCCTGATGGTTAAATCTATTTAACTGGTGGATCCCTTCCAAACAATAAAAAAAGTGGAAAGATATATTAATTTAATTTCTCCAACTATCAATTATAAGAGGTTGGATAATTGACTTATGGAAGAAGTTCTCATGGATTAACATGGAAAAATAATGAGTTATACTTAATTGGAGGTTATATGGACAATTTAGTAATTACATAAAATTGTGAGGTGTTTGATTGCATTAACAAAAGAACAAGACGTCTGCCAAATTTAAACAATGCGATAGCTTCTCCAAGTGTTTGTATTTTTAATGATGCAGTCACAGTAGCAGGAGGATTAGGTAAAAATAATAAATATTATTATAGTCTAGAATTTGAAAATTAATCAATAGATTGAATTTTTGATGATAGATAGATGGGTAACTTGTCTAATTACATCTTAATATCATCTGGCTTCTATGATGTGCTCAATTCAAATTGATTAAAATTAATTAATGATTTTTGGAGGGTACTACGAAAATAATAAGGGATCTAAAGAATGTATGATATTAGAGATCAATGAAACAATTGCCAAAGTTGTGGAAGCTAAGTAACTTCCACATGCAGAAGGCTTCTGGAATAATACCCCCTTGATTTATTAAGGCAGAATTTGGGCTTTACAAAATGTTATTTAAGATATTCATGGAAATTGTTCTTAGGATCAAAGGAGAATTCTGATATTTGACGGATAAAATTGGAAATCAACATGAAGTATTATATAATTTCGTGCATTGAAATTACAATTTTAAAATATACTAAATTTAAATAAACCCAAAACCTAGTTAACTCTAAAAATTATATGTTCATAATGATGAATCTTTTTTGATCTAATTAATTCTGTTTTCTCAATTGTTATTTTTCTACAATCCTTTTCTAAAATATTTGTTGAACAATGTTTCAAGACTAACATCTTAAATTAGGACTATTAATTGTGAAAAACTCTAAGTAAATATGTCAGTATCCCATAATATTTCAGTTATTAATTAAGGCATTTTTTAGAGAAATACGAATATAGAGATATAATGATTTTCAATAGATCATAATGTCTATAAGATTTAAATATAAATTGATCAATAAAGATTGCAATAATAATAATTATTTTTAATCTAAATTATTAAAGAAGTCCGATAATTTAATATTATAGATAGATATTAATTCTTTCAGCATATTCAACATGATCAAATTTATTAATTAATAATAAATTTAACACTTTGAATGTGACATCTATACGCGAGTTATGAATTATACGAGAAAAATAAAGATAAAAACCAGTTTTGATTTTCTGGAAAATAGAAACTAAAATAGTCATCCGCTTTTCCTTTATGACTTAAAGAGAGGCAAATATATGAATAATTGTTTCTATATAGCATATCTCTTTATCTTATACAGATTTAAATGGTTTAGAATTATATATATTTAGAATACAATGATATTATCACACAGTAAAGAAATCTTTGGGCAACGAAGTGTTTCTTATAACTTTTATACTCTTTCGGGTGGATATGGTTGGAGGTTATTTGAACACTTATTTAAGTTATTAAGTTGATAAGCACAATAAATCTAGGATCTTTTCTTCTTTTAGAATAGGTGATTTAGCTTTCTTTTCCTGATTTTAAATAGGAAATTTAATCAATTATGAAGTAATTGAAGGTACTTTTCTTGTGGTCAGTCGATTTACATGTTGTTCTGTTATTTTGGATTTAATATCTTAATTTCCTTCTGTTTTAATGACTTTGTAACTATCATCATATTTGCCTCGATACTTATTCATGAAATAATTGATTTATTTATTTATTAATGTATATATAATTACTGTTCAATCAAATCATTCTCTTAACAAGATCATTGATGAGATCTTCTCTATTTCCCCAATCTCCTTGATTAATGAAGGATCTTCTCTTAGCAATGAATCCACCTCTTGGTCCTCTCAATTTGAATGCCCTAAGATTGGAATAGATAATTACCATAAGAATCTATTTGCTTCTTTGAAGTGAGGTCCTACAGTTGTAATTTCATGGATGAGATCTTCAACGCTGTGAATGCCGACTTTTCCTAATTATTGCTCAATCACATTATTATTTGTGATTGGGATTCTTTGACCATTAATTTTGGCATATCCTCTCTTGTAAATCAGATTCTTGATGACAGCTCTTGATGGATATCCATAGGTGACATATGGCTCGACTTTTCTGATCATTTCAATTGTGGCCTTGTTGACTCTGACAAAGGCTGCATTATGAAGTTATCTCAATTTTAAAAGTCTCAAGGTTTATCTGACCTGTGGATTCAAGGTGTTGATACTGTCATTACTTAAATTAATAATACCCTCTGATTCTGACCACCAAAATCAATTTAGCTTCAGCTGGGACATAGAATCCACCTTCAGTCTTAGCTTTACGTAAGTTATCAACTAAGCTCTTGTCTGCAGCCTTGTACTCAGCTTCATAAGCTTGAGCAGTCTTTTCCCATTAAGCTCTTCTGGTTTTGTTGGCAGCCAATCTCTCTGTTCTTCTCTTAGCAACAGCATCCCTTAACTTAGAATCTCTTTAAGTCTTTTTGGCGACGTTCTCAGGAACCTTTTATCTACACAATCAATACAATAACTTACTCCACTTGTATTTTTTGCTTCTTTTGGGACATTTTAAACAAAATAAAATCTTAAATTTTAAAATCAAATCAACTAAAACAGATTATTCTAATCCATTCTCAGTTTATACAACACAACTCACAATATACTAACATTTAATAGAATCCTGGTCTCCAGGATAATAAGTAGTAAGAGTCGATCAATAAATTATGTTAATAATCACTATAAATGGATAATAATAAGCACACATATGAAAAAAATAATAGAAAAAATTAATAATGATAATTTATAATACTTTTTGTTTACGAATACTTTGATAAACTACCCCTATGAGTATTTGCCTTTTAAGATATGGCTACTTTAAAGCTATTAGATTTCAATGGTTATACTTTGATAAAAGGTTTCATTTCGCTTAAATCAATTTTTATTCTTTAAGATACTGATATATTATTTTAAAATATATGAATTTATAAAATTGCTTTATCTAGAGTGTATAAAACAATTAATATATTCCATTTCAAGTATTTAATTTGTTCTAATAATATTCTAATTTTTCCTAGAATTTCTATCAATATAATAGGAATCTTAATATTTATCATTTTGTTTAGAGCTATATTCGTTTAATATGCTTTTGAACTCTTAAATCCTAACTAAGACTTTAAATTAGGTTTATCTTAAGATTTAATTAATGTATTGAGTTGATATATCAATAAATAGAGCAACTTGTTTTAAAAATCTTCCCCTATTCTTAATTTAAATTGTAAAAAAGTATCATAAATCATATTAAATCAATTCTTCTTAATCTTCAGATTATAACTTGTGATTCAATTCATTCTAATAGATGAATTAACAAGTTTTAATTATGTTAAGTATTAAGCAAACTATTAATAAATCTAATTTATAAATTCATTATGGAATAAGTTAAGGAGATTTAAATATAACCATAAGTTTTACTAATAAATAATAATGCCTTGTATTTTTCTACATCTTAAATGGTAATTTAAATCTATTTGGGTTCAGTTAATTTACTATTTAAATAATTAATATTTTATAAATCTCTGATTTCGAAAAGGAAGAGAGTCTGTAATTTATTTTTGATTAATAATTTAGTGTTTAAATTTGAAAATATAAATCAATCACATTATGATATTGATATCACTTTTTTTTCTTAATTGTTTGATAGATTTTCTTTTTGACTCGTTTATATCTCATTGCAATAACACATAGAATGATAAACAGAAAAATAATTATGATTACTAGAATTATCATCACCATATATTAGACATAATACAGATTATTGTTTGGAGTTATCTAATAATCAATCTAAATTTTACTTAGATATCGAAATCTATATCAAATTGGATTTCAGGTTCAGTTATATTCTAGAATTATTAAACACAACTTATATTTCTCATAATTTTGCAGAAATTTTTAAAGCTTTCATCCACAACCTGATTTTCTATTTCACTACTAGCATTTTAACAATTTTTGACTGTAATATTACAATCAACAAGGTTGGGAAAAGGAGTATTGTCTAAAATCATATATGAGGCTGCATTCTAATAGTTTTTATAAGATGTATTAGCTATAATGAATGAGCCTACTTGATCGCTTTGACATCCCAAAAAACATAATGAGTTCATATTTGTAGCATCTGAAATTTTGGTCTGATAATTTAATTGAACACTCATCACAGCTTAGAGAAATACTGAGACTAAAGTTTAAAAGTAAAATTAATTTTTGGGGCAAGGTTGACAAATATTGGATACTAATTGCTAGCATATATTCCCTGATCTCTCTGAAAAATGAATGTAGCAGACGTAAAATTGATTGTAAGGAGAGTCAAAGACAAAAAAGTCGAATTCATTCTTCGCTGGGGAACTAATGGTCAAATTAATAATTGCTGTCCCATCAACAATTGGATATTGATTGTTCTCTCCCATTCCAAAGGTATTAGGAATTAATTGTATAAATTATCCATATCTAATATTGGCACTAATAGTGGAATTGATGCGAACATAGTCTTCGTTTTGATTTGCATAAGCGATTTATAAAAATAATAAAAATAACATTAAATAAACTCATTAATTAAATAAAAGCAATGGTGATCTTTTTTAATTATAATTGTATGCCACCTCATATAATGAAATAAACCGAACAAAATAAGGACATGTAAATGTTTTTAATTTCTAATGTATTACTGAATCATATTCCTGCATCCACCTTAAATAATAATAGCACAACAATAGATTTTAACTTTTGCTAGAACTCATGTATTTTTGTAATATATATTTTAAAACTTCAATTTTAGAATCTTCAGGTTGAATGATGTCTATAAACTGAGAGATTTAATTGTTTGATCGAGATGATAAAAAGATCTCCACAATTAACTTATCTAATTTGCCTATCAGTTTAAATTTCAACCAAGGCATCTTGCAATTGATAATGTTATGAATTAAGGCAAAGGTTTATGAATAAGGCTAAGTATTCCAATTCTATTCATTGAATATTGATTGCTGCCCTATATTTTATTCGGTTGAATCCAATAAATCAAAGAAATGCTCACTCTATATGTTTTCAGTCACTAAAGGCATTAAACTTTGGTCTAAAATGGGAGGTGATGCACAATCGTTGCTAATTAGAGCAGATCTGTTATGGTAAACTATTGGTAAGGCATTAGAGAGCAATAATGACATATAAGGTATTGATTTGAAAATGTCCTTTTGATATATCTTGTTAACGAATAATTGCCGATCTGTAAAAGCGTCAATATCAGTGCCAAATACTGAAGAAATGAATGAGCCATAAGTGTATTCGATAATAGTAGAACAAAGTTTAAATATGCAACTTAACTATTCTAAAAATAAGTATGCCAATTGTTTATTCTCGAAAAATTGCCTAGCAATATTTTAATTATTAATTGATTATTATGTCACATTTTAATCTGGCAATGATGGTTGCTAAACCCTACAATTCTCAGACTAACTTCTTTTGAAACTAACATTTCTCACAAGTTATGTACTGGTCTTTACATCCCCATAATTATATGAAGTCATGGATTTTAAAGGGAATTCTTCTTGAAATTCGAAAAGCTCATTCAAAAATTAACTATAATGCAAAATGAGCTAATTGTAAAGGTGCTTCCCCTTTTATTGCATGTCATTAGAAATCTTTTTATAAACTATCTATTATTCCCCATCATCAGGATACTTGCCTTTTATCTTTACAAACAGCTTTTTCTGATTCATATTTTTGCACAATTCCTGTATGTCATTTTCCACTATTTTCTAATTTTAGATTACTACTCTAATACCTTGTGAAATTTTTTAAAATAAGTTTCAGTGCATGAATTTATAAAGGCATTGTTATCTTTTAACAATTTATCTTGAACTGAGATCCGTGATAGTGTAGTTCTTGATATTGGTGCCTCAGATGAAGAATTCTCCTTTGCTGAACATTGATTACCCATTTTTATATTAATAATATAGAATTTTTAACTTAATATCGTGGAAGTATAACAGATATTTATAATTCATTCAAATTGAATAGGATCTATCTTCTCGCCATAAATTGTGTAAATTATTTATAGCTCAAAAATAACATGTTTGAAAATAATTAAAACTCCCTAAAATAACCTCATATATCATAAGTTGTCTAATAATACTTTTATATTGCTCTACGTTTATTTCCATGTTTGTAATCCTAATATCCTCTCTACAAAAAATCAATTATTAAACCGACAAGATAATCCATAGTTTTTTCATGAATTCTCTGTATCTTTATAATTTAAGAAGCTTCATTTTTGATGTTCCAACTCTTTCCAAATGATTAATTTATTCATTTTTGAATATTCTTCATGTTCCACCATTTTTGGAATCTCATGGATGAATACTCGAAATAAAATAAAGAATTAGAGCAAATCTCAATCAATTTAGGCCAATTAGCTTCTGATTTATGAACAATATTATTACAGAGAATTTTTCATATATTTCTCAGTTATTGGGTTCTTGCGTTTACCAAAATGAACTTTTCATTCTTCAAATAGATGTAATAGTGGATTATATAATCCAGATCTTCATGTGGAGTATGATTCCCTCTAATTGATTTATTTATAGAATTGCTAATGCAGATTATGCTTTTTTTATATAATATACATAAATAATCTTCATAATAATAATAATAATTTCATTCCATGATGCTCATTAGATAGACAATATAAAAAATTATAATCTATTTTATAGAATATCAATTTAGTATGTAATAACTTATTTGTCTGCAAAATTTCATCTAATCTATAAATTATGGATGCGTTTACTTGTACGTAATGAAAATGATAAATTTAAAATATTGACATCGTATATTAGAATAAATGAATACTATATTTAGTTTTTCTCAAATAATTTAGCATTACTGGATCTATCGTATAGCGGTTAGTACCTGAGGCTCTAACCCTCAAGACCTTGGTTCGAATCCAAGTAGGTCCTATTTTTTATATTATTTTTTTTATAATAATAAAATGAACACAAATATTGAATGCAAGAAGCTTATGTCTTACATGATCAATATAGGAATCAATCCATGTTCAACTACATCAGTGGAACATCTCGTCCTCTTTATTTTAAAAGGCCTTTAGTGCCTAAAATGACAGACACTCCTATAAAATTGAGTCAGCCCCAGTATAATTTAGTGAAAGTACAACTTCCTCCTGTCAAAATGACAATAGAAAGAGTATCGCAACAGTTTTTTTCTGTGTTAAAGACGTAGAAATTTAAACTGACTACAGAGAAGCTGAGGCCTAGACCGATCCATACCAGCTCATGATTAGAATGAAAATTAAAATATAGAAATATTAGCGTTGCAACATTTGAAATGGGACAAGGGATTACCAGCTTCAATTGAGGAATAAGAGTCTATAGAATGGAATAGAGAGAAGGTTTGATTTGAGAATGCACTACCTCCTATATCTAATGAAGCTTCATTTAAATTGAGAAGAGTGTTAATGAAATCATAAGAGGAAAGAGAGTGGAAGAATAAGGAAACAGAAAATACTTAGAAAGATGTAAAAAAGCAGAAAAGAAATTGATAATGAAGATAAGGGCAGAGAAATTATAGAAGATTATGCTAATTTCGCTTCTAAAGTGTATGATGGTATCACAAGGGAAGGATTGAGTCTTGATAAAATAGCTGGCAAGTATGAAGTGTAACCAGTTGCATTAAATACTTACAAGGGTTTGACTGAATTATCAACCACAATAAAACCTTCTATTTTAGAAACAACAATAAATGTGGCTCAATTTATTAAAACTATCTATGAAGGTAATAAAAGGTATTTTCTTAGCTTTTTATTCATCTAGAGAACTGTCTTGATTGAGGAGTTGTTAACTGTTGCTAAAATACCAGATCTACCAGAGGCTGAATAAGAGGAAATCTTGATGCAATAACATGAAGAAAAAGTGAAGAATGCTTCTTTGGAAGCTATTTAAGGAGAAGTGATTGCAGAGACTTTGGATATGTTAAGCAAAGAATTGTTCAGAATTAAATAAGAGAAGAGAATTGCTTAAATGGAGAAATCAGCTGAAGAAGATAGAAGATTAAGAGAGATTAAGGAGGCTGGCACAAGATAAGCAGAATAAATCTTAAGAGATAGAAAAATATGTCTAATATAATCAAATTATGAGAGTTCATTAAGGAATTGTTGATACATATTTATTTAAGAATAATATAGAATAAGGTAGTCATATTTAAATACATCGGTAGCTGCAACAAGACAAGCAACTATTATGACTAATCTAAGAAAATAAAAGATGAATACTCCTGTTGAATACTTTGAAAGGAAATACAATAGTGATGAAACTATTATCAAAGATTTAGTTTAGCAATTTTTAATTCCAAATTGTCAAAGATCAAAATTATAACAACAAAGTAATTATCATCAATAAATTATTAGTATAAATTGAAGAAAGAAGATTTAATGAAGCAGCTAAAAAATTAATTCAGGCAACTTTATCACAGGCAGCTTAATAGATTAATCAAAAATGTTGATAAAATTATTAATTATCTATTTATTTTAATTAATACTAATACATCAAACTAGTTATAATGTCCTATCAAAAAAACATCTAAAATTTCATAAATTAAGTAACCCTTCTGTCAAATAAATAATTTAAATAATAAATAGAGGAAATGATTTTTAATGAATTGAGAGAAATAATGATATCATGATAATCACCAAACCTTTTACTTTATCTTAGGCATAAGATTCATTCTTGGTAGTTGATATAAATTGCTAGGTCTTTTTTATGCATTTTGTGAAGGTGGCTTCAAACCTGAATCAATTTTATTAAATTTTGATATTTTCAGAGGAGATACCATATTTTTAACTCTGTTTGATAAACTTCTAGACTCACTATTTCTATCTTGAATATTAGGTAATGTGTTAACTCTAGAGCGTATTTCCATTGATTCATCATCACTATTACTTTATTCACTATGCCTTCTTTTATCATTCAAATTTTGATATTTAAGAATGAAATTTTAAGGTTCTATTTATTTCTTAAAGATATCATTTTTTAACACTTCAAGAGGAGTGTTAGTATCACTCAACTGCAATTCAAAATCAATTAAAAGTAATTGTTAAAGTAGAATTTCTAATTCCTTGCTTGTTTATTAGAAATTTAATATGCTTTTGATATCATCCATTTGACTAGGCAAATTGAATTGATTAAACTAATAGCCAGTAAGTAATCTTATCAAAATGATTCCCAACTGTTGTAGATCAGAAGTGTGGGCTTTGTCATTCTTTAAGGATGGTCTTTAACTGTACATTTTTTTAGTAGAGTTTCTTGCTGCATTGATTGACATCACTTTGGAATAATGTAATAAGCATAAGGAATCCATATCTTATTCACTCTTGAATCCTATAGCTTTTAGAGTGACATCGCCATGTATGAATCCTTTCTTATGCATTTCTTGTAATCCATTCAATGTTTGTTTAATGATCAGTATGATCTATTGTTGGTTAAAGGTTGTTGATGAAATTTTACTTTCTAAGGTTCCTCCTTCAACTAACTCTTCGACGACGTAGAGATGATTGGCACTTTCGTAAACTTCCTATAGGCGAATTAAATTTTTATGATCAAATTGTCTTTTCATACCGATTTGTTTTTTCAAAAGGTCTAACAAGTAAGGAGAATTTAATAGTTTCAATTTATCATATATTTTAACAGCATTTTACTATCCAGTTAGTTTGTCTCGAATTTTGAAAACCTTTTATAAAAATAAAGTCATAAAATACCTAAAATTAGCTTCCCTCACCTATTTTCTTGATTATTTTGTATTTTTATTACAAATTCTTTTAGATTGTATACTTTCTTAAGACTTCAACCCAATTTTAGATGTCTCCGTAAGCATCCAGTTTTTCGCCATTTTTACTTAATCTGAATCCTGTTTGAGAAGTTCTTGGATGGTAAACGATCTCAAGAAATAGATTCCTAACGTCAAGGAATTTCTGTTTAATTATAGAGATTATTCATACATCATCTCCATATTTTAGATAATAACCTCCGAAATAAATTGTTTTTTGGATTAATCTATTCCTATTAACAATCGAGAGTTCGTCTGACAGTTGGAATTGAATTAGTATTTAAGGTCTTTGTATCCAGAATTCTGGACTGTCATCTAAGATAGATTATGATAAATTGATGGCTTTGTTAATTTGGGATTTAATCATTTAAATAATATAACATATTTCAGAAGAATAATTATCAATAGTAGGGTCTTTAGAATTTACAAATGTACTTAAATAAGAACATAAGATTTAGTTTTAGACAGAAAAGACTAATTGCAATCAAATTGTTGCAGTAAATACTAATTTATTGATTTAAATTTAAAGTCGTCAATAATTTTATGCTGAACACCTAGTATGATGAATCAATCCATATTTTTCAAGTAATAAACTTGGTTTGAATACATTTATTTAAATAATAAGAGTTGTTTGCGATTATATTTTCTATATATATTAGTTTAAGAATCTTGAGATTAAAGTATTGATTGCAATTCTCTTATATTGATATCAAATATCATATTACTTATTGTAAAGGCTTTGAAACTTTGTGAATTGTATATTAAATGTAATATGCAAGGAATGTTGTTGACTCATCACAAGATATAGATGGACAAGGATGTCGAATCAAGAAAAAGATTACCAATTTTGTGAATATAATAATATAATAAATGAACAAATAGAGGAAATATATTTTAAATCTTTTATTAAAAATATATTTTAAAAAACCAAAAATATTATGACTGACTTGAAAGAGAAGAAAGTAGAAGATGAACAATAAACAAAAAAAATTAGAATGATTGTTACATCTAGAAGTGCTTAAGATTTGGAAAATTTCACTAATTAAGTTATTGAAAAGACCAGAGGAATTCAAGTAATGATTACATTTCAACATTAAGAGAGATTAAGGTGCACAAGTTGTATTCAAAGGACCAGTTAGAATGCCAACAAAGCATCTTAAAATGACTGTCAGAAAGAGTCCTTGCGGTGAAGGTTCAAAGACTTGGGATAGATTTGAAATGAGAGTATTAAAATTATTTAACATCTAGATTCACAAAAGAGTAATTGACTTCTAATGCACTTTACCAACTTTCAAGGATATTACAAACTTCAAGATTGGTCCAGGAATTAATGTTGAATTAAACGTAGAATAATAATGATTAGTGATAATATTAAATAATACATTAAATCTAAATACATTAATATAATTAGTAATATTTATTAATAGGAGTCTAACTCAAACAAACTAATTAAGCCTTCCCTAACTTTTACATCAATCATATGGAACATTATAATTCAAGTTAGTCTTCACTACATAGCTGATTTGAAAATTTACATAAAATTGCATTGAGATAATAAAAAATCCAGTTATTATGAAATTCATTTGAGATAATATGGTTGTAATCCATCTTAAAATAGAATTAGAAGAAACTATCATAAGAATTTTAAAAAATTGGAAGAATTGTTCAAAACGATATTAAAGCAATTTGATCTATAAATTTTGTTGAGGGAATAATTCAATAGGAGAATCTAATAATCTTAATAAACAGGAAATAAATTGACCATACTAAAGGATTAATGATTTAATATATGAATTTAAAATATATCACTCTTTTAATTTTAATGTCTACAAATCTAATCTTCTTAAATATATGATCAACAAAAAGGCAAACAAAAATGTTCCAAAAATCATCAAGGGCTCTCTTAATATTGATATTCCAGAAAATTTATAAGTGATCTAAGTTAGAATATTATTATACTATAATTTGTTTATTATCGAATTGGCTTGTTGTAGTTTTATCCAAAATGATTGTAGGTCTGCCAACTGTATCAAAGTAAGAAAATAATAATGTGTCATTCCTTTCAACTTACAAAGGCAAATCAACTCGGATGTCATAAGCTCCTTCGGGTAAGGAAATTTAAAAGTTATATGAGTCAGATACCATTTCCTTGACAGAGAAAGGGAAATTCAAAGTTAATTTAAAATTATTTCCATCTTATTCTAAGTATCTAAGTGATATTGATGTGAAATACTTTTTTGTTGGTAAATTGTACCCTAAAGTAAAATTGCTTCTCCATCCTCCAAATATTGCAAATCTGGGTCTTAATTAGATAAGGGCTTAATTTTCCCCATTAAGTTTCTTAGATAATCAATTAAGAAATGATACCCCTTTAGCAGCATTTGATGTTGAAATGTTTCCTATCTCATCCCTATAGTAAACACCCCAAGAATCATATGGGAGTGATGCAGACAATTATTTCAAAGAGTGTTTGCCCACATTTGGATTGTATTTATTAAAATTAACTCTTCCGAATTCACCTTTCAACTTTGCTCCTTGATTTTCAATTGAATAGTTTTCTTCAATTAAAATATTGCCCCAATGAGATACTTCTATGATTTTAGATGCCTTTGTGAAAACAGTCATTGGTGTGTTGTTTTCTAAATGGATTGTGTGAATCTAAGTCGAAAAAGCCTTAATGTCTTAGTAAGGTCCAAATTCTAGAAGTGAATTTCTCTGAGTAGCTGATTTTAGAGTATAAGAGCTATAGGTAATGTGTATATTTACATAATTTTTGGAGTTTCATAATAAGTTATTTGATTTTGAACAAAATAAGGAGTGAAGAAATATACGGAATCCATAAATTGGACTAATTATTCATCCTATTTATTATTAATCACAGAATACCTCAACTCCAATTTCTTTAGGCATTGGTTTGAATCGTTTATAATAATATTCATTTAATTCTACTTCTTAATCTGTAGAAGGTTCGATTGATTTCTATAATGTAAATTCATAGACTGTTGCATTCTATTTGTATTTTACATCCACATCTTCTATTACTCTTTTTGCATTGCTTTCCTCTATATTGACATGATATAATTTATCTGACAGTGCACTATGGATTGTATAATAAATCTTTTCAATTGGAATGACTCCATCATTTTTAAAATTAATCTTAAGATGATGTTAATCGTTACTTTAGATTTGATGTAGACATATCTATCAGTTAATTACACTGTCCTCTCAATATTTGAAATGAAAAAGTTTTTTTGAATTCTTAGTGATGATGCTAATGCAATAAATATGAAAAGCAACATAATTAATTATTATTTATTTTGCAATAATATTTGATAACTCTTTCTTTTATTTATTTTCCGAATTCTTAGATTTTTTAAGCAGCCATAAGTGTTTTTTCAGTTTTTTAATACTACTTCAAAATTTAGTTTATTGTGGCAAGAGAGGCATCGTTTGTTTAGGTCTTTTAATTAGGCCACAAATAATATGAATTCTTTATAAAATTATTATAATTTTATTCAAATTAATCCAGTAAGATTGTTTGTAAGATATTAATGTAATATAAAGAGGAAACAATAAGATACAATTGATTATTTAATAAAAATTTTTTACAATGTAAATAATTATTATTATAAATTATATATATTTATTATAATTTATCATGGTAAATCGATGCAATTTATTTAATGACGGATCATACGATTTATTTCTCATTAAAATTATATAAATGTATATAATCCCTTATAATGAATGGTTGCTCTACACTTGTCTAAAGTCTCCCTGATCTCCTCAAGAAGCTAATGTTAGTGGACTTTTATAATGATTTTTTATAAAAATATATGTTTAATATACTTTTAGTTTAAAAAGGAATGTTAAAAAAAAGGATTTGACATTAACATAAAAAATAATGGAGAGTATATTACAAATCAATTCTTCTCTTCTTATTTCGTTACTACCACTTCACTTTTGTTCTCGTTTGGGATTCCATTTCTAGATAAATTAAACTTATTACTTTTTATATTGGACGTCCTTGATGTCTTTCATAGATAAGAATATCTTTTTTTTCGTCTATTTTTGAGAAGAATTTTGGTTGTTAGACTTTGTTTCTTTTGATTTTTTGATGACTTTCGATATTTTCTTGGATTTAGATAGTTCAAATGAACTTTGTTCATCATTCATTATAGTATTCTGCTCGATTATTTGGGTTTCTTGAGGAGATCGGGGTTAAATCTAAGGACTTGACTACGCTTGGAGAGAGCAAGCAGTTCTAAACAAACATTAAGGGTAAAAGCTTACCTTAGAGCTATCAACGAGTTGAATTAAACGAGTTATTGAAGCAAAAGTTGTTGCTGAATAAGAAATTGTTGATCATAGAGCAAGAATGAATTCATAATTTACAAAAGAATATTTAAATCACAAGATTCGAACCATATTCACTTATAATGCATGAAATACGTATTATTAAAATTAATACTGTTACAATCAAGTGTGCACAATTTATATTATCAACTATTAATTTATTTCAATACAAAGAAGCAGAGCATCAGCCAATCTAAATTAGTTGATTATAATAAATATCTTTTTTAACTTGACAACTGTCAAATAAAATATATAAATATTTTAAAATTTATATAATTTAGTTAATTTATAATATAATTTACTTTATTTTAAATAAATTTGTTTTATCATCTTATATTACTTTGAATCCTATGAAATTTATGACTCCCAATAATACATTTGTACATTCCAATCAATCTTATGAATGTATAAAATGGGTCATGTTTGTTACAATGATCCTATTTTTATTGATACTCCCCTGAGATCTTTGAAAATAGAGTCTATATCTACATATTTTTCGATATAAACAAACAAAATCAGAGCCTCTTTAATATTATTTAATTAATATGAATTAATTTAATCAGAATATATTATTTGCTTTTTGGCAATCCACTCCAATAGTAAATAAACTTCTTATAATATTTGCTGGAATATTTTGGATTATTGAACTTTTTATTGGTGATTAGCTCAAATTTTAGCCAATTTCATTGTAATATGTTTGTATTTGGCAATTGATAACATCAGCATTTGTTTAAGGTATTGGATAAATTGTAATGCATAGGGTCTCTTGTGTCAATCATCTTTAATTTATGTTGTTTGCCTGATCTCAACAATACAGAAAGAAGATTGGGGAGTATTTTGTATTTATTAGAATTTATAATCAAAAACAGTATTGGAATGGTATTGTTTCATTAAATACATAGGCATGTATCTTTTTAATAGTCAGATTATATTGTTTATTTGATTATGATGAAGAGATGATGCATTCCAATCATTTTGGTTTTTGGAATGTCGCGGTTTATTTTATTACAACCAAGTACTTAACCATTAAAATCTTAGAGCACTTCACAAACCTAATGAGGAAACAGAGTTTTTATTTTTCCCATTAGTATTGAAATCCAGATATTATTTAATCTCCTTGCTATTGTTTTTATAAATATTTAAACAAACTCGGTGTTCGGTGTTAGTTTTTGCTTTCATTGCTTTTCTAGAGTTTATAATATATAAAGGACCCATGTTTAGATTGCCTAAACGTTTTATTGAATCAATAGAGAAGAAAGCTTTTCTATAAAAATACATTTCAAGATAAGATTTCATTCCTATTGATCAAGCATATGACTTAGTATTTTCAGGAACACAGAAGATTGAATTTCAAATAGAAAATTTGAATAAAGATTTGGAGCTATCTCCTACTGGGTATTGATATTAGTTTAATTTATAAGTTAGATGAGTAATTCTCAAGAAAAAGTTCAAACTGAAGATGACAGTATGCAAATAAAATGAATTTATTATCTAAGTAATTTATGAATAAATTACTGATGTGTTCTCATGTCTTTATTTAAGAAGAGCATCTACTCCTTTATATTAATCTTGTTAATCATTCTCTTCTTGAAATAATTAAATTATTTTATAACATATTTTTCTTATAAATATTTATTGAAATAATACAATTATGAATTAAGTAAGTGTTCTTTGCTAGAATGATAATTGTTTCGATTAATTAATCAAAAGAGTATGTAAAAACAAGAGTTGTAAAAACAGACTAATTTGTGATAGATGTTTGAATGACCATAAAAATCATGTAGAAGACTGCTTCTTAATTTGTGATATTCCTTAATAAATTAATAAAATATATAAATAGTAAAAATCTGCATTGGCAGATATGGAAACAGCAATAGAAGGATTCCTGAAAAAAGTAAGAATGTAAATAGAATAAAAATTTGCTTTTAAATACTGCCCTATATTTTAAATTGAATTATCCCCAAATATTTTAGATTGGACATCAACAGATTTTTATTAGTTTTCCTAAAGTCTATCTCATCTGGACTTTGAATCAAAATATTTTGATAAAGCTTTGAGTGAAAAATTAGATCAATTAAATTCCATGAAATTTGATGAAAAATCACATGAACAACTATTCGTTCCCAATTAATCTTAGGCGAGAAACAAGATAATCATATCAGGTTTGTCAGCAAAAATTAATAAAAATTATGGAATGAGTAATTTTTAACGATAAATCTTAAGGGAAAATGTTTTTAAGTCAATTGATATTAGAGATAATTAATTAATTGCTGGAACTGACATCGAAAAATTGTCAATTCTCACCCCAAACCTACTTTATTTAGCATAGGATTAAATAAAATTGGTATTCAAATATGAAGGGGATTTATTATATAAGGATGGAAATAGTAAGTTTGGATTGTTTACAGGGACATTAAATAAATGCAGCTTATCTGAAGAAGACAATGAAGGAAATTTAATTCTAATTAATGATTAAGGATATTATGTTTAGAAGAAAACATAATTACTTGAATAAGATGAAGTTGAATTGCTATTTCCTGATAGTGATAATAATACATACATGCTTGTTTTTAATAAATAAATAGATAATTAATCCTTATCCTTAATAAATTTAAGAGTATTTATTTATGTTTATTTAGAACAATAAAAAAGCAGAAATTTAGATAAAAAGATAATTACTATATGCTTACTTTTGTTTTAGTTTATCATGTGAAGCAAAAATTCAAATTCTATGATTTATTATATCAAATATCAAATTTTTATAAACCTAAGTAGAATCATTTCAAATCCTAAATCATCCATTTTTCTTAATTAAAGGATATTCATTAAATTAATAAGGATAAACCATAGGTTGAGACACTTTTATAGGATACAAAAATAAAGGATGAAGTGATTGCTAATTCTATATTTATTTTAATAAAGCAGCTAGTTTATGAAAAAAAAAATTTTTTACATAGAACTCATAGAAATCCTATTCTAAAAATTATTCCAAAATTTGAACTAAAAAGCAGAGGATACTAATTCCTAAGGTTAAAATAAATTTTGAGATAAATCACCCCTCAATTAAAAATAAGTTATGTTAAGAATTAATTCTGATTCTTTATTAAATCCTCCAATATGAGAATCTGATAAAGCCCTTGATTTGTAATTTAAGACCAACTAAAGAGAAAATAAAAGGGAACAAAAATAATAATAGTAAACTGTAGATGGACACCTTCAAATAAGAGTAAATAAAAAATATTCTTGCTCATCTAATGTAATATATTAGACTGTAATTTTGTTAATTGATTTTATCTTCAGCGATTGCTTCTTAATTCCTTTAAATAGAGGAATAAATTGGCTGTATTTATTCTCTTCTTAATTTTCATTACAAATTATCAATTTGAGACATTATCTATAATTATTAACTATTGTAGATTCTTTAAAGTTTAATATACAGAAAAGAACTCAGAGCCTATTCATCATTGAATTTTTCACTTTAGCTGCATAAGGGATTTTAACTTAGCAAAGTTTACTGAAATCTTTTATTTATTTTATTAAAAATCGTGAATATATATATAATAAATTCACTTTCCCATACCATTTCCCAAATCGAATTTATTAGCATACTTCTAAAACAAATCCTTATCATAATCCTATATTTTTTTTTTCAGATCTTATTTCATATTCATATATTTGCTATCTCCCATGTATGTTCTTCTCATTGCATCTTAATTTTGGAATTCCTTGAAGAACTCATTACTTGTAACCAAAAACTAAATCATTTAGGTATTTTACTTTCTTTTTTTTCTCGACCTACTAAATACTATTGTCTTATCCTTTTTTTCTAAAATATTCGTCTAAAGTCATTCCATTGTAACTATTTGGATTAAAATTCTGGGCTGTTCTGCTTTAAATTGCTGTTCGATTTCTTTGAGAATTCTGATTTGTCATTCTTCTTTTTTCTAATCGAGAACATTTAGATGTCTCAGGTCTTTATTCTAGACGCTCTTAACTCATTTTTATTGAAAAAATTAATATAATTTACTCATCTGTTAAGAAATTTAATTCATAATCATCTTAATCTATATATCTATCTAAACAAGACGTTACTTCATAACAAGAGCTTCTTTATAAACTCTAAACGAAGATGATCAAGGAAATAATTCTTATTCCCATATTCTTTAAAATGATACCAATTAAAAATGAACTTCTCTAATCCAAGTTTAGAAATCAAATGAAGCGATTAGACCATACATAGGATTGATTATATAAAGTAAGTTCTTGCTTCAGAGACACTCCAAATTAAAATATATTTTAGATGGAATGAATAAATAATAATTTTGAAAGTATACTATTATTTTTGAATAGATAAATTTAGTAAAAACATCTAGCTTCAAACTTAAAATAAAATTTCCATATGCAATAAAATTAATAATTGGTCAACTATTAAACAAAGAGCTGAATTTTATCTATTTAATTTTAAAATTATTAATTTTTCAGAGCAAAATCAGCTTTTTTTTTGACATTTATATAAGAGTTCATATAAATTACATCACAGCAACAATAATAATTTCTATTTTGTTAAGATTTCATAATATTTAAAGAAAATATTCTTGTTTAGACTTGATTAATATTAAGAATTAAAGGTTTGTTAGAAATATCAGCAGATGAAATATAAAGCTGTAGAAACTTTATAGGGTATAAATCAAATCTCTTGAAATTCTATAAAATAAACAATTATAATAGAATTCTTAACATAAAAGTAATAAAAACTGTCAAATAAAATCTAATTAGATTAAGATAGGACTCTTTTTAATTTTTCTGTTAAATTGGATGAAGAAACACCTAAATAATCTATTAAATATCTATGAATGTCTTGATATTGAAATTAATTTCTTTGTTGTATTAATATTAAAATATATAAATGAATATTGTTATCTGAAAACAATATTTATAACTCGTGATTCTTATATGTAAGTTAACATAGCATTGTTTTAAAATTGAAGATACTTAAAAAAATTAAGATTTAACATTGACAGAAAACAAAAGAAAAAATATTAACTCATTAAAACTAATAAATGTTCCTTTTGCTGATTACTAATATAACAATTTATTTCAATGCTGAATTAACATCAGAAGTTTCAACAGTGGGGGTTTGCTCCAAATTTATTGATAAGTTATGAAGAAATTGATTTATGTAATATATACTGCAATAGTAAGCAACTAAGAGTTTTTTTTAATGGTCTAGTTTTCTAACTTACTATCAATTAAAATAGTTGAATTTGATTTAGTTATTATCTGATTTTGGTTTATATAGGGTAATATGTAAGAACTTTTCAATAAAGTAATTATTAGATTGAGATATTCATTTTAGTATTAATGTTTATTGGTTAACCCAATAACTCAACATTCTTATTGAAAAGAATACCAAGTGAACTTATTTTTAACTATTTCTTACTTAAGGACTTCAAACGGAATTACCTAACATTCTACATATTCCAATAGGTAATTTATATTAAAAATGTAATTAAAATTAACAAAAATGGCGTCAAATTGAAAGTTTGTAATTATATTATTTGTTTATATTTTCACTGGAAATTATATTTTATATTATAAAAACACAGTATAATTATGAAAAAAAGATAATAATAAAAATATGTAGGGCACAGTTTAATAAGTATTCTTGCAATTCACTGCAAATAAACCAGAAATGGATGGAAAAACCTTTGCTAAAGTTTCCAAAGACTGTCATCTCCTAGATAAGAAATTGACATCTACAGATGTAGATTTAATCTTTGCTAAAATCAAACCTACACCAGCAGCTAGATCAATAACCTATGCTTAATTTGAAAAGGGTTTATAAATGATGGCTGAAAAGAAGGGAGTTGGAATTCAAGATGTTCAGAATCAAATTCTTAATGCTGGTGGACCTCACTTTTAGGGTACAAAAGCCGATGCTGTGAAATTCCATGACGATAAAAACCTATACACAGGAGTTCATGCAAATGGTGGACCATCAACAATAGATAAGAATCACGGGGGTTTGAATACCATTTGTGACAGATCCTAAGCAGATGTGAGAGGAGTTAAAAAATGATAATATTACATGATTATATTACACAATTAATTATTAAATAATAAAGATTTACATTCTGAAAATATCAGTGATTTTATATTTCTAGAAAGAAATGTTTCTTAAATACTGTCTTCTATATCTGAGAATTTAACAGGAGTCTCTATTTTAAAAGGAACCATGGATTTTAATTACCCTAGAATTACATTGTTGAATACGACTAATTTTATTCCTAAATATAAAGTTGTTAATTATTGTAAATGGTGGGGTGGCCAACTAATAAATTAGATAGCAATAGAATAAATTATAAATATCAATTTTTAAAGTTATATTAATTATTTGGATGGATTCTTTATTTAATAAAAATTGATACCGGTCTTAATTCTCATATATGCGACTTATATGATGAATTCCTTAAGATACACTTTTGCTCAAATTGATATTTTTTTGAAAATTGTAAGGTTTTATATCATCTGTCATTATTTTTAATTCACTTATTTAATATTATAGAAAAATGGATGAGAAAATTAAAGATTCTTTTTTTGATGATCCTGAAACTACCACCTTCTGGATTAATAGTAGTCTACCCAGTTAAGATTAAATTTTACATTTGCAAGATTCTATGTACATCTAAAAAGATTAAGAGTTTCACAAATGCACCTTAGGTATTTAGTATCATAACTTACTTTATTTTAAACAATAAGTAAATTGTAAACAATAACTAATAGACTGTTTAAAAATGGGTTAATTTGAACAATTCTACAATGGAATACATCAAACATTAAACTGCAGGAGTGGGAATTAGAATTTCAAAACATAAACAATACTTCGAATTCTTCGGAGATGTTGAACCTTGGTATAATTATTTGAGATAATACTGTGTATAAAGAAATTTTTCCTAAAGTTACACTTTGTTAAAGAAGATAGGACAAGGAAATTTTGCAGAAGTAAATAATTTTCTTATTGTAGGTTTACAAGGCAACTAACAAATTGGATGGAGCTGAATATGCCATCAAATGCTTCAGAAAGAGTAAATTGAAGGAGAAAATTGATAGATTATCAATGATCAAAGAAATATCAATCATGAAGAAAATGTAACATGAGTCTGTCATTAAATTATACGAGGTTTATGAAGGACCGGAGTGTTTGTACTTGGTTTTGGAATATTTGAGAGGTGGAGAAATTTATTAGTATATCAAGAAGTCACATCCCTTTTCAGAAGAGAAATGCTAAAAATTAATCTATAGAATATTGAAAGCGGTTCATTCAATACATGAAAAGGGAGTATTACATAGAGATCTCAAACCTGAAAATATTATGCTAAGAAACAAAGATGATCTTGATAATATTTGCATTGGAGATTTTGGATTGGCCGATTATTATTCTCCAAATGGTTAATATCTTTTTACTCGCTGTGGAACTCCAGGATATGTTGCCCCAGAATTATTATAAGATAAGCTCTATGATTATAAAGTTGATATCTACAGCGTTGGAATACTCATGTTTATTTTGATTGCAGGTAAGTCACCATTCGATGGAAAAGACTATGACGATGTTGTGTTGAGAAACTACTATGCTAAAGTTAAATTTGAAGATTGTAAATTAAGCGAGGTTGGCATGAATCTCTTAAAAGGTTTAATGAACAAAAACCCAATCGAAAGATTAAGTGCTGAAGATGCTTTAAATCATCAATGGTTTGTAAAAGAAAATTCAAATAAATGTTCTTAATTTAAAATTCGGAAATAGAACTATGTTCTTAAGAAATTGACTCATGGTGAATTATAAATCAAAAAGAGTTCTACTCTTTCTACATAGTTTAGCCCTTAAAGTTCAATATCAAGTCTCAGTCCTTATGGAATAACCAAATACAATCTGGATGATAGTCCAAAAAGTCCTAACACTCCAAATGCATTGCATCCCAGCTTAGCATCCAAAAGTACTGGAATGGCTTAATTAAGACCAGTTCGACGTTCTTAATTTACTTTAAAATAAATATGATTTTAATAAAATTTATTGTTTAGAACAATCATATAATTTGTTAATAGAAATTCTTCAATAGTAAATTTATTATAAATCTCTCCCGAAGATAAGATAAATTAGAGAGGGTTTTAATAATAACCAAAGATGAATATCATAATTAATGGAGATAATACTATTAAGAAAGTTTAAGATAAATTGAACATCACACTCAGATAAAATTAGATAGAGTCATATCTTATATTCCACTTAAACTTCAAATTTATAATAAAATCTAATTAAAGATATTAAAGAACAGTTATAAAAATATTCAAATTGATTATGTGATTCTGAGCATAATTTTAAGTAATATAAATAAATTTACTTATTAGTTCAATTAGAAATGTTATCTGAGTAATAAAAAGTCTTTAGGTTTATCAGCATTTGAAGAGAATACAAGAAAAAGGATTAAAAGTAAGATAATACAAGTGAACACTTATAAAATAGTAAATATAGGCAATATCCACCTAACAAGTTCTACATTACCCTTCATTATTATTTTGAACCCTCTAATATAAATTTTAGTCATTTTTTATTCAACTTATAAACACAATTTTAAATATTTAACTAAATTTAACTTAAATGTTATCAAGAGATCATTGAGTTTTGGTATTTTATTAGAAATCTATATGAGTCAGCCCAAAAGAATAACAATATAAAAATTCAATGATCATGCTTCACTCTTTAATCTTTTTTCTTTTCCTTCACACCAATAGCTTTCATTTTAAACTCCATTTTTATCAATAAGGATTCCCTTCCCATGTTATTTTCCATCCCTAAATTCTCCTTTATAGATTGTTCCATCTGCCCATATGAATTCTCCTTCGCCATGTTTCAGATCAAAACAGTAGTATCCCTTATACTCTCGTCCATCTGGCCAAATAAAATGACCCTTTCCATGCATTTTAAAATCCTTAAATTAACCTTTGTAGTTTCTGCCATCTTAGAATTTCAACTCTCCAAACCCTGTAATTGAATCATTTTCTAATTATCCTGTATAAATATCTCCATTGGCAAACTTGACTCTTCCCTATCCTTACTTCTTTCCTTAAAAGAAAGACCCTTCGTATTCTTAACCATCAACCAGAATTTCCCTTCCTTATCCATGCTAATAATTAGTTATCATTTACTTTTTAATCCTATAACCATTCTCCTTCATATCTAGATCCATCAAAGTCATAAAAGACTCCATAACCATTCGACATATTGTTTTTCCAATCACCCTCATATGCATTACCATTGGAGTGTATAATTCTCCCTCTCCCATTTGCTTAATCAAACTTCCAATAACCCTCATAGATTGATCCATCAGCAAAATATTATTTCCCTCTACCATGTCTTAACCTGGATAACCACTAACCAACATATATATTGCCTTAATTTCTTTTGTGTTCCTAAAATTACGCTTTAATAATCTACATGTGCAACAAAGAATCTACACTCATTAAATTCTTAAGGAAGCTTTTTATCGAATTTGAATTTCCCAAGCTTATTTTAGGTGATTAAAACATTTTATTCAATATGTTTAGGTTCTTTGCTCTAAAACCAAGTATCACCTGGTCTCTCTTTCTCAGCTTCTTCCTTAATCTACGCTGCAACATTTTTTGCCTTCTTCTTTCTCATTGAAGATTAAATTTTGACAATTTCTTCTCGATACTCTTCAAAGTTGATTTGTTGTGGAACTAAAGTGGGCATCACAATTGGTTCAAATTGTCTATATTCTAAATTCTAGATCTCTCCTCCTTATTATTATGAACAGCAAGTGCCCATGAATAATTATTTATATTAATAAATAAAGAATGGCAATGATACTTTATTTTATGTCATCCATCATTTGCTCATAAAATTACTTAGTAATATTAATATTATGTCTAACGTCACAATTACCCTTTCTTGTTTAATAGGATCTCAGAATGAGGAGTTTAAATTAATTATTAATCTACATTTTCTGCTTAACGTTGTTAACTTTGTTTACTATGCTAATTTTAAGTTCAATTTTATTCTGAAAATGGGAATTTTTTATTATTTTATCAACCCATCTCGTCGCTTTCTAAACAAATATGTCTTCCAATCATTTTGCACTTTCAATGCGTATGCCTTAATGGTTTTTTGAATTCTAAAATGGATGAATTATCAGTATCATATTCACAATATTTTAGATATAATAGAACCCTTCAAGGTATAAATGTTCTTATACTTAATTATTTTTATATTTTAAGATATTATCTTGGTATTTTATTTAGACTCAAAACAAATCATCTATGATATTATTTCATTTTTGTGTAAATAATTTATTCATTGCAATAATAAATATTTGAAATTGAGAATATCATTCAAATATCTTTCAGCTTGCAAAATCATCACATTAGTTGATCAATATATTTGCTATAAAATAATTTTAAACATAGAGATTAATTAAATATTAAATTAATAATAAATCAAGTCACAAGTCATTTTACTTAAATACTTTATTTATTAATTTTAACTTGTTTTTTTTCTTAATTGTATTAAGATGGCTGGTGAGGAGACATTAGGATTTGGGACTTGATGAGAGACTTTTTTCAGCAGAAGTAGAAGCATCTCGATTTATAGGTGGAAGTTTAACTGAATTATCTGAATTATCTAATTTTTCTCTTTCTGATTAACATGGAACAAATTTGCTCATTCTTCTAGGAAGTTAGGGAAATTATTATTTAGAGACAAAATTTTAAGAATTTCTTGGTTTTTGGAGAATTCTAAATATATCCAAACCCAATATCTTTTCACAAGTCAAAAATTCGGTTTATATTTTGTGTTTGTCTGTAAAAATCATTTCAAAAAATCTTTAAAGTGGAAGTGATAATTCCATATACTCTGTTTGAGTAATATATTGAAAATTCTTCATTAATAGTTCATCCACCACTTAATTCAAGTTATATACTTTTTTTGTAAAAACTGTCAACAAAATAGTACTCAAGGAATATATGTCCCTTTTTATACACAGATTAACAATCCTTTCTTAATCTTAGTGATTATTTTAATTAAGACTGCAATTTTTTGAAGGTATTTGCATAGCCTTTCCATAATTTATAAAACAGGCAGTTTTTAAATCTTATGGATCTCTAAGTAAGATGTTATCATATCTAATATCATTGTGATAAATATTATTTTTGTGAAGTGCATATAAACTATTGAAAAGAGAATGCATGAATTTAATCATTTCTTATTCTTTGAAGTGATTATTTAGAATCTCTTCTTTTATGGTGCCTCCTTCTAATAATTCAGTAATTATATATATGTTTTATTCTCCTTCATGAATTTCTTCTAATTTTAACAAATTATCATGATCTATTTATCTTAAGATACTTATCTCGTTCAAAAAGTAATCCTTCTCAAACTTACTGCATCTTGCTAGTACTGATTTTTTTACTATTTTAGCAGCAAACATCTACCCACTTATGCTATGCTGAATTTTATAGACCTAATGATAAATTACAAATTTTACAGATGATAAATTGCCACTACCAATTTTTTCTATTATTTGATATTTCTTTTAAAACTCTGATTAGATCACATATTTCTTAATATTTTCTATTAATTCTAAGCTCGTCCCATAAAATTCAGCTTGTTGACCATTTTTACTTATTCTAAAACCAAATTACTAATTTTTTTAATTCATGACAACTCTCAGATAAGCATTTTGAATGTGAATAAACTTAGCAGATTTCTAATTAATATTATGAGATTCAAATACTTCTTCAACGATTTTCAGATAATCTTCTGCCCATAGAACATTTATCTAGGTAACCCTGTTGATATATTTCATTTGAAAACTTCCTTGATCATGAAATTGCAAATTTTCATTCACTAATTGCATAAATAGATGGTTTCCATCATTAAAAAATGTAGCTTTAGAATGATCAGATTGATATCCTCCATTTTGTTTCATTAAAATATAATTAATTTGGATTCTATCGGCAGTAATACGCTAAATACGATAAAATTAATAAATTTATATCAATGCAGCAATTATTTCTTAATTTAACCAAAATTTGTATCTAAACATCTCAGTATAAATCAATATTTTATACATACCTATTATTACTGGTATTCTGATAATAATTATAAAATTGATCAAATAAATATGTATTATTTAAAACTGAATTATGATTAATTCAGAATTATTAAAAAATATATCTGAAACTATTAAGGTGAAATTTAAGTAATTTTTATATAATTTTAGTAATCCTCTTTGAAGAATTTAGCATCAAATTTATAAATTAATATATGAAGTAAAAGAATTAATATAAGATTAAAATCACTATATTTTGAAGTACATTGGTGATCAATAAACTCATATTGTTAAGTGAAGCTTAGAGTAAATATCTTTAAACCTAATGTGTAATTGAAACTCTTTATATGGCTTTTTTATGTCTAAACAAATTTTTTTCATAAAAAAGAGATTTTATTGAATAATTCTATAATCTGTTATCAATTTATTATTTTAATTATCAAAAGAATATGCTATAGAGTCTCTGATATTAGACAACTACTTTGAGTAATATCTTCTATTCTTAACCTAACATTTAGAGTTATAATTGGACAATAAAATAATTTAATTTTCAATCTTGTTGAGAATTGACAAATTGATCAGTTTTGTAGTATTTTTACTTTACAGATAATAAGATTAGATTTATATATTTTGTATTCATTTTTTTTTTGTTCTCACTTTTTTATCTTAAATATTGAAATAATTAAACGGAAAATTTTCAATTGAGACCAAAAATAACAATAAATATATGATTTATCTAAATTTTTTTATTTTGTCATATATCGATCCAAGTTCTATTGTATATTTGTATTAACCATTTATTAAGTATTATCTTCTATTGTAATAAAATAATAATAAAACAGGAGTGTGATAATATATAGTTTTCAAAAAAGGATATAAATACAAAATAAATTATAAATAATCAGTTGAATTAAAGTCTGTTAGTAAAACGATTACTATCAGATTAATGTTTTTAATTAGTTAACATTGTTTTAGATTGTTATCTAGGGGTTTAAGAAATTAAATTGTATTTTTTTTATGAAATTTAGGATAATTGGGGATTGGTTTCTTCAATGTTGGTTCTCTTACCTGATGTCAATTATTATGTATTCAAATGAGGTACTGTTTATTTAGTAGTGAGACTATATAGGATGGGCTATTGTGTGATTGTCTGATCATAGGTATAACCATTAAATTAATCCTAAATTGATTGTCTTCTTAACAATTATCCGTTCAATAAGTTAGACTCATAATCTTCATCTTCTTTCATATTTGCAAATTTGGCATCAAAATTATCATTGTTAATCTAAATATTTATTATAGAAATACATTTATGGAGTATTGTGGGGTAGCTGATTAATTCATATGACTATTCCAATCAATATCTCTAAACCATGGATGTGATTACACTTCCTCAGGACCATTAAATCCTAGTCTATTCACAGGTTTCCTTTGCAAAGTTCTGTTGATAAAATCTGCTGCTTCTTCTGACCATCCTTTCGGTATCTAATTCAATTTAACCAAGACCTATTTAGCCAATATTTGATCTCTAATTTCTTTTCTAGTCTTCCCTAAGTATGGTCTCTACATACTCAGAATTTAATTACTTTTCCCATCATACATTCGTAAGCTATGACTCCAACAGCAAAATAATCAGAAGCTACTCCATGAGCTTGTCGACACATAACTTCTGGAGCCATATAGCCAGGAGTTCCACTAGTGTCGTTGTCGTTGTCAGGTTTCCAAATTCTGGCTATGCCCAAATCTGTTAACCGTAAATAACCTATTAATCTTTAATATATTTTCATACCATTTCTATCAAACACTAGGTTTTCTGGTTTAATATCTCTGTGCAATACTGTGTTAGTATGCAAATAATCCAATGCTAACAACAAACACACTATAAAAAATTCTTTTAAATATTAGTTAATCTATACTTGTCTATTTTTCATCGAACTTTCTTTGTTTGCATAGATGATACCTTAGGTCACCACCTTGCATCAAATCCATTACTAAATATAAATTTTCTCTGTCTTAAAACGCTGTATGCATATTTACTAAAAACCTAATTAGTGTAATTTTCTTACGGATGCCGTAAATTACTTAATAAATATCTTTCATTCATGACTGAACTAACACTTTTCTTATTAATTATCCTAATAATCCTAGTATATCTTTACTTGCATTTGTTCATTTCTTTGATTGCAAACTATTATTTCGACTTTTTATTCTCAGCCTTCCAAACTCTTCCAAAACCACCTCTGCCAATAACAAAAAGCAATGCAAAATCAGCCTTACAAGGCACTAATGAAATTATTAGATTAATTACACAAAGCATCATCAAAATTTACATCTTTGCTGTTATTACAATTTCCCATTTTTATAATTATAATATATACTTTAGAAAAAATTTAGAAAAATTATTTATTTAAATAATAGATCTATAAATCGAGAATAAGCAATTATTTAAATTGATATAACCATTACGAGGAGATTCTGTATTTTATCATTTGAGATTCCAAAAAAAGGTTCAAAAATGCAAAAATAAATCATTTGGGTAATTATAAGATCGAATTTCATACAAATTTGATTATTTAAGTGATTAAATTATTTTTTTTTTAATATGATACTTGAATATGCTGTAATATATTTATCGATCAATAGCTAAATGAAGAGGATGATTATAAACGAATGACTAATATTACGAGAGGATGTTAATAATTAGCATAATAATTGCCTTTTTATTCTAACTTTACAAACTCAAATCTAATTAGACAATGTAAATAAATTTTTTACTATTTGAGTATTTTGTTGTTATCCTTTTTAACAAGAGCCTGTAAAATTATTATTGTCAATAATGATGGACAGATTTCAAAATGTTGAATTTTTGAATAGTTTTTATAAAGGGTTACTAGAAATAGCATTGCTTTAAGAATAGAAGGCAATGTTGAGCAGTAGATCGCCTGGGAGAGGCAGAAAAAGTTTTTCAAAGTACTTGAGCTATGATATTAGGAATATAAAATGGATAGTAAGGCTTGGCAAAAAATGTTATTGAAAATCTAGTAATTTCCAAACAATTTGCAGTTTCATTTTTAAAGCCAATGTTCCTACTGGTGCAACAACTAAGGTAGTCTCTAGAGAGTAGAAGTGGAATCTTCATGACCTTTATTTTTAATACCAGGGACGAATAAGTAATAAAATTGGTTGTGGACAATTTTGAAGAGTGTAAAAGTGAGATCTTTGGAGCATGTACTTGGGTAAACAGAATTGATGAATAGATAGTTTAATGTAAATAGAAATATCAGTTTTAGTTTTTTATTCAAATTAAATAATAAGGTCTTCAAACATTATTTAAGTGGATTAAGACGGTGTTGATGAACAATAAGAATCTTCTGAATCTTCAATTGAAATAGATCCAAATGAGGAAATATAAAAATGGATTTGTTAGAAGAACACACCTATGGTTAATGAATAATTAGATTACTTTCGAAGTTTTGAATATTTGGACTTAATTTTCAAATATATGTTTGATCCTTGTCATTTCAGTGCAATACATGAATGGGTAAGTAATTGAATTTTCTATTTTTTAGGAACATCATTATGATGATATTTAAATCAAGCACACTTAAAATTCAAGGAAATTAAATTAAAATAAAGATATAGATAAATTATTATTACTTCGCTCATTGAAGACTATAAAAATACTTATGCATGAAAACAATTACCCAATCATTACTAAACTTGTACCTTAATTTCTATTTAAATTATGTATCTTATTTTTACTTATAATTAAGTTCATTATATTTACGATTCCTTAAATGATTATGAAAGAAACATTGATTTAAATTAGATTGCATTTATCTTAGACTTTCTATTACAGACAAATCCTAGACAATCGATATTGATGATAGTAGAATTTAATTTGATGTTTCAATTGGTTTCCATGATATATAATGAAAATATAGCCATGCTTGTATAGAGTATTGATTTATGATTATCATTAAGAAATAATCTCAGATGAATATGATATGGGGAATTATGTGTTTGATCATCTTTGGTAATACTTAGATTGCACAAATTGGATTCAATATTTCCTAAGCATTGCCTTAACATTGTAAGTTGATACATTCAGAGCAAATAAAAATAATCAAAGCGATAAAACAGTTTAAATCATAGGTTTATTAAAACAATAGATAAATTATGACAGATTAATTCATTAAGAAGAAATAAATGTGGACGAAAAGAAGTTGTTAACAGATTACTTAGGTTAATTACAAGCAGGAAAGAACTACATTTAGTTTTACAGTATGAATCAACTTAATTGGCATATGAACTAAAATGTTAAAGAGAATATAACAGTAAGTGAACTATTGGGTAAGGATGTAGACAACTTAATGCAATTCAGAACAGAGAGACAGATGTATTAATCAAAAGTTTAAATGTCAATAAGAGAAAAACTGTTTGTTCCTCAAATGACATAATAAGAAACAAAGTTTATTAGAGGAAATAGTAAAAGATAAATAAAGGAAACTTTACAATAGAGGGAATTGACTAATAAATAAATTGCTCAAACTGTAAAATAATTGCCAAGGTTGACTATTGGAAATTAAGAGTTATCAAAATGGATTAATGCAGGAAAGAATCAGATTAATCTTAGTGTTGCAATGTCTCCAAAGAGAACACCAAGAAGCTTTCAAATTAAAACTGAATAGAGCACTGATTTTTCTTCATTCTATGAAGGTTTTTCAAGTGGAAGACTAAAAGGATTGTATCCCAGTCCTAAGATCTCGATTTAATCTAGTAGTTTTGAAAGAAAAGCCAAAAAATTTCAATCAGATGTTAAACTTCTACCAAGTTGTATATCTATTTTAAAGTAGATAATACAGAGCATCTTCTAAAACATGATGAGTCTTACCTCATAGAATAAAAAATAAGCATAACGATTAAAAATTGAATAGGACAGCATTTTACCATCCTTTTTAAACAAGGAAATGTTGAGTTAATTATTCAGAGTTTATTTATATGACATCAATAATTAGGATAAAACGATATCAGATGCATCTTGTGAGTGTGGTTTGATTATAAATGAAATTTATTTAAATTGCAAATAGCATTCAGAACTTCACTAATATAAATCTCTTTTAAAGTCTTGTTTTTATGAAATTGGGGATTATATTTGTAAGGTTATAGTCAAATTGCATGATTCCGAATAACCATCAAAATTTAAGAGGCATTTGCTAACATCTACACTACAAGAAGGTTTGATCCTATTTGGGGAATAATAAGACACTCCTAAGAATATATTTGGTATCTTAAATGAGACTGCCCTACATTTACTGATAATTTGGTTCTTTGATAGCGATCAAGCTAATACCTACTAGTAAACATTTGTGAAGTATTTACATTTATTAATTTAAGGTTATTTACGATAATATTTTCAAGAGCCCCTTAGTATTTGCTGGGGATAATCCTTTTTAAACTTGGATTGATTAGTTCTTTGTAAAATGCTTACTTTAATTTCTTCATAAACAGTGTAAAATTTACAACTGGAGCTGAAAGTCTTTTTTATTATGTTAGTGTAATGATATACGCCATTAAACGTTCTTTGCTAACTAGGAAGACTGAATCTATCTTAAGTAACTTAGAACCTTTGAGTTCATGGAAACAATTCAAGGAAGTGGAAATAGATAATAACTCCAAATTTGTATAGCACATTGAATCCATATTATAAGAGCATGATGGAAAAACTCCGAGATAAATTATAAAAAAGAAAACAATTACGATTCACTCTAAAAACGTTATGTAAAGTCGAAGATCATAGTTATAAATGCAATTTCAAAATAAGTAATTACATTAATTAAGGGTTAGGATTACAATGCAATAAACGACAAACGATATTGTAAATTTGATGAGAGTAAAGGATAAATTACTTCATAATAAGAAAATTATGCCTTCATAAAATAATTAATGATTTTATTTATTTTAAACTCAATCTTTTAAAATAATCTTTTCTCTCTAAGGTCCATTTCCAATCCAAGAGACTGGAATTCCCAAGAGTTCTTCTATTTTCTTAATATAATTTTAGGCTTCAACTGGTAATTCAGAAAAGGTCTTGCAATCAGAAATGTCCTATTTCCATCCTTTCACAGTGATGTACTCAACTTCAACTTAAGCTAGTTCCTCTAATTATGCAGGAATATAGTCAATGACTTTTCCATTCAGTAAATAATTAACTCCAATCTTTATTTCCTCAAGCCCAGTCAAGATGTCTAATTTGGTAAGATTGATTGATGAATGTCCATTAATTTGGATTGAATATCTTAAAATAGGAATATCAAGCCAACCGCATCTACGAGGTCTTCCAGTGGTTGCTCCAAATTCATGACCAGTTTTCTAGAGGTACTTTCCAGTTTCATTAGTGAGTTCAGTTGGAAAAGGTCCTTCACCGACTCTAGTAGTGTAAGCCTTAACAATTCCAATAACAGTTTCAATAGCAGATGGAGGTACACCCAATCCAGTGCATACTCCTCCAACATTAGTACTGGATGAAGTCACATATGGATAGGTTCCATAATCAATATCCAACATAGTGGCATTGGCACCTTCGGCTAAAATTCTTCTTCCATCCTTTCTGGCGTTAGCAATTAATGAGATGGTATCTACAATCATATTTCTGTTTATCAAAATATCTCTATAATCTTTAAGAGTATTGATTTCTTTTTGAGTATCTATTTAGATTCCCTCTTGTTCTCTGAGTTTTGCATTTAATGAATGATATTTTAATAAAAATGTGTCCCAATGTAATAAATCTCCGACTCTCAATCCTTATCTCAATGCTTTTGCTGAATAAGTGGGTCCGATTCCTCTTTTTGTTGTACCAAGAAATTTTTCTAGGGATAGAAATAATTCATACTTCTTGAATCACTCTCGCTTTTGGCATCTGCCTCGAGCAATCCATCAACAACAAGATGAGCTCTGTTGGAGATGACTAATCTTCCAGTATAATCAACTCTATTTTTATCCAGTTGAGCCAATTCTTCAAATATTTATAAAAGATACCTTCAAACAAAGTTGGGATATTCACCACTACTCCATTTCCAATCACATTCATACAGGTCTAGTATAAGATTCCACATGGCAACAAGTGGAATGCATACTTTACACCTCCAACAACAATTGTGTGTCCTGCATTTGCTCCTCCATTAAATCTAGCGCAATAATCGTATTTTTCAGCCAAGATATCTACAAGTTTTCCTTTACCTTCATCTCCCCATTAAGCTCCAATGATGGCTGTTAATCTGCTTCTCAACCCATTAACGCACTTAGACATTTAAATATTATATTATTATTAAATCAATCAATATGATGCATCTCTTATACTGCCAATTAAAAGGCTTTTACAGATACTTTGTCATCATACGCACTTTGCTTTAATTAATTATAAATTTCATTACAATTTCCCTTGCTCTTTTAAATATGCCTTCAAATTTTCCAATGCCATATTTAATCCCAATTGATTCAAAAATTTCCTTAATTTCTTTTTTTGTTCTCAAACGTAAAAAATCTTGTTCTGTTAATCCCATATGTGAAAACTTTTCAGGGAACAACAGAGCTACAGCAGGTACTTCATCACCATAATTTTGGGGATCTGCAACAGATTTCATTCCTTTTTTATTTATGTCATTTCTGATTGCAGGTACTCCAAAAGCCCTAGTTTCATCCCCTGGTTTCGGTTAATTTCTAAAGCCAAATTTCGTGGCTTTGCCTAAATCAAGATCAGGCTTAACTTCTTTTTAAGTAGGCTAACCATTTATGCATTGTCCAGCAGTCCATTATTCATCCTTTTTCATCTCCCCAAAAATCTATGGCATCCTGGGATTCAACTACGCTTGATTCTTCGGTTTTCCCAAAGGGTCCTCATTGTAATTCTTCCAATCTTCTTGATTCTTTGAGATTATAGTAGTCTTAGGATATTAATTCTAAGTGATTTCATGTTATAATATTTTCTTCATCTATTCCTATTCTCTGTCTTCCTTTTTGCCAAATCTATAATCATTAGGATTGATCTTCCAATTATATTCTCTATTTTTCTATTCCCCTGCTTCAAAATTACCATGACTTTTCAAATACATCAATCTAGTTCTCTCCTCATCTCTCTTCGCATCTGGAGGAAATACAACCTCTTTAGCTGAATATTCAGATGGAGGAATCTTCTGACCAAATGCAAATCCATCTGACTTAGCTTCTTCAGGCCAATTATAATTTCTAGTTGGCATTGTACCCAATGGCTCTTTGATATGAGATGCATATTTTTATTCATTAATTTCATTGATCAATTCCCTTATTCCTTATGGCTATTGTCTAAATAATTCGCCAGCCTTGTCTGATAAATCAGTCTTTCTTCCATATACCCAATTTCCCTATGGTTTTGGAGCATCAACTAATCCAGGATGTAACTAAAATTTAGTCTCTTTCTTACTATTGAACAGCCAAATTAATGCTTATAAGATTTTCTATATTTTTTTATATGAGGAGGAGTTTCAGGGACCTACGTAACTGACTAACATTACTTAATATTGAATTGGTTGTATACAAGCACCTGCGCTTTCTTCCTTCAAAACTGTTTTTCCAGCCTATAATAACACAAGTTGATACTGATTTCAAGGTCCCAAAATGATCTCTTGTTTTTCCTGACATTTTAATTTTTATATATACTATATTAAGAATAAACCAAATTTATTAAATTAACATAGTGTTATTTAGAACCATTAACTACCTTATTAAGTACTCTAGTTATAGTAAAACCACTCGAATATTCTTGTCCACCTTAAGTTCAATATACTTTGTAATAAAATGGTCTTGATTAGCAGAATCTTCAAATATAAGAATATTTTAAAAGTTTAACTTTTCATTTTATTTACTTCTTTCTTAAATTAATGAAATTTGAGTGTTTTAGCATATACAATCATTATTTTAATAATTTTTAATATTTAAATTTCAACTTAACAAATTCCATTCTACTAAATCTCTAGATATGGATAATCTCAGCAGTTATTTTAATTATTCGAGTCTAATTTAGATCTTTCATGCAGCTTAAATAGAATGAGACATATTTCAAAGATTATTTTAACAAATTATTATTTATTCATGTTCAAATTAATATTTTAGACTTATCAATATATTTATACAATTTTTGGATACTCTTTAAAGATTAGTATTTATTAATTAGTCAATAATTATAGTCTCAATTTTCTCAATTATATTTTTCAAGTATCAACTTGAAATATTCTTATAATTTAATAAATCGTTAAACCCAAATAAACATATTTGATAATTTTTAAAAGTTATCCTTTGATTTTAGCAAGGATCTGTATTTGTAAATATTAAATATACTGATAATTGATATATTAACTAATAATTTTCCTATCACTTTCATTGTGAGTTGAACTGGTCTATATTTTAGATTAATTTGAATTTGGAAAATTAATAACATTTTATATTCTCAGTTGATTTGCGTTATCCTGAAATCTAGATGAGTCAAATATGCTGGTTTAGAATTATTTAAATAAATTACTGCTCAATAAACTTTGTTAATGAATCCAATTATATGTAACAATATTGATAAATCACAAATAATTAAAATAGTTCTTGAGGAGAAGAAATGGTTCTTTACTTTAGGTAAATAAAATGGCAGAGAACTATGTTAAACATATATTATAAAGGCAGGCTTATTTTTTTAGAGAGTTTAGAAAATTTAATTTCAATAATTTTAATACTCAAGAATTTTTTTGAAATCAGCCAAATCAGCAAATAATTTAATTGTTAATGTTAATGGAGGGCATTTATAACTGAAATTATTTTGAATCAAAAAATTATCAAAAAAAACCACAAATGTCAACCGAGGTCAACGATTTTAACTATAGAGAAGATTATGAAAATTCTCAAACAAAATATAATATGAATACAACCAATATTGATCAATATTTAGATTCTATTACAAATTAAGATTAATTACTTTTGATTTAAAACGTAGTGAATTGCTTTAAGGACCCAAGAGAGGAAATTAAATAAGTTGGAGAATAATTAATGAAATAATTAGAATAGAGAGTAAAACAATAAAATTAAAATCAAAATCAAAATGCCTATGAAGAACAAAAGGAATCACTTAAGGAACCGATTTTATACAAAAAAAAAAAGATGGGTGTCTCTATTTTATCACTTGACGGAAGTTTCAGTAATATATTATGTAATCCTAGTTTTAACTGACAAAGAAACAACCCAAATGTTGGAATGGTAGTTCAACAAAAATAAATAAAAAAGATTATAAGACTCTTGCGCTGATGCTGGTAGAACTAACCTATATAAGTAAATCAAGAGCGAGGATTAATTACTTGCAACAGATGAAAACGAAAAAACTATCAAAATGACAATTTATTCAGAATTAATGAGAAAGAAGGGTATGAGATGGCTGAGTACAAAATGGTCAGAGAAGATACCAATAGATCGTATAAAAGAATCCCTAAAAGAGATCTAAGGTTTCAATAAATATGACAAAATGAGATTTAAATTTCTAAAAACTTTATCAATAGAACTAATAAGAGGAAGGATCTATAAAAAACGTTTGGATAAGAAGAGTGATAATTAAGACATTTTGACTCGGCCTCAACTAGAATACATCTCTAGAAAGTCAGCCGATTTAGATGATTTTTTGATTTGTAAAATTACAAATGATGATACAGTTGAATAAATAGATGAAAGTGATATGGCAAATGATAAAATCCTTGCAATTAAAGAAAGTATCATCATATATTAATTTCTAGTTAAGTGGTAAGAGAAGGTGAATTCTTTCAAGGAAAATAAAAATAAAATTGAAAAGCAGTTAGAAAAAATTGAAAAGCAGTAAGACAAATTTGAAGAGCAATAAGAAAAAATTGAAAAGCCGTAAAAAAAAATTAAAAAGCTGTATAAAAAAATAATGTAGCAATCTGAGAATAAAGTTAGTCACACGATTGATTTTCAATTATTTTCTGAAAGCTTTCAACATGAATATAATTCCTACGCTTAAAATGCCTTAGCTGATAAACATTTATTGATATGAGATATATATATATGTTTATCACAATTTTATATCTAAATCATTTATCTATATTTATTGCAGAAACTAATAATTGTCTGGATTCTATTTTATACCTATCTGAATCATTTTTAAAGATATAAATATAAGTAATTATTTTATATTTTTTTGAATTATAATAATATAATAATATAATTTATTATAAAAATATTTATAAAATGATATATTAGGATTTAATTATAGATTTCTAATTAATTATATATTTTCCATATCTGACAACTTTATTTAAATATTTGTTTGAAGTCTAAATCTAGACTATGGTTATTGACAATGAAGGATTTCAAAATTGCAAAAGATAAGAACAATTCCTAAAATTATTATAAAATTTGAATTCTTTTGAGTGTAATTTTTCTTCTAAAGCGGAATGTAAATATCTCATTAAGCAAAATGATTTTATATAAGGATGTTCCCCATAATCTTCGTAAACCAGCCAGCAAAAACAGAGTAAAAATATAAACAATTTTTGTTAAATACTATAAACTATAAACAAATTCAAAAGGAAACTCAAGAATGGTCATATACTACTGCAATTGGTTTCTTCTAATTGTTTTCCTCTATAATTTTAAATCTATGTATATAATCAACTAATTTACTTTCTGTATTAAGCTTTCTTTATATCCATCATAGACAAGAATATTTTTTTCTTCTAAACAGTTTCCTACTTTTGCTCCTTCACATTTTCAAGAGTACAAGCTGCCTTTTTTTCCAAAGCCTTAGATTATTTTTTAGTTTATTTAGATGATATTGGTTTAATCAAAGTAGTCTCATCTTATTTTTGGACTTAGTGAGATAAAGAGTCATTATCGTCTAAATTCTTTTGTTTTATTGGTTATTATTTGAGTTTGGGTTACGATTAGGTTCTAAAGTGGAAGAATAAGAAATTAGAGTTACTTTAAGTAGAGCATTTGGTTGTAGATGATCATTTGTTAAAGGAGGAGTTGTTGTTGTAAAATTATGTTACTGTCGAACATTGAAATGCTATTCATCAAATAGTAAGAATTATTTATAGAAAAGATAGGGATTGTTAAGCTTTGTACTATAAAATCATGCGTCAGCAGTTAATTATTCATACACTTTACAAATGATCTTGCATTATAATAATTAAGAAATTAAATAATTATTATTAAAAAGAACAACTATGATTTATAATATTTATTAAGATAATATATAAAATGCCCTTCGATTTTAATAATTTGATATGTTATTTAATTGAATAATTATAAAATAAACATTATGTTTCTTCATTATAATCAAATTCTGGCCTTAGTGAATGAGATCTAGACATTTCTATTGTCAACCTCTTCATTATGCATTAAAGCCATCACTTCCAAAGCCTACTTAAGATTTTCCATCTTGACTAAACACATAAATTTGAACTAAGTATTAAGAACTTTGACTGCCTAAAAATGAGTATGTAAATAACCTCGACTATACCGAATTCAGAAAAGACATCCCACATAGTTTCAGCATTTGATGACACCTTTTTAAGATTGGAGACGTGTAAGACTTAACTTGGTGGTAACAAATTCATTTTATTGCTAGAATTGAATCTACAATGTCATTTCTATTTTACCTGTCTGTTTCTTGTGAACCAACATAATAATCTTGCTCATTGTAGAGTGTGTCAAGACTTAAAAGTTTTTCAATAGCATCTTCTGCAACGAAAGAAATAGAAATAGTGCTATCGAAGAATTACAGTTTTTAACAGTTTTCAAAAACGAATATTGAGTATTCTTCTTTTAGGTATTTAATGAGTGCGAAATTTTTTAACCTAGTTTATTCTGGATTATACTTAATGAATAAGATTTTGTCAATGTTTCCGAAATTACTAAAGATATTATACAGTTTTTAAGCGTCTAAGTTCTTTCCTTTGATTCCATTCAAACATAATGTTGTTGTGTGTTGAAGAGTGGTAGAAGAATTGATTTTCCTTTTGCTTGAAGGCTGTTGTTTATCATCTTCTTGGACAACTATACAGATATTGAAACTTAATACTTTCATTTAGAGATGTAGAATGACGATTTCGTAAACTACTCATGGTAGAATCATTTATAAGATCGAGCGAGCAATTGTTTAAGGAACCTGATTGAGGAGGCTTCTCATCCGAATAAAACGAACATTTGATAAAGTTCGAAGATAATTAATCAAGAAATGACTTAGCTGATTTCGCAGCCTCTGGGGTTCCCATCTCAACTAATACTTTGTAGTCCATTAAGGATTTGTTTAAAATTGTCACTTAACTGACCTATCCATACCTTGTTTTTGATAAATTTCATACTGGGTTAAAAGGGAACCGAAATATTCGGGACTCAAATTTTCTGGTGGAGCAATTAGACTTAGAAGAAGCATATTTGAATTCATCCAAGAGTCAGGTAAAACTGGCGAAGAGAAACTAATCATTTTAAGTTTCTTTTAATAAATTATTAATCATTTTTATATCTTCAAGGTCAGATTTCCATCTAAATCTTATTAATTTTATTAAATTTATATAAACTCATTTGCGAATACCAAATCTAGCTTAATAAGCATTCTTTGCCTTTTTCCTTAAAGTGCTTATCTTAGCCATTGCCCTTGCCTTAGTCTTCCTGCCACCTTGTCCTTTGATGTATCCGCCCGTGTGTCTGTTGAGTTGAGGTTCAACCTAATCAGGTTCCAAATAAACATTCGGAATGCTGTAACCTTACAATAAATTAATTCGATTACTCTTGTTCTTTATAAGTTATTCTGATTGTCTCTTGACGTCGGTATATTCCTCTGGATCATAGGCTTCAAAGTCAGGAAGTGGATGCACAGGTCTGTTAACAGGAATGTAATGCATACTATTAATCGATAAAGTCATCATCCTTACGTTTCAATAATGTCGTGTTTTAGATCCTTATGTTATTCGTTGGGGACGACTTTCTGTCTACCATTCCTATTTCTCAGGAAATCGTCAATGAAAGCTCTGCTCACCACTTGGCTTGAAGCATAGGCGAAATCATAAATCCTCTTGAGAGCAATTCTAGCAGCTCTCACTCGTTTTCTAACCTTAAGAATGTATCTGAAGGCTTCGTCTTGATTTAAAGGAATTAAATCTAGTGTTATCAATTGAAATACCATTGATCCAGGTTTATTTGTCTTCTAATGACTTCTAAGTTTGAATGGCCAAATTTTAAATCATTATTTGTTCTTTCAAATTTTTATTGTCTACTTTGATGTTTGCTTTCTCTTGGGAAAGTTGCTTCAAACCTTCCATCTACTTTTCTGTAAACCATTGCTTAGCGATTTCATTGATCTTCTTGAAAACCAGCTCTTTCTTCTCTGGATTTACTGCTTTGTTGTCCTTCTCGATTTAATAGACCTCTGCTCTCAATCTGTCCCATTCCTTTTCTAATTCCACTGAAGTGGCAGGAATTTCTTCTACCTTTTATTAAGAATATAAAATTTTCCTTTTCAAATCATTATTCACTTAATTTTCATTTATTTTGTCCAAGAATTGGTATTCAATTGAGCTTTAAAAGGGCCTATTGAAGGGCTTGAATGTATCAACTGAAATTGGGGTTTTGGGTTTTTCATACAAGGTCTTAGATCCGAATTTGATGAGGGGAGGTGGCAATAAATCGATCCAAGACAAAAATCTGTGTATTTTTGGAGTAACTCCTGCTCCCTAAGCCAACCAGTATCGTATTCTAGGTTTATTCAGAATGACTGATCTCTGTACAACCTTTCTTTCATGAGGTACCCAATATCCAAGATGCTCTATGAATCTACCTTTAACGTTTCGTTTCCTTGGTGCCACTACTATCCACCAGAACTTGTGATTCCTACAACCATGGTTTTGAAGTCTGATAACGACGTGCATATAAATAAATAAAAAATATTTATGTCAAATATTATTCAAATCACTTATGTCCAAATACATTTTGAATTATCATAGTATTTCATCCAACCCACAATGTATTTGTCTTAAATTGCAATCAGCTATTGCTCAAACATTCTCAATTTCAAAATTATCATGCTAGACCTTAGTATTAGTAATTAAGTATTATCATTTATATGAAATTGTAATTTATATTCACAAATTAAGAATGGTTTAGACTTTATATTCTTAAGCATTTGACTCTATTGCAATCGTTAAGAAACATGATGAGTGGGAGGATTGATTGTAATAAGTAATCAAAGTTAAAGGCCACTCTAAATATACCTATAAATATATTAGTAAAAGGATAATTATTAATTATCAATTAATGATTAATATCTCCAAACTCATAAAGCAAAGACAATAGTACTCTACCATATTGGAAGACAACTCAAAATTATTCATCAAACCTATTGATGAGCTAGGGGATGTCACCTTTAGGGGTGAGTTTTTAATTGAGAAGAACGGAAAACTGAAAAAGAAATAAATTTAATTTTAGCAACACATCCTTGTTTATTCCAAAAATGTAATATATTTACAAATATCTAAGAAACATATTAATATATTGAATGCTACATTGTTGTTACATCTCACTAATCTCAATGAAATTGAAGGGTTGAAGTTTATAAAATCAGGTACATCTATCGACATCTATAATAACGTAATTGAATTATACAATTATGCTCGTAAGTACTGTATTTAGAGGGATATTCCAGAGAGATACAAAATTACTTCAACATTATATTATGGCAGTAATGCTACTGTAAATTATTGTTCAATTATTTAAGTTCCTGTAACTAGAGTCTACATTGCAGCATAAGGCTGTTTACGTTGCCAAAATCTATGAAAAATAAAACTATACTACTTAAGACTAGGTTTCTGGACTTAAGAAAGAAGTTCAGATTCTAAGATAGTTGAATCATTCACAAATTTCAAATCTTGTGGAGATATATGAAAATGATGAATTGATTTTTTTGATAATGGAGGAATTGAAAGGGGAGACTTTATAAGGACTTTTAGAAAATTCATAAGAATTCAATGAGAGCCAAATCAAATAAATCATGAGACCTCTATTTGAGTGTGTTGCCTATTTACATAATAATAATATTTTTCATAGAGATATTAAGCCATAGAATATTAAATTTAGATAATCTGATGATTATCTTTAGCCCTGTTTAATTGATTTTAGTTTGGCTGATAATTGGAATAAAAATGGCAGATACTTGTTCACAAGATGTGGAAGTGTTGGTTATGTGGCTCCTGAAGTGCTTTAAGACAAGAAATACATTCTCAATATAGATGTCTATAGTTTAGGAGTCATTCTATACATATTGGCCACTAAGAAACATCCCTTCGAAGATGCAGAACATAGTAAAAAGATACTCAAAAATTATAATGGCAAAGTAGATTTTACTTAAGTTCAATGTTCTCAAATTCTTTTGGATCTAATAAGAAAATGTCTAGAGGTAGATTTTACAACGCGACCAAGTTGTAAAGAAATATTGAGTCATCCCTTTTTCAGTAACAGAATTCCAAAATTGCTTTCATTTAAAATAAAAGATCAAAGGAAATCTACAGGTATAAAATCTGCAAGAATTATACATTTTAATAGTGCTAATAATTTAGCATTAGAAGAATCTATGAATAGTCTCAGCTAATCCAAATCTCCTTCCTCATTTGGTAGTTAAAGACGTTCTCTCAAATTATAAAAACAAAAAACTGTATTTCCTGAAAGTATTAATTTCAATATTTATAATAGTCAATATTTCATAAAGCAAATCAAAGTATTTTTAAACTAGATACACTCAATATGAAAGTTTGAATTGAATGTATGAGTATAATATAATCAGAGAAAATAAATAATATAAACGATTTCTCGTGATCCTAAATATAATTGAAATAAATGTCACTAATTTAAGATTCATGTTTTACAATATTGTTCAATTTTCATCTATGACCTTATGTTTTACTTTTTATTTCATAAATGGGTACTAGAATGAAAGTGATTGTGAAGGTCTTTAAGAATTCGTAAGCAAAGATGGAGAAGGTTAATTAAGTTTGGTATATAGACTATGATGTTGTGATTAAGGGATTGAATTAATATCTTTTGGACTGAAACTCACATTTAAATTACTTATTCTACGAGTAGAATTTGTATAGAGAGAACTTCTTTATGCACTAGTTAATTGAGATAGTCTAGGACTGCCATAGGGCTAATCTAATCCTTATTTAATTGCCAACAGTGGAGGTAAATTCTTATGATTTTAAATGCTTTGTCTGTATTGAGGACTTTTAAATTGGATATTTTTCATCTTCGTGTTCACTTTTAATTCCATTAATTTTGAGATTTTCTCATTCCTAAACCAAATATGATTTAATGCCATTTAAGAAGTAATCCGTTCTTTTGGATCTGGTTACAAGATACTTTCTATGAAATGGATCCCCTCCTTAGTCAGTTTCAAAGGTGAAAGGTCTACAATCCCTTCTTCATTTTTTTCAATTATTTCCCTATAATTTTATGAATCAAAGGGTTTCTTCCCAGTCAAAGAATAATATAGAATGATTCCGACACTGTAAACATCCACCTTGCAGTTATATTCTTGGTTTTTTAATATTTCAGGAGCAACGAATCCCGGTGTTCCACATCTCTGAAAAAGGTATTTGGGAACATCTTCATCGGAGTCTGAATCATGAGTAATCCTAACAGTATCTGCCAGACCAAAAGAAGTTATACAAGGATTATCTAAATTACCATTTAATCTAAGTCCAATATTTTCAGGTTTGAGATCTCTGTGCATGACACCCTTAGAATGTAAGTATGCTAAGCTTTTAAACAATTTAAAAAATAACTTGGATGCCTTTTCTTCTGAAAGCAAGGGCCATTTTAATAAGTATTGATCCAAATTTCCTCCTATAATTAATTCTTAGACAATTATAATTTAATCTTAATTTTCAAAAGTTTCTATATATTTTTACACATTTTCATCGTTAATTCTTCTTAATATACGTAATTCTTTCTCTAGTGTAACTTCTATTGTAGCGTTTATCAATTTCTTATTATAAATTTTGCATTGAAAATCATTTTTGTCCTTTCTACTTCTTATTCTGAAAACCTTGATAATAAGTTATTATACTTACCTCTGCTTTATCATTGGAACTAATCTTCTTAAGAATTTGATAATGATTCGGAAATTCTCCAATTGAATAGTGAATTTCTTTAATACACACATAAGTCTATCCAAATCTCCAAACATCTCAAATTAATCAAAGCATTTGATAAGCCTTATTCCATCTCCATATTATGCGTTGTGAATCATTTCTAAAATAGAGTTTTCATAATCAATCCAACACAAAGATCCCTATATAGATCAGAATTAGTACATCCTTTTTTTGTTTAACTATGATATTTTCATGAACCATTATGGTTTATATTTTTTTCTAATGTTGTTTAGATTCCATAACAACTATCTAAACAACATTCAATTCAGTAGTAATTTTAGGAATTTTGGACCTATTCCACTACATCCTTACAAAATCCTTTTAAAAGAAACACTTTCTGTGAGTTTATTCATATGTAATCTTTTTTTCAGTCTCCAAATTTAGTTTATGAAATAATCTTTTCATAAAATAATGAAAAATTTTAATTAAAATTCATTTTGAACATTTTAGAAATGCTCCTAAAATCAATATTAAACGTAAATTTAAATATGATTTAATAAGTAATAATATAACAAATAGAAGTGTAATCAGGAAAGAAAGCACAAATAATTGATGTTATTAGTGCTGTCTGTGCTTGAAAAAATTGTCATTAATAAAATGTATAGAAATAAAAAATAATATATAATAAATAAATTTTAATGTCAATTTTTCACGTGACAGATATATCTGAAAAACCTTCTTCATACACTAGCCAATTGGCAAACAAAGATGTTAGTTTCATTTCTTATCTAGATCAATTATTAAGCTTTAAGGAGTGAAGTTAGAACTTCTATAATAGATAAATACAACCATTTCGAAAAATTAGGACAAAAACCAAAAAGTCCAAAAGGAGGGTAACAAAGCAAAGAAAGTCCAAGAAAACACTAAAATACTTTACGAACTTTAGACATTTTATTTGGGAAACCACCTTAGAATCAGGAATAAGTATCTCAATCTTCACCTGCCAAGATTAGTGGATTAAAGAAAAAGTAATATTCATAACTATAAATTCCTTAGGATGCAACAAATAGGCACTTAAGAACAAACAGGCAAGTTTCACCTTTCAACAGGAGCCTAAGATTTTAAGAGCACTTATTATGATTAGTCAGGAGCCAAACACTCGTTCTTATCTCCATAAAGTAGAAACACTCAGGATGGCTTAATGAGATCGGGATCCCTGACATCAAAGTTTTATCCAGAAAGAGGGTACAATTAAATAATAAATTGAAAGCACATAACTCAGTAATGCTGTCCCAATCTAACGATTAGTTGAGATACAAAATTTATTAGAATTGACTCCTTCAAGTGAACTTCAAACTCTACCAAGAAAGTATTATGATATAGTAATGATTTTAGTTATTTGGACGAACTTCAAAGAGTAGCCAGTTCAATATAAAGGAATTTGAAGCACCACAACGATATTCGCCTAAAATAGTGAAAATATCATATTTTAATAAACAAAAATTAATTTTTTTAATGAGCGGATTCAAACTATACAGATCTAGAATAATATTGGCGCTGTCATCTTAGGCTTATAAGAGAGCTCATAAGTTCTCATCGCAAACATCCACTGAGCCTGAATTTGTTGATTAGCCATTAAATAAGCAAATAAAATTAAACGATTAGAGTTTCATTAAAATATAATAAAATGAGCAAAAAACAAGCAACCCACCAACACAAAACATAGAAACTTAGAGGATCAATCAAAATCTATAAAAAACAGAAACTAATCCAATTCAAACCAAAGAAAAACAAGAGAATAGTGCCATAAAAATTCCTTTATAAAACAATAACTCAATTAATCATAACAATTCTTAAACTCAAAAAGCATCAAACCAAAATACAACTATTGATAAAGATATTGTAATTCAAGCTTCAAAGCATGAATAAAAAAAAGAACTACCTTTATTTAATGGCTAGAATAAATTGTAGCCAAATAATTCGTCATTATAAATATAATAGTAATAATAAGTTAAACAAAATGGTCATCAAATGGAACAAATGAATAAAGCTGTAAAAAAGGAGATTAAGTACTTCAAGGCATGTGGCTTACATAATATTGGAAATACCTGTTATTTTAACAGTGCTCTTTAATGTATTATTAATACTCCAAAATTTAATGACAAATTTTTATCCGATGAAATCAAATAAGAGTTAAATCCAAAGCACAAACAAGTGGCTCTTTAATATTGGAGATTACTAAAGCAAATGAGAACCACAAATAATACCAGTGAAAATCCAGTTTAATTGAAATAAGCTATTTGTAAATTTATTATTCTAATCATCAAGCAAGTTCAACTAAGAAGTTTGGTGGTCATAGACAGGAAGACTCCTAAGAATTTCTAAGAGCACTTTTGACCTGCTTACACGAAGATTTGAATAGAGTTACTGGTAAACCTATCTACAAAGAACTTACCGCTGATCTTAATAAATAATCACTTGAAGACATAGTAAAATTGTTGTTTTATTGAAGTCCAATACATGGTTTAATTACTTTAAAGGGAGAGACAATAGTTTGGTTACAGATTATTTCACTGGATAATTATTAAGCAGGGTTACATGTAGTGTATGCAAAAACCAATCCCTAGCCTTCGATAACTTTTAAGATTTGTCCTTAGCATTCCCAAATATTTCAGGAAACTAAATTACCCTTGAAGATATGCTAAAATATTATCTGAGTGAAGAAAGCATCAATCAATATACATGTGGAAAATGTAGACAATAAAGAAAATGCACAAGATAACTTGAAATCTGGAGATTGCCAGACATTTTGGTTATTCACTTAAAAAGGTTCTATTACAAAGGTCCAATGAAGAAGAAAATAAACATAGATATTAAGTTTGGAGCCAAATTAGACTTGGGTTAGTTTATCATTAATAGTAGCGATAAATCAACTTTGAATTGCAATTACAATTTATATGGCATTGTAAAGCATTATGGAGATTTAAATTTTGGCCATTACTTTGCGTATTTATATTTTTCAATCAATTAGAGAATGCAAACATCCATTTACAATGAAGTGGTATTAATTGAATGATAGTTCTGTTTAAGAGATAAAGCCGAAGGTCTCATATGAATCCGATAATTCAGCTTATTTATTATTATACAGTCGTATCTGATAAATATATTTTGTGAATAAAGTGTATTATTTATGGTTAAGCCTTTTTGATTTCACTAATTTGAGAAGATATTCTCTTCAAAAATATAGAATTGACACTAAATCATTACTCCCCACTAAGAAAATAAATTATCAAGATAATACGAACTGTTTTTAATTAAATAATTATAATAATTAAAATATTTAAATTAATTTAGATCTTTCATTTCAAAACACCCAACAAAATTTAAAATTAAGGTGATGCTATTAGATCTATTCTTTATAAATACTGATAAATTTATAATATCGATGTATATAGATTAAACTCAAGAACTCAATATTAAACTGGTCATTGAAAATGAAGCCATTACTACTTCATCATTGAAGAAAGTCACTTTATCAGCACTTTCTTGGAGTCCTAAAATGTAGAGCAAAGGAAGATAATGTTCTGGCGTTGGACTTGCTCTTAATCCATGTTCTAATTTTTTGTAGTTAATTAATTTATCATGTTCTTTTTTTAGAATCATGTCTTTGACTTACAAATTGAATTAGGCAGCCCAAGGTCTAGGCTTTGCTGTATCTGTCCATTCCATTTCCTTGAAACTATGTATGATGTTTCCACTTCCTATTATCAGGACACCTTCCTTCCTCAATGGTGCCAATTTCTTTCCAATATTATAATGTTCTTGTTCTGACAATCTAGTACTCAGACTTAACTAAATCACAGGAATATCTTAATCAGGGTATATTTACTACAGTATTGTCCAGGATCCGTGATCTAATCCCCAAGAGTTGTCAATTTTAGCATCTGGGATTAATTAGAGGATTCTTTCACATAATTTCAAATTTCCAGGAGGGGTATACTGTTACTCATACAATTTTTTAGGGAATCCTCCAAAGTCATGGATGGTTTTTTGTATTTTATTACCTGTTACTTTTACTCCATCGGTCTCCCAATGAGCTGATACAGCAAGGATGGAATTTGGTTTAGGCAAGGTCTTTGCAAGTTCTTTCCACTTGAGAGTGAACGCGTTTATTTCTATGCCATTCATTGGGGATCCATGGCCAAAGAATATAACAGGCAAAGTTAACACTGTTTGAAACATTCGAAATTCTGAAATTAATTTATGATTAAATTTGTGTTATCTATATCCAAATATACCATTTCAAATCAATTAAAAGCGATTTAGCAGTTGAAAATAAATAAAGAGAAATTCCAACCATTAGAATTGAGAAGTCAGTTATGGAATTTGATTTAAAATCTAACAGATCAGGATAGTTCATAATTCATCGATATTTATAAAGAGTTCGATTATGATTATAGAGATATTGCCGAATTTTATAACAAAAATCATATAGCGCATGATCTTATCATTAGTAAACACAAGAAAAATGAACCAAAAGTAATAATCGATTCAGCATATTAACATTTATTGTTATTAAATCCGACCCTATAATTTGTAGCAGATTTTGATTATGAAAATTTACAACAATACTTGAATGAAGATGGGTTGAGGAATATCTTATCAGAAACTTAAAGTGACACATTGAAAAGAGCATATCCTAAAATTATTGAAAATACTTTTTATGGATTATATTTACAAGCCATTAATAGAGGATAGGATTAAATCAAATTAGTAGAGATTTTGAAGAAATTGGAATCAATATTGCTTGATGAATAAAATCCAAATGAATTGATATGGAAAACTTACCTCTTTAGTAATCTATAAAGCGGAAATGAAAAAGTCATAAATTATTTTGCATTCGTTATGCAAAATGTAGAAGAGCTGACTTAAAAAGAGTTGATCGTCTACTCATAGATTGTATTTCTATTTTCATTAAAATTTGGAAATCATAGAACTGTGTCGATATTATTCAGAAAGTTATTTGTATTCTTGACCAAGTTGAAAGATTAACTATCATTATAAGATAGATTATTCTTTTTAAAAAAGACTTAAAACGAATTGGATATCCCAAATAAATAAGAATTATTTTGTAAATAAATTTATGAGCAAATTCGAGATATTTCAATTTAACATTATCCAGTAACTTTGAAAGGACTCTGTAACTTTTATTGGGTAGAAATAAAGATAGAAGAAGAAGAAGATTTTGTATGATTATTATATTAATATTAGATTGAAAAAAATATGGAGCAATTCACAAAACAAATAGAAATAATTGATTTGTTGTTTGGTTTAATCTATGGCAACTCATAAAATATACAATTGATTAAGAATCTTTTTGCAAAATTGTAAAATTTAATGGAAAAATCAAGCACTCTAGAAAAATGCTATTATTATCAAATTATATATATTCTTGAAAATAGCTACAATCTTACACTAAATGTTGAAAACAAAGAGGAACTTAGATCGATTTATTTTAATGCCACAAACCTAAAAAGTTCGGCTGAATTCAGTTAGGCAAATTTTGATATGGATGAAATACTATAGTCAATCCAACAAGAATTAAATAGTTAGAAAAGACCTGATTGGCGTATCATCAAAATAAAGAAGCAAGCTGGTGTACAAATTTATCAAGTCGACTTCATTGTTGAATTAGAGGGTATTTATAGGAAGAGATTAATTTATCTTGATTTTATTTAGAGACAATCGTACATAGATGAAACAAATTTAATCGGAAAATAAAGAATTAGACAAAATATATTTAAAACAGAAGAAATTACTTATATAGATTTTAAAACATGGTACAAATAACAGGATAAGGTTGCCTATGTTAAGTAATTACTAGGGTTGTGATTTAATTTATACAAATTATTATAATTTTAATAATAATAACTATATAATGAGCAAATACCAGCCCCCAACGAAGAAAAAAGTAACTAAACAAACTGTTCCCCAGCAATCCAAGAAGCAAGAATAATAACAGGAATAAATGTATATAGAGACTATACTCGATCCAACATAAGAAGCAATAATTAGTTTAATCTAAGAGTATCTAGTTAGATACTAATTGCTTAACACTTTAGATACATTATCGAAAGAATTGGCTTCTGGATAAATGGGAGCTGAGACTTATCATCTGGATTCTGAACTACTTGAAGTATGTTACATTTCAAATTAATTAGTATTTTGATAAAGGATAATATGAAATGTTTTTCATGTTATGGAACAAATATCTTCCTTATAATTTAAGAATGAAGGACGATGACGCTAAGAAATTGGAGTTTTACATCTAAATCTATTTCTTAATCTATGAAATACATCCTAAAACTGGTAAAAAAGGAGGCATAATTGGCAAGGCTGCACTTCATTATTTTAAGACATACCTCGATACTAAAGGCTAAGAGTATGAAATTCTTGTTTAATTTAGGCTATCCAAAACCACAGAATTTCTTCCATATTATGCTCTTCCATATGTACAAAGGCCACAAGAACACTAAACTTACAAGCATTTGTTTTCAGGTCAATGGATTCTGGAGACGAAAGGGAAACTTGTTAAATTAACAAACGAGTTATTAAATAGAGAGTAATTAACAGTAATGGAACAGATGTATCAAAACTTTACAGATGAACCTAAGAAAGTGGTACTATAATAGATCTAATGATAGAATTTAACATCATCTAATCAAAATTACACAACTTAATTGGGGATGAACAATTAAGAATTGTTGGCTGTTATATAGGATTATAATTTGAAATATAATTAAATGTAAAAGAAATTTAAAGATTATATTGAACAAAGCAAGTAAACTATGATAGAGGCTCAATAAAAATGGTATCAATTAAACAAGGAGGTTACAGATATTGCTAATTAATTAAATAAAATGCTAGAAGAGAGTAGAAAGGGAAAATAGGTTCCATAAGATCAATTGGATGAACAATTAAAGAAATTAGCTAAATTGTCTCAGTTTTTCAGTACGTCAGTGGAAGAGATAATTAGTTAGAGTTAAGATATCTCTATGTATGATAAAGCAAGCATTTTTGAAAATGATCTGAGCATAAGTCCCATACCATAACATTCCTAATAATAACACTTTAATTTTAATTAACCTTAAATTCCTTATGTGTAATTAAATTATTCAAAAATCAAGTCAGTATTCTAAGATGGTTCAAGTGACCCTGGATTTATTTGTAGAATTTTGTAAGCCTTAAGATTTAGAATTACAACAGCAAAGGGTGCTAGAGTTAGAAGAGAAATCTTAATCTAATATGCTTAATTTGATATTTTGGGATGTATTCCAGGGAATACAGCAGTGTTGTAAAGGTTGTTAGTTGATGCCCCTAATTCTGTTAAGGAATACACACTACGTTTAACTAATGCAATGGCTAGTGATTATTAAGGAAGAAGCTATTTGATGGCATCATTTACATTAATAAAAACATTGATTGACATATTAAAAAAAGAAAAGGATGACTCATTAGTCAGAAGAAATGCCTTGGGAGCTCTTCAAAAGCTATCTTTAAGAAGAAAGCCTTAAGTTGTTATGATTGAAAATGATGTAATAAAGTGGATCGTGAAAACTTTGGAAAATGAAAAGGAGTCCTTAAGTGAATACTCATATGAATATGCAACAGCATTATTTATGAATCTCAGTATGAGAGATTAGGGAAAGTAGAAATGTGTAGAATTTAAGAGGGATGTTCTTAAAGTATTAAATGAACTATTAGAACATGACAATATGTAAGTTAGGACCTTTGTAAATGGTACTTTATACTCTTTGTTTTCCATTTCTTAAATGAGGGAGCAAGCCCAAGCTTTAGGAATGAAAGAAAGATTGGTACTTTTGATGTAGAATTCTGATGACCGATTCATTAAATAGATTTAATATATTTTAGAATAAATTAACAAAGTAGGTCCAGATGAGTTAGAGCCAGATGAAGATAATGATGTAGATGACATAGATGATATTGATGATAGTGAAGACACAATAGAGGAAGAAGATGCTGAAGATGCTTTAAAGGCTAAGGATGGAGAATTGGTTGGAGAAGAATTACTTAATGCTCATTTTAGTTTATCTCACTAAGAGGCAATTTAAGTTTATATTTATTAATATTCGCATAGTAAAATACAATGACCAGATCCATTATTATGCAGGAGAACTAAAATAAAAAAGCTATGACACCAAAGAGTTCTTAATAATAACCGTTTAGACCAACCACTCCTGTCATTTCTGCAAGTTAATTACAAAAATCTTAATTGCCATCTGAAATGAAACCTCGACCCAAACTTGCCAGAACACCAGTCGGATAGGATAGACCTGCAGTTAATTTTGAACAGACTGAATAGCAATTCTAGTAATAATAATAAAGTATGAAATCTTCTTAACAAAACAATAATTCTCAGCAAAGATAACCCTTGCCAGAGATTAAACCAGCAATTGAAGCACCATTAGAATAACCAAGTTACGAAAGAAATGATGAAGTAATTCTTATTAATATGGATAGTATAAAAATGCCTTTTAACATAAACCTAAAATTCCCAGAACACCACCCTAAAAATGATATATTATGTTAATATATAAAATGTTTATAAAGTCAGAATAGCAGATCGATATAATCATGTACAAATATTAATTACAATTTTCATCATCAAATCATTGTTATTAATAAATTATATAATCAAAAACTTATATCTATCATTATATTATGGGTAATTAATGATTAAATTAATAACTAAGGCTGATTAATTTGGAGCTGTTTATCGTCCAACCTTCAATTCTAAAGATGCCTACTAAACTTTCTTTGGCGGATTGATTACAATAACCCTCTACAGTCTATGCATCTCCTACATGGTTTATATGTTCATATAATGGGGAACTCATCAAATATTACCAAGAAGTTCATTGTCAGAAGAAGTAAAAGAAAACCTTTATATGGAATTTGACTATGATCTAGTTCAAATTAAACTTTCGAATGATGCTGATCCTTTCTCAAAGGTTAACAACATTCTGGTTCCATAATTTTATGTCCTAACTAATTAAGTTAAGTCAGATCCAGTTGTTGTATTTCCTAATGCTGATGGTTGGGTTATACCTAAAAATTATAAATTCAAATTAAGTCCAACTGAAAATCTTGACGCTTAACTGTAATTTATAGCATGTTCTTCAGAATATATAATTGAAGGTATGACTTGTGCAAGTGATCAAGAAATAAGCGATTTCTTTAATTCTAAAACCACTATTTCAGTTGTTATTTACGTAACCAAATTTAATGTGAAAACTGAAGAATTTTATAGGATACCTAAAAAATTAGAATTTATTATTTAAAAGGAATAAACTATATTTAATAAATATTCTGTCAAAACATCTTATGCTTATATCGATAATGGTGTTGTATTCCCAGAAAATAACCAATATTAATTTATAAGTGATTATACATTAGCTACTCAATCACTCTAATTGAATACTCAACAATAAATATACAAAAAAAGCATTTATGCACAATTCACTTTTTCATTAGATAATATCCAACAAATTAACTACATTACTTATGCACATTTAGATGAGGTGTTAGCTTCAATTGGTTCAATTTGGTCAATTATCTTAATATTATCCTATTGCGCTGTGTTATTTAATGAATTTAATCAATCAGAATATCTGTATAGAAAAATTATTTCGTTCTATTATCCTTAATTTAGATTTTTATAAATCAGGTAAAATTTCATTGGGAAAATAACTAAAGTAACTGGATATGGACAATCGTATGATCCTATAGAATTTACAAAATATTATGAGAAATTAAAACAGGATGCCGCTTAAAAGATGAAAGTCAAAAACATTTTATATGAGATCTCTAGGATATAATTTATACTTCAATCTATACAAGAGCGGAATCTAATTGTTAATAGTCATAATGTTGGCATCAAATTGAAGTTATTAGATAAAGATTCATCAGAATTCCCTAATATATTACCTCATGAAAACCAGTTGAATGATAATGACTTTATGCTACTATCAAAACAAAAATTAAATAGCAAAACCGATCCAGGAAAAAATAAGTTTTATCAACTAAATGTAATGAATCATGCCAGAATTGAAACTACATAAGTTAATACAAGTTAAGATAAATTTACATTAATTACATGAATTTATGTGTTTTTAATAAATATAAAAATAAAATCAATGAATATTCAATTGCTTTATATTAGTTTTGAAGATCCTCCAGTCCTATTATGTGTTAAAATGGGGAAATCTCCATAGCGCTTATTCCTTGGTTAGTAAATATATTATGAATGACCCTCTGGATTTCTATTGCTACTCTAAGAATATGACTATGCTGCATTGGCCAAATTTTCTTAAACCTAAATCTTGTCTATAGATTTTCTATCTTATGGAGATCTACAAATTGGACAAATCTTTTATAAATAAATTAACTTACTAAATTTTATTTCATCCATTTATCAAAACATTTATAATGATAAACATGCATGCAGTATGTGACTCTAACAAATTGTTCATATTTAAAAGAATCTAAACAAATCTAACATTCAATTTAATCCTTTATTTAAGGGGATTTTCTTAAAAGACTCTAATATTCGACAGCAGGAATTAAGTGAGTCCAGTCAAAAGAACTCTCAAATATCTTTAAGTTCTTAGAAAGATTTCCAATATTGTTGGCATTATTTGTTTATTATGTTTTCTCGAGTCTGAGTCTGTAACATTTAAAAATGCAAATCACAAAGCAGCATAAGCAAATAGCCCCAGTTGATACTACAGTTATGATAATAGTTTTGAAATGGTCTACCTCTTCCTTTTAGTAGTATTGAATGTATAAAAAACCGACTGAATATTATTAGACTATAATATAATGCTGAGCCTTGGAAGATGATGTACTAGCCAATTGACATTTCATAATTTCTTCCGCAGATATTTTTATACTAGCTGATTCCTCAACTTCGGCTTTTCTTAAATAAGGATTTTCCATAAAACATTAATGACTAACCTTTCCTGAGTTTTTAAATTCTAAAGAGAAGTCAGAACTTCCAATCTTCATTACATCAAGATAATAAAATTTATCTTTTTCTAGATAATCCTATATCAAAATATCAAATCCTTGATACTCACAATCATAACCGAAATACCCTTCAAGACAAATGCAAGTATGTTAAATACAGTATCCATTGTTCTTGCATAAACTCTGATTAAAATAAATAATACCTTAAGCAATCATCTTGCAATTTTGAGTTTATTGATATGTTTATAGAATCACTATATTTTGAAAATATGCCGACATAAAGACTTACACTTTTTGAAAATTTGGTATTAGTAGAGTATGAATTATAGTTCTTTTCAGAATCTCTTATCAACATTAATTTTTACGAGGTTTCAGTAAATTCGAAAGCATTCCAATCACATATGCATTAAAAACTTCATATAATTAAGAATACTTTTAATCAACATAGATCTCAGTTAAACTTGTAAAGTTTGGTGTTGTTTCACAAATCATTAAAATGCTTACTTATTTTTCGCTAAAGTTTGCTTCAAATACTACATTATCATAATTATTATTGAGTATGTTTAATTATTGAAGTCCAAAGGTGCCTTATTAAATCCATTTTTCTGTGCATATTCCAAAATGGATTATTAATAAAAGAAGGTTATAGCTCATTTTTGAGAATATTATGTTAAGATTTTATAAACTAATTTTCATTAATTTTACAAGAACAAATTATCAAAATAGCTTAAAAGCAAAGAAGACACAATTTGAAACACATAATATAGAAATAATTTATATATACATATGATTTTATAGTTTTACAAAAGAACATTCTTTCTATATGATAAACAATTTTAATCAAATAAGCAAAATTGTCATCTAATTTATTATGCCTTCTTATGTTCCAAATAACCCAGATATGCTAATAATATAATCTCCTTGTTTAATCCATCCTTTCTATTTAAAATTTTCCAATATTCTAGGAGTTAATCTTAAATTTAATTGATTTTTCTTACTATTCAATTCCAACTAAGCTTCCAACCAAAAATGGAATCACACCATTTACTATATTGAGATTTCTTGCAATTGTTTTCTTTGCTGTTACTGCAACTATAGGACAAGGAGCATGCAATTTTGATAAACTTAAGGCTGTTTCTCCTGTAGTAAACAGTAATATCAGTTTCACACGCAGACTAATTAAATTCAATAATACCTGTAGGCATTCTCAATTGCATTTTAAGCTATAATGGAAGCTATGGGATTCTCTTAAATTTTAATTTAAAATAATCCCTGATATTACAATCTGGTGTGCATTTCTATATTTGTGCTAATTCTCGCTAAAGCTTACACAACCTTAATAGGGTGATTTCCATAAGTAGTTTCTCCAGATAACATAATACCATCAATATGTTATTCGACCACATCTGCAATATCTCCCATTTCGGCAAATGTAGGATTTGTCTAAGTAAGCATTGATTCCAAAATTTATGTTGAAATTAAAACCTAATTAATTAAAATACTACTGGTTTAACAAGTTTTCTGCAGTTTAATATCATATCGTGTTACATTTATACAACGTCCTCAATTTATGCCCAAGTTGCCAAATAAGCTCTAGCAATTATACAACCATCTGCAATTTCCATTATTTTATCAAAATTATTTATCCCTTCCTATGTTGTTATTCTAACAAAGATCTGAATATTGGTTGAAGAACCCAACAAGTGTTTTAACTATTTATAAGATATTAGAAAACTTCATGCACTTCTTCAGGTCTACTTACATTTGACAATGTAATAGAATCAAAATCTAATCTTTTTGCTATTGTGAAATCATTTATGTCTTTAGAAGTAATCTAGGTTTCAATCTCTTCATCAGAATCATCCGACTGTTTTATAATCTATTTTTATTCTTTAGACCTATTTGTAATAAATAATGGTTTAAATGGTCTCATTAAACCTTGAATTAGAGCATATTTTTACAATTTTATTCGATTTCACAAATGAAAACTATTAAACTTTTTGTAGCAAGCTTTTGCTTTTTATTTTAAATGATTTAATCAATATATTTTTGTTTTTTGGATTACAATTGTGTTGACGAAGCTCCTCTTGAATTTTCACTGGATAAAGAACTTTTAGACTACAATTTACTTTTTTCGGATTTATCTTACTCAAATATACTATTTTTAAACATGGCTTCTGTGGGGTACAAATCTGGATATTTTTCCATTAAAATCTATTTAGCCCTTTTTAATTCCTTTATAATTTTACTCCTAATCTGTTTCTAAAGCTTTGATATTTAACACGATTTAGCCATAATCAATGAATATTTGATCTCCAACCTTTGCTTAAGTAAAAAGTTCATCTTAATCTACGCAAATGATGTTTTCATCACCAATCACTTTATTGTCTTAAGTAATTCTTATGATATTTCCTTTCTATTCTCTAAGAATAATGACTATACCTTTAGGTATATTTCTGGCTATCTTAAATGACCTATTCTAGTTATCTTTCCTTAAAGCATCATATTAATTGGGATTGTATGATCTAGTTCTTACTCCAATTAGTCTCTGATCATTTTTAATTTCTCATATTATCTTCTGTCATGAGTGTAAGCTGTGTTTATACTAATATAATTATGTCTAATAAGAACAAACCTGAGTGCATTAGCTCCTGCTTTTAACATTTCTCTTATTATATCGATCTCACATGTTTTTTCATTTATAGAGCAGACTATTTTCGTTCTTCTTTAATGATGTGGTTCATGTTATTCATCCTTTAAGATATTTTCCCTGGATCGAATTGGCGTTAAATTAGAAAGCCTTGAATTCATTAAAATAAATATTATATTATGGATTAAAAGGGAGATGATATTATGGATTAAAAGGGAGATGATCTTCTGGATGATATTGCTGATGCCCTTGATGGAGAGCACAAGCTTAACCTAACAGCTGATCAAAATGATGATGAAGGGTAATTAAAACTATATCAGGGAGATGAGGCAATAAATAAGGAAGCCGTAAATTTTCTAAATTCTTTAAAGGGGGGAGAAGGCTAAAATGTAAGAAACCGATTAATTGGCTCAAACAGTTTCAAGGGATGAGTGGGAAATATTCCTAGAAGGAATCAATCTCGACCACAACTACGTAGCTTCAAATAATTTATTAATAGGGAATAATAAAAGGCATTTTAAGACACCTTCGAAAAACTCGAATAAGCTCCATAATTTGATGAATTAGCTGATAAAATGTTATTGTAATTTATGGATAAAGAAGTTTTGGAGCAACCGATGAAAGAAACTTATGAAGCTTATAGCAAATTTATTTAAGTATTAATGATTAATTTCTAAGGAAAATAAAAATAAATTGAGTGAAGAAGAATTATTGAAATACAAGAAATAAAAAGACTGTGTGGAGAAAATAATTGATCAATTAAATAATAATCCTAACGACAAGGAAAAATTAATTTAATTATTTGAAAACATGTAGGCTGAAGGAGATCCTCCTTAAGAAGTATTTGGAGGAAATGAAAATCCGTTAAACTTTTTGAATGCACCAACTGATGGAGCCTAAGGTGAACCATGCAGTATATTTTGAATACCATACAGATATTATTAATAAAAAATTTAATACGATTTTATCCTATTGTATATTAGTTATTCTCTAATGCCTTTTATCTATTATTTAAATCTTATTATTTATAAACAGCATAATTAGAAGAGAGTGTGTTTAAGTAAGGATGCTGTAAAATATATTATTTATATTTTAATAATTCATAAAATTTATGAATTAAGCACGTTATTTTTTTCTCCCTAATTTAACTGAATTAAATAATAAAAAATAAATAGCACTTTGAAAATGGAGACGTCATAGCAATTGGATTTTATAATTCATAAGCATAATGGATGAAGCATAAATGCTATTTATATTGAGAATTAAATGAATTGTTATTAGATTATTTTATTTAATTTATTTTATGTTTGAAGGCACAAGATTACAATACATTGTCCCTGGATATACTGGACATATTCCAAAAGGTTTTTTTGAACAATAAGTTGGGTACTACTAAGAAGAAAAACCATAAAATCATATACCAGGTTATTAGAGATAATTATTCTTATATTAGGCTATGCTGGTGAAATAAAATCAATGAAAGCTGAAAATTTGTTTGCTTAAACCTATGGCAAAATTACCTACTCAATTTAACATGATGACTACTACAAGGGATAAGATGTGCCACCTGAATCAAGATATAAATCATAACTAAAAGACACTTATCAAAATTAGAATAAAGTATAGTTGAGAACAGCAGCTGAAATTGTAGGAGTGAAGCCCAAGCCTATCGAATACAAGATTGTAATATCCTTTCTTAATTCAATATTAGCCTTAAACTGAAACTGCTAAGACTTTTTTCAAAGTAGACCAGCAAGGAAATCCATAATTGAGAGAATCTTTAGAAAATTGGAAGAGTGAATATGAATAACATTCTGAAACAATTGATCAAGCAACACACAAGTTTTATGGTGATCCTGGACAAAAAGTGCCAAGTAAATTATATGTCAATATGATAGTACCACTTGGAACTCCATTACCTGGATATACTGGGATGCAAAAAAGAGTAGTAGCGGCAAATATTTTCGGTTAAACATTTGCAAATGCTCGTAAAACAGCATTATAGGATGATGCTAAAATTAAGGATGAAAAAATGAATACATTCAAACAATAGGCTTCATTTATACCAGCTTTAAAAAGATGATTATTATTATTTTAACAATTGAACATTATAATTATCAGAATAGAAAACTCATTTCCAAAGCTCAGTTAATAATTGATTGGGCTTAAAGAAGAGGAGCAAACACATCAATTATAGTACAAAAAATGTTCAAAAGTTGTTTTAATAGTCTTATATTAATTAGTACTTATATTATAAAATTAATGAATAATAAAAACTAAGAGGTTTGTGCTCGCTAGAAACTTTTTAATGATCAAGAATTTAAGGAAGTCGTGAAGACTTTTCATGAGCTTATCATCCAAATAAATAAAAGTTGATGTGATTTTTCATATTTAGGTTTGAAGAAATAAAAGCGAAAAAAATAACATTAGCAGCCACATCAACAAATATAAAAAAAAAAATAAGTAGAATTAAAATAATTTAAACGAAACTCCTATCATATCCAAATCGCTTATAAGTTATACGAAAGAAATAATAAATAAAATTAGATCGATGAATGTGATCCCACTTATCATTCAAAAAAAATAAGAAATAACAACTGTGCCATAGAAGTAGAAAATTAATAATAGACTCTTACAAATAACAATCTGAAATCAAACGAATCGACTGTACAAAGATGAGACATAAATATATATTTTTAATGCTCTATATATGTTTTTATAATTACATTTTTCAAAAATTATTTTTATGAATGTTTTGGTTTTGTACATGTTCTTATTCGCTTTAAACTGAGTTTCATTGTAGATTGAAAAATGTTGAAGATACTTTCCCTCCTTCAGAAAATATTCCTTATTGTGCAATAAAAATTATAGGGGATATGATATTGAATTTCGTCCATGAGGGACATACACTTATTAAATATTTACTGTGAAATAAGGTTTCTAATTAGACAAAATTTCACAAATATAAAATCAAAAATTAGTACATTTTGATAGATATGATGTTAATAATATTATACTTGATTAAACAAATCACACGCTTAAATCTTACTCAATATTTTCAACTAATTTATGTTCTATTTCTTCCTCATCTACATTCTACATGTGAATAGTAAAATGTCGGATTCCAGTTTCAATTCTGCTCTACATTCTTTAAAATCTTCTTCTTGCTCTCATAGGAGAAATCGCATTGCCTTCCTCATCTTCATGTTAGGATGGAGATTAAACCTTAGGTGGTTTGAATTTTATTTTAAAAATTTTAGACATTTCTTCTGGTATGCTATCTTCCAAAGATAGTTCCTCTATAAAACCAGTTTCTACTCTAAATAACCACCCATGAACCATTACGGCTAAAAATATATTTGGAAAATAATACGATGCCCTTCTTGCCATGATTTCTAGACAATTGGGTTTCTCCAAATATTTAATACTTATTCCCTAACATTCATACAGCATAAACAATTTATTTAATCATCTTCCTCAGCAAATGAATTGATTAACTCTTAATGTTTTTCATAAACTAATTTAATTTAGTTTAACCATAAATCTAATAATCCACCCACTGAATCCTACTTCATAGCAGCCTTAATGCCACCACAGCATGTATGTCCCATGACAATTATGTTGTGAACCTTTAGATGCTCTATGGCATATTAAATTACACAGTTGATCTAAATTTAGTATTTTATTTTACATTTAAATCTGTAGGAATGACTATATTTGCAATATTTCTGTGGATGAAAATTTCTCCAGGATCAGTCTCTGTGATTTCATTTGGGGGTGCTCTTGAATCTGAGCAACCAATTAATAAATATTTAGGATTTTAACCCTTAGCTAATTTTCTAAAGTAATCCTCATCTTAAGCTAGTTTTTTCTTCACATAACTCTTGTTTCCTTCTAGAACTTTATTATAAAGCTTATATTCTTCTATGCTTTCATGAACAATTTATGTTTACATATTTAAATTTTGAATTATTATTTATTTAAATCACGTGACTGTATTGAATTTATAAGTGCTAAATTTATATGAAAAGTGATGTTGTTTGACGTATTTCGTATGTTTTTTCTAATTACAACATAATTCCTTCATTTTGTTGCTTTTTAATTAAATTACTTTTCTTAGAGATAATTATAAGATAATCATTAATTATTAGAAAGCAGGCTATCAAATCTGAATTAAATCAACTTAAGGAACAATTAAAATACATAATTTTTATAACATAAAATATTTCAAATCATAGATAGTCAAATTAATAATCTAACCTTATCATTAAACTTACTACGTAAGTCTTTGATTATGATATGCTAATATTATAAATTAATATTATTACTAAATTTTAATAATTTTGATAAGTTCTCTATAGGCTTCGTCAAAATTCTTTATGAAAGTTTCATACAAAGTTTAAAATTGCTTTCCACTAACTAATTCAGTAATTTTTTCATTTATTTACACCTTTTTGGATACAAAATCATCTTTAAAAAAGGACATCAATGATGAATTTTATTTTTGAATTTATGAACTAAACTGACTGCAAAAATTTGTGCATTTGTTAAAGATTTTCCAAAAGTCCTAATCAATAATAAGAGATTCTTTCAAGCAATTCTCCGAAAATCTCATGTGCTATTCTTTAACTTCCTCAAAATTGTCTGCATTTTATAAGTTCTAAATTAAACTTGTATAATTCTTTTCTACTACATCATAAGACACATAATATAACTAAATATAGGTTTTATCATATTACATAATTTTTCACTAAATGCTGCATTCTAGAAAGTAAAAAATTTTATTTCAAAAATTTTTAATGCAATCCAGTGTCTTTTAGTTATTTTTAAAATACCCAGGCTTCATTCAGCTATTTTAATAAATAGTTCAAACTCATAAGACTTCTAAATAAAATTTAATAATTTAGTAAGCTAGCCCTAGAAAATATTAAATTAGCAGGCCATTCAACCTTTATATCCAAAGTGAATAATTCTATTCCTTTTAATTTTTAATTTCTCGGAGGTTTATTTTCATTAATATCAATTCCTCTTAAATTTCTAATTGCATAAATTTATTCACTTATTGTATATTAATCAATATAACAGACCAAATCATCTTTATATGCATCATTACTGGCTATTGATCTAACAGCCAGGTCAAACAAACTTTCAAGCTTTTCTTTCGAAATTTCTCTTATATCTTTAACAAGTTCAGATTCAGCAGCCTCGATGAAATGAATAAAGAAATCCCCTGAATCAAATAGAAAGAAGGTTTTAATTGTTTTTAATCTTTTATGAATATTTTCTTTTTAAAACAAGAGGTTTATGATTTCTTTATTAGCCCATTCAAAGCAGGACACCAAGTGAGAGAAATCTTAATTTTACACTATATGACCTTAATTCTTAATTAAAAAATTATCAAAAGGAGATTCTTTTTATCCAATTACATTGATATATTTACCAGTCCTTAAAATTATATCTTAATATTTTTCAAGAAATTTCGGAATCTAAGAGTTTCTCAGTGCAAATCGCTAATCCCAAAAGTCGTTTTTATAGTCAGTTTCCAAAGAGGATTTTTGAATTTTTTTTTCCGCTACTAAAAATTCTTCAAAGGGATCATCTATTCTACCATAATATATCCAATTTGAAAGTTGTTTCATGTATGGGAGAAACGATTTCTAAAGCAAGAATGAATAAACTTCAACTATTTAAGGGTCAGTGCTTGTATTGATAAAATGTGTAATTGTACTCAATAAAGTGCCTCCTATTTACTTTGATAAACTTTAAATTAAAACATAAATTGAATTAATTATTCTTATTGATGGTTGAGTGTAATACCAAAATTTTTATAAAGTTATTTCTCCTTAATTAAATTCATAATCAAGTTAATTGACCATTAATAGATATTTTTACATTAATTCTTTAATCGCTGAGCAAAATGCTTAAGAAATGTATCCATTTTCAAATTTTATTTTTTATTGGATATAGTTTTCAATGAAATCATGCTGAGAGCACATTGGCAGAATTTTGGACACCATTTATTATAATGATAGGTCACAAGTGCTTTACTCTAAATGGCCCTCTATTTGATACTCAAATGAACCATTTTTTTTTTTTATATACTAACCTTCTATGCTCATCATGGCATATAAAAGATCTTCAATTAAATATATTGATTAGAGTTGATAGGAGTGACTCCCTATTGGTTTTCTTTCATTTTATTTAACTAAACATTAAGTTAATTAATCGGAACTTTGTAAATAGCTTAATGAGATAAATGGTCTTTGCTAGAACCAATCTGGCAAAGGCGGAAAATTGCTTCTTTACAGTTTCCAGGTAGAATCTTACGAAATAGTTGGTCCATTCCAAGAGCAAAATAAAGATAGTTCTGATATCAAGTAATTAGCATCATTGAATTTAAATACTACATCATCATTTTCTGTGATTGCTTTTTTCAAATTTACAGTTCCTTATATCATGAATTTTGTAGCCTTGCTATGCGAGGCCTCCTGATAAGGAATATTTTCAAGCTTTAATTCTCCATTTTATTAACAACAAAGATATGCTTATAAACTAAAATTGAGTTTAAAATTAAATTACGCACCCAGGATTATATATCAAAACGGCAGATTACATAATTATTGGTCCTACATAATCTTAATTTGCTGCATTCAAAATTTAAAAAATTTCCCGCTATTTGTTACATTCTGTATGTTTAAAAAAAGGATGGCAACCTGAAGAAAGTAATCTATTATTTTAATCAATTGTTAAGTATCGATTTGTTCTATTATTCTTAATTGCTAACTTTAATTAATGAGAAATTCTTTACACACTATTTGTATTCCATTAAATTTAATTAAATATAATTTATTATAAATATTTGATTTAAGAGACATTCTGTTCTTCAGATTTTCGATAATATTTAAGCTAATAATCAATGTACATTATTTTATATAATTTATGAACTTCATTTTATTTATTTTTCTAGGATGGAAATAATTTCTGATCCTTCGTCTAAACTTTGTAGCATCCAATCTAATTATTATGATGTTTGTTCAAGTTATTATGGTAAAAATATTGTTTATTAATGCAATTACTTTAATGAAATCAATCTACTAAGTATTTTTGGAATTTCATCAATGCTATTCAAAGTAAATTCATGCTTTTTTTGAATCATTGACACTTAATTAGATAAATCCTATTACTATTCTGTTTTATTTAGTGATTCTTATTATTCATAAATTCGATTCAATTTTTAAATCATCTCTTCATCGTTTCTTAATAAATTAGCTTAAATTTTCAACAATTAAGTATGAGCCATTATATTTTATGGATCACTTTCTTATATAGGTAAAGTGTATTGTCCTATTAAATTAAAGTCATGCTTATCCTTTTTTTCATTCACTTTATCACTTCCGCTAAATAATTCACTACCCCTCACAAAAAATGTCTCCCCATTATTATTAGATTTAACTTAATTCATTCCAATTTTTTAATTTAACACCTCAATCCTCTTTTAAAATTGATCTAATTCTTTTTCATCAATAATTTATAAGTTAATGTCTATATTATCCGATTAAGGAGGATCAGAAGAAATTTGATCTAGTTAATTTTGAAGTTTTGATTTATCCTATTTTGGTTTTCTTTTGATCTTTTATTTCAGAATTACAAGTTAACTCTAAACATCAGATAAATCTTTAAGATATTTGCTGGCTTCAGGTCTTGAAATTTCTATGTAGATAATATAATACATTGCGATCCTATTACACTGCCATTAATTAGGTCATTTAAGACTTCACATTATAGAAGGAGCTGCTCTATCATTTATTTATATTCTCCTTCAGCTTTAAAAACTGCTTTTTCAAATTTTTAATTTTCGTACAACTTTGAAAGAGCCTCTTTGAAAGTACAATTAATCCTTTCTAGCTCTCCTTTTTAATCCTTATCTTAAGACTCTCTCTTTTTTGATGAATTATCATTAAAGCCATCAGCATCTACTTAATTATCAGCTGATTCATAATAATATCCTGATATAGAGACTTTCATATTCATATTCATTATTAAATTTATATTATTTTCATAATTGGGAATTCCCATCTAGAGCTTATTATTTTGGTATCTTTGCTTCTGTAACCAATAGTTACTGCTTTAACCATTTAGAATATTCTTCTGGATTTTATTGAATTTTCTAGATTTGCTCTGGTGTGTAGTTTGTTGGCTAATTTTGATAATCCTATTGTTAATAAGGTTAGTAGGGCTATGAGTAAGGTTATTGATATTATTATTAATAATTTTATTATGATTAATCGACAACAGCGCTTTGAGGTTGCATAGATGCAGAATATTTTATATCAATTTCACTTCGGACATTTTAGGAAATTTGTTAGGTTAGTTTATCCTCTTCTTTCAATAATTTTTATTGCATGTCTTATTTTTCATCATATTTTGCATATTTTTCGCTTTTTGCTCCACAATGCCAAATGTACAAAAAGATTTCCATTACACCTACAAAGGCCATAGTAGATGAAACAATAACTACTAACACCCAAGTGATATTTCTATCAGTTTCACCGTCGTTATTGATACTAATGATGTTTAGAAGCATTGTTCCTAAAAAGATATTATAAAACCCTCTAAAATATATTATGTCATGAATACCTTCCAAAATAATTGTCTAAAAATTTAAAGTGTTTTATTAATATTATCCATTCTGCTTCAGCAAATATCAACAAAATTCCAAAAAATATCAAATAGAAAGGAATGAAAACATCTGCAAAATTATTAAAATTCCCATCAGTGTATTTGTAAATTCCTTTAATAAATTAACTTGTTACCTAGTCCAATTACAGCCAAAGAAAAGAGAATATTAACCCACATCATAATATTTCGAAGAATGATCCAACAAGATACTGCTTTCACAACTTTTTTTTCTTTTTACATTTTTTATAAATTAATAATGAAAATCTGTTTAAATATAGAAAATGAGGAGAAAAGACTCGTTGACGTCACAGAGCAACCAACTAAATTTTCTTCATCTTTTTATACTGATCAAACAAGAGAAATAAAAATAATTAGAGAAGCATTTAACTCCAATAATTTTACATAGCTTAGGGAACTGCCAAATTTTAAAAGTAATCAAAAAAATTTTCCATCTAGGAAATGCTTTATTGAATAATTCCAAATAAAAAGTGTTTAATGTTTTCGACAATTTTTCGCCCACTGTTAAAGTTCAAGGGATGAACAAATATTTTGCACCGTTTACATATATACCAACTGATTATGATTTTGCTAAGTATTTAAAAAGATTAAAGCAATTAATGGATTAAGAAAAATAAAATTACATAAGTACGAAGCCTTTCTTAAATTGTGCATCAGTGGGAAAGAAACTTAAATATAATGATTAATTTTTTATAAAAGAAAATTTGCTGCCTTTTCACTTATCCGAGGATATTTTTGATCTCAAAAAGCAATCAGAATCTAGATAAAAAATTATTTCTGAATGTTAAAGACTATCAGGAGCTTTCAAACCGGCTGGAAAACATTATCAAAAATACGATGCGGAAATTATTCTTTCAAATCTAAAAAATGCAATCATTGAAGATTATCCAACTTCAAAATTTACAATAACTAATAACTTAGCAAATGTAATTACTGTTTAATTTCATTTTGAGGTATTTTATTTATAAACATTAGATTAACCCTAAAGAGTTGATTTATTATATGAATGCTTTACTGAATGATGAAAGATTAACTGATTATTAATTACATAAACTTATTAATGATTGGGGAATTCAAGTAAATTAATCAATAATGGCATTTTCTATGAAATCTCTTTGGATAAAATGAATATTTATTTGATATTATTTTTATTTAACAATGAGTTAATAGGAAACATAATAAATGTTAACAAACGAAAACTAATCAAATCTGTAAAATAGACCTTAATCTGCTAAAAACACATCATAACCTACAGAACAAAATAAATTGAGACCTCAAACATCCAAGCCAGTTTAGATTAATCAAAATATTTTTTCGACAACTCTATAAAAAAAAGAAATCGCTAAGGATAAATCTCACCCCTTCTTCTAATAAACCAGAGTTAATGATTGTGCCTGCATCAAAGTGGAAAATGGAGTTCCAAAAGCTGTTCCATTTTTCTAAAAGCCACAAAAAACATACGCAGAATAGATGGTTAAATTGGGAGTTAAAGAGAGTTTATCTTAGTAATCAGTTTTTAAATTTTTAGGGAACAATATAAATTTTAATCACCTGTTTTTGCCACTAGTAAGAGCAAACCTTTATGCAGATACAATCCAAATGCTTAAAGAAATATTTTATAATCTCCAAGCTACAAGACTCCAAAATCAAATGCATCATCAATACAATTTGGAACTGAAAAGATATAATACAAAACAAGTAGCAGTTATGGAAATCATGCAAATGTAGGATTTACAACAAATCCTTTAGTTTTGGCATAAAAAACAAAAGACCTTTAGAAAAATATTTAAAAGTGACATGTTCGCTTTCATTATACATATAAAATTAATCAACTTTCTTTTCCAATATAATAATTTTATTTTGAAAATCTTTCTGGAGTTTAAATTGCTCCATTACATTAGACAGCTATCCATAAGGCAAATATTGAAACAAAGAAGACTATATACCCTGTTAATTGATTCGAAGTAACTGTGTATATCTACATATATAAAAATTCTTTTTACAGTATTGCTAGTTAGTTCGCTCTCATCAGCCAACTCGACAGCTACGATTTAATCAGAGGGCTTAATAATCATACATAAATACCTCTGAAGTCTCAGTAATTTCTTCTAATACCTTAACATTTGAAGATATTTTTGAAAATAGCACAATCAAGATAGCATCCTATTGTTAAGCAAATTTGTCAAGTGCCTTCAAATTTTAAAAGTTCATCGGGATAGTTTATACTTCGAACTAGAATAAATAAAGCAGAATACCTGATTGTCCTTTTAGAGTCCTTAAGTAAACTAGATCGGAGAATAATCTACAAATGGGGAAACAAATGAGGATTTAGATTTTAACAATTTCTTAAAATTTTTTAAATTGTCTATCTTTTTCAGTAATTTGCTTTAAAATATTTCATTATCTTAATGAGATGTTTAAATATTTATTAAGATCACTTTTTTGTTTTCCTACTAATGTAATATTTTACATACTTGCTATCTTATTTTATTCATCAAATCTATTTAATTGATAAATAAATCGGAGGAGCTCAAGTCTGTGTTCGTGACAACAATAGGATAGCAATATGCTACCGCAAATAAAACCACAATTATTAAATTCATAATTATATTAATAAAAAATGGAATATTTTCTATGCTATATCTTTATTAATATCTCTATTGAAGTTAACTCAATTAATTATTAATTGAATAACAGAATAAAAACATGAAGAGTAAATAATTTAGAATATCTAAATTATTCTTTCTTAGGATTCTTTGGGTTTGGGTTTTGGGGTTGGGTTTGGGTTTGGGGTTGGGGTTACTACGATCTATGCAGCTTCAGCCCTGTCCTATATCACGCAGGAACGTGCAG